GGTCGGACACAGCACCCGCGGTCGGCCGAGGTACAAGAAAGTGCCCCACAACGCATGACCTGTTGGCCTTCCGGTCGAGAGGCTACTGCCTCGTTCGATGCAACGTCGCCGTTTGTACGTGAGAGTGGCGGGGCGCTGACGGCATGCATGGCAGGCTACATGGGTTGGGGCAACAACGCGCCCCCTCGCAGCATGATCTAGGCGTTGTGCATTCGGAGATTGTGCGTGTGTGCCGTTGTTCAATGCGGCCCTTTAGTGTCGTACGATGCTTGTAGAATGAACCGCCTGCCTACCTGTACACTTTTGTCGCCGTTTGTGCCGTAACGTGAATAAGGAGGGGCGTCGGGGACTGTGCGCTGACGGCATGCGCGACTAGCTTCGCGGGTTGGGGCAACAACGCGGGCCCCCCCCCCCCCCGCAGCATGATTGTTGTGCATTCGTAGGGTGTGTGTGTGCGCGCCGTTGTTCGGAACGGTACGGGGCCAGATAAGTCGATGCGGCCCTTTAGTGTCGTACGATGCTTGTAGAATGAACCGCCTGCCTACCTGTACGCTTTTGTCGCCGTTTGTGCCGTAACGTGAATAAGGAGGGGCATCGGGGACTGTGCGCTGACGGCATGCGCAACTAGCTTCGCGGGTTGGGTCAACAACGCGCCCCCCCCCCCCCGCAGCATGATTGTTGTTCATTCGTAGGGTGTGTGTGTGCGCGCCGTTGTTCGGAACGGTACGGGGCCAGATAAGTCGATGCGGCCCTTTAGTGTCGTACGATGCTTGTAGAATGAACCGCCTGCCAACCTGCCTGTGTTAAAATGGATACCCTGCTTGCAAAATGCTCGACTTTGCCCAGTCTATGAGATAATAATATGCGCTAAACGACTTGGAGGCAACCTTCAGCTGGTCAGCTTGACGTGGGAGGGTTTGGGATAGAAACCTCAAAGGGATTGAGATTGACCACGAGGGGATTGAGATTGCCCTATGAGGGGATTGAGATTGCCTCACGGGGGGATTGAGATAGACCAACAGGGGATTGAGATTGACACAACAGGGGATTGAGATTGACACAACAGGGGATTGAGATTGACACAACAGGGGATTGAGATTGACACAACAGGGGATTGAGATTGACACAACAGGGGATTGAGATTGAGACCCCTTGGATTGAGTTTACACTTTCGGATTGAGACCAAGGGGTGGTTAGGATTGAGGCCAGTTGCCTACCCTCCTGTCGATCAGCGAAGTGTAAGATAAGAACCAAACACCTTACGCGATTATACACGAAATTCGCGTATTCACACCGATTATAACCTAAGACGATGATAAAAGACGGTAAAATGAACGTGACGCTAAAATGTCGTGACAATGTAGGGGAAGAACCAAAGTCTTCCACAAGCTGTAAATGTACTCCCATGACAAAGCCAGATTTTACCCTCGGCATAAACCCGCTTTATAAGGTCCACCACCTCATACCCATTCTGATGCCTCGCAGCTTCCTTGTACAACTGGTCCCTTGCCTCGCGCAGCTCGCGATCCACATGCTGCAACCGGCCACTTGTCGGCCTTGAGCTGCTCGATCTCCAAATGCACTGCATCGAGGTGTCCGTAAAGCTCCTGCAGTCCAAGCTGCAGCGCAGACATGTTTCCGTCCTTAAAAACTATGTACTCCTCGGTTAACTCCTTCACGCAGGCCATAGTGTGCACATTCCTGCGCGTTAGCTGATGCAGCGCCTGAATGCCCAGCTTACGGCAGGCGGGCAGGGGACCATATACATCTAGCCAGTCGTGCCACTGCTCCAGGTTAGTGTCATCCTTGCGTGCCGCCTGCAAGTCCTGGCCACATCCACATCCTTACCCAGCCATATCTGCATCCCCATCTTGGATCTGTGGATTTTTCACCTCTCTCTGACCGACCCCCAGTTGATATCTAACCCTGGATCGTTCATACCATGTTGAACACTGCCCATCCCATCAGCACTGGGCACATAAGCAACATTGGGCCAGATCAGTAGTACGGTGGGGGGCCACGTGCGAACCCCTGGTGACGATCTGAGAGTTAACGCAGGCGGCTGGCAGAGGTTAAGGCCTGACTTCTGCTCCCGGAGTGTCCGGGTTCATATCCGCCTGCCGACTTCTCGGGTGTTTGAGATGTGTTGAAATGGGAGGTGGGCCCCCATCTTATGGACGGTGTAGGACGTGATAAAATCTTCTTGAGCGCTGACCAGGAACTAAGTTGAGGCGCCGTTGATCCGCTAGATTTGGTTGGATGCTGGTGGTGGGTTGCTGAACCCAACGAATACATTCTGAAGTCGGATGGGGTGAACGGATTAGGGCGCCCCTGTAGCAGGGAACTGCCTCGGGAAAGGGGGCCGCTGGTGAAGCTATACCACCCTGTAACAGCATACATATAACCCTATTGCATCCCACCGAACCGGTGACAGGCCTGCAGGTGGCTGGCAGTGGGGAAGCAAGGGCCTTGACAAGCGTCATTTCGTTCTGCATGTCAACATCAGTACCGCAAGGAAATGCTTATAAAACATGATGGAACACGACCGCTCTGGAAGTGCGCCTGCCGTGGCTGCTGCGCAGGCACATAAAATTGTCATCTCCTAAGGGATTGAACCGGAAGGCAGCCGTCCAATGCTCTGACGACTGGAAGATATTTTCAGGTTTAACAAATCGAGAGCTGTGGCGTATGCTGACCCGATTGGGACAGTATATGCACAGACGTCTGGTGACACAGCTGCATGTTGCAGGTTGCAGAGGCATGCCTGCATGGCTGCCCTGGCTGCGCAGCCAGGGCAGCCTCAGCCCTTCTAGGACAACTCCCTGGCGCGGCATGTCAGTTCCGCCAGCTTAAAACGTCTGCTTTAAACTCTGCGCTCGAGGGATGACAGGGTGTGCCTAGTGAGCGTTCAAGTCTTTCCACTTTCATCCCCCTTTCTTTTTTCACCTGTGGCATTTTCGGTTGCAACGCAAATCGAACATTCAAATTACAAGCCGCCATAAGGGATACGTTCTAGGCATGCATACTCTAAAGTTCATTAAAACTCATAAGTACAATTATTGCCAGCATGTATTACAGCCCGATGGGCACATTTTTATCGCTTCCTTCGCTTCCTGGCTAATATGTTGGATATTATAGCAAGGCAATACCTGTGCGCATTCCGGAGTTGCGGGCGGACAACCTGCTGCACCTTCCTGGCATAAACATACTGGCCAGGTAACTTCTAGATCAGCTTGCACAACTCCAATAAGGCACTTCTTTTGCCTTGCGGATCATTTCACAGTTGGAAGCCTGCGGCGTAAGAGTCCATGACTAAGCATTATATACGGTTAGATAGGGAGCATGTATGCGTGACATTCATTGGTTAGGTGCATGTGCTGACTTTATAGAACCCCCAGAATGCATCAACGCTGTATGTTTGACATGCTTTACGGCTTATGATCTTCTTGCGCGTACGTTTTGTGGAAGATGCGTGGAAGCTCTGAAAGGTACGTGACTCGTACCGGATCAAAAACGGAGAAACAACTTATTTGCATAATAACTAGGAGGTAGCCTCCAGTGTTTGCTACCAGCACGGCGGGGTAAAGGTTATGGTAGCCTGCGTAACCATTAGCGACGCTACCGTGGACATTAGCTAACAAACAATAATGGAGGCAACAATTTGGCGCACCTCTTTACGGCTTTGCCTTGCGCTGATGTACTGTTTATTATGTGCTCAATTTGGCGTGGCGCAGCAACATAACTTCTCTCAAGTCCTTGCCCTAAGCTATAGGTAAGACATATTAAATAAGAGATTACTCGTGCATAAGATGATTTTCTTTTTTTAAGACTTGAGACGTGCCACCAGATTCTACGGGCGTTTCGGACACTCTCGCCTGCAGTAAAGCAGGCAGCTTCCCGCCCTTCCGTTCGTTAATCCTTTTGACAAGCGCCTTTTACTAGACCTTAACACTGCACCCAGGTTTTACGAAGCTCAGATGTCGGGCGACGTGCCCACCTGGTCGCGCGCCTCCCAAGCGGCTGGCGGGTGGCGCAACAAGAGCCACCTGCTTGACGGTACTGGTCCCAACGGCATCGGGGTGGATCTGTCCGGCGGCTGGTATGATGCCGGAGGTAAGGGACTGCGTCAATCTGCTGGACTGGAGCACATTCCGTTATTGACGTGAAGTACGGACCAATCTGACCAATCCACATTATTTCACATCCATGGGAAATGATGTGGGCTAGTTCACAGTTTATTTTATTTGTGTCTGTAATAATCTAATTTCATCCGTCATCTACTCGTGCAAGATCTATTGAATTAGCTTTCTCAGCCCCACCATTATTATAATGGTGGTATAATACCATTATTGCGGCTCCTCTCGGATGAATGCTATTTGAAGAGTTGCTGAACACCTTAAAATCCTGAATACTGTTAAAATATTCGATATAGCTAATCATTTGGTTTCCTGGTTTCTCAAATGCCAGCTCGCCTGGCTCCATGTGCATTTTCGTTTGCGATGGCTACAGGTCTTCACACATTTCCACAGCACAGGTTGCCTGCTCGTATCAACGCCCATTGCGTTTCTCTAGGGAACACACATGCACACTGCAGCAGCGGCCCCCCTCTCCTCCTGGCTGCGTACATGCATGTGTAATCGAGACGACCCCAAATTTAGCGGCAACTACATGCAATGACACGCAATGTTTCGCACCCTAACACACAAAACCATGTACCCTTGCAGCAATCGCCTCCGGCGGCTAGTTGCAATCTGACTCCCGCCCGGGCCCTCCTCCCCGGGCCCTTTCTGCTCCCCGCTGGCCCCCTCAGATCACCTGAAGCTGCACCTGCCCCTGGGTGTATCCGCCAGCCTCCTGTCGTACGGCGTGCTGACGTGGGAGGCCGCCTACCGCGCTGCGGGCCAGTGGGATATCGCCGTACGGAACCTGGACTGGGTTGCGTCGTATTACCTCAAGTGCCACTATCAGGCCAGTGACACCCCCTCCGCCAACGCCTTTGTGGCCCAGGTAAGCAGTACCCGGGAATCACGACGGAGCTGGGGAACTGCAAATGTCAGGTGATCGCTGGGAACCACCAAGAACGACTAACTGCTCCGCGCCAGATACATATAGGCCCCCTCATTGCCCCCGCCAGGTTGGAGATGTTGACACCGATCACAACACCTGGTGGGGTCGCCCCGAGCAGCAGGCGCAGGGCGGGTCGCAGGGCTCGCCTGGATGGAGGCCCGTGCATGTCATCACAGCCGCAGGGGGCCGAGGTGCAGACATTGTGGGGGAGGTGCGTGAGAGACAAGCCCTTCATGACTGTGGCCTTGCTGCACACTGACTGATGGCCCCGTTTGTGGCAGTGATTGCCTGGATGGCTAGTCTGGATACGAGCAGTCCCCAATCTCCTCTCCCAGTTTTCAGCTCTCCCGTACGCCCGTTTAGCTTTCCGACCTGCCCCCTGGCATATGCAGGCTGTTGCCACTCTGGCGGGTGTGTCTCTTCTTCTGAAGCGCCCGGGCGCCTACTCGAACCCCACACGGGCGGCCACGTTGCTCAGCCGGGCAAAACAACTGTTCGAGTTCGCAAAGACGATCAAAAACACGTGAGTGGGCTGCTTTTCGGTGGACCAAAAGCCCTCAAATTGTGCATGTCCATCTCCTTGACCTAACATTTCCAAGATTGAGCTGAACTCAATCCCCGTAACTACCGTTGTCGTACACCTCCAGGTGGGGTCCTACTTCCGGCTCCAACGCCTACCCCAGCTCCAGCTACAATGATGACCTGGCCTGGGCTGCAGCCTGGTTGTGCAGGTGGCTAGGGGGGAGATGCAAGGGGGACGAGGGGGAGGTGGGGGAGGTGGGGTTGAAGAGGATTACAGTCTACGGCATCCACTGCAGTCATCCACACGGGGTAGGCGGGGGCCTTACAAGATCACTGAGAGCATGGAACCTACCACTCTTTGGCACCGTCGTCCCCATGTCCTCCCGCCTTCCCCCGTGCCTTCAGGGCGGATGTGGACGGTGGCGCCATGAGCTTGACTGCCAGTGCCGCTTGTAATGCCGCGCCCTCGCTCTGGGACGCCACCAAGTACGCGAACCTGGACTTGTCCTGGGACAACGTGGCAGCTGCTGCGGCGCTGCTGCTCCGGGACACCGGGGCGGGTGGGGCGACCTACGTGGCCAGCTACGACGACTTCGTCAACCGACTGCTGACAAGGTATGAACCAGAAGTCTCGGGGAGGGAAGTTGGGTTGGGGAGGGAAGTATGGGGAGTAACGTGAGTACTAGCAACCCCATGTATGTCAACGTAGTCTTCCACCATCCTAATCCCCTGCCCGCCCTGCCCGCCTTTCCCGCCTCCTGCCCCCCTCAGGTGGACTGGCAGTGGCGCCTGCAGCACTGGCGCCACACCCTGCATGACCCCCGGGGGCCTGGCCTGGTACAGCGACTGGGGCAGTGCAAGATATGCAGGTGGGCGGACGCGGCGGGGTAACCCGGGAAGATCAGTCCAGCTGATCTGTCCGGCACCTCATCAAACAAGGCTGCCAGGCTAGCTACCTCCCTCCCCTTCTTGCCCTCATTCTGGTCCCCTCCCCGCCCCGCAGCCAATGTGGCGCTGGTGGCGCTGGCAGCGGCGCGCAGTGACGGCGGCGGAGGCGCGGCGCTGACGTCAGCAGCTCGGGCCAGTCGCATCTGCTGGGCCAAGAACCAGGTTTCGTACATGCTGGGTACCAACCCGCAGAGCCAGTCCTTCGTGGTGGGGTACAAGTGAGTTGATTGTGGGTCCGAGCGGCCTTTTGAACCAATAGAATATGCGTGGTTGGGCGCTCTACTGCGTTCTGGTGGGCATTCTGCGAAAATTTCTTGATTGAAGGGAAAGTGGGAGTAGTGTGCATTCAGGAGGCGCCGTTCTCGGTTTGGGGCCAGGCGGCTGTCACTTGGCCAGAGGATTACTGTGAGCAGAAGACCCATGGCTGCCCAATTTGCGGCGCTATGTATGATGTGTGGGACAGGGGGGCATATCTTCACCCGTGGCCGCTATCCGGCATAACCCTGCCTTCCCCGGTATTACGGGGCATCTTCATCTAGTCACCCTTGTCAACTTCTCAGTGGTTCGCTCAGGTTCCGCACCCACCACTTGCATCCAACGGAACCAGCCGAATCGACGGCGGCCTAAGTCCCTTCCTGGTCGGCTCATCCCAGGTCACCACCGTCCATCGACTTGGAAATATACCTTTCACCGTTGGAAGGATCGCGACCCTCACAGGTCTCGATTGCGGGATCTCTCGGCTATGCATGTAACCCTAAGCCCCATGGCTGCCCAAATTGCTGCAAATTGCTGCGTTTCACCTAGCTGACATTATGTATGTCTCGGTACCTTCGCCTATTGCACATATCTGCCTTTGAGGTCGCTTGCCTGGTTCTTCCCCTCCTTGCTCAGGCCCACGACCTCGCACAAGGCGCCTGAGAAGCCCCACCACCGCAGCTCCAGCTGCAACCCCAGCTACGCCATCACCTGCGACTGGACAGCGCTGGACGCTGCCGGCCCCAACCCCAGCGTGCTGGCGGGGGCGCTGGTGGGGGGACCGGGTCGTGATGACAGCTACGTGGACAACCGCCGGGACTACATGAAGAACGAGGTGGCGCTGGACTTCAATGCAGGGTTCACAGCGGCGCTGGCGGTGGGTGGGTGGGAAGAGGCTGGCGCAGCTGGGGCGTGCTTTCCTCCGCCCGTGCATCCAAAGTTCCTCGCGCGTCGTGTTTGCACTCAGAATACTGCCGTGGCGGCGTATGTTGGATGGATCTAAGCAGCTGCGAAACCACCTAGTTCGCCTAAGCTTCGAAACACCCCTTCATCCAGCCCTGTGCCCTTACCCCTGTTGCCATCTCCCCCCCCCGGACAACGATAAATGCCACACTCCGTTTGCCGGCGCAGGGCCTTACGGATCTGGAGCAAGGCCTCCAACGGAGTGGGTGCTCGTGGAGCGGATTCTGCGCTGGTACATGCAGCCCCTCCAACTCCCCAGCTCCGCCCTCACCGCCGCCTAAGCTACCCCCACCCTCACCCCCACCCACCCCGCCTCCGCCCAAGCCAGCCCCGTCTCCGCCTTCCCCCAGGCCCCCTCCTGGCCCATCCCCGTCCCCACCACCCAAGCCATTCCCCCCTCCGCCACCCAAGCCAGCTCCGTCCCCACCACCCAAACAGTCCCCTCCTCCACCAGCGAAGCCAGCTCCGTCACCACCACCCAGGCCGTCCCCTCCTCCGCCCTCACCCAAGCCGCCCTCACCATCTCCCAGCCCCTCCCCGCCGCCCTCACCGTCCCCCAGCCCCTCCCCGCCGCCCTCATCACCTCCCAAGCCGTCCTCTCCCCCCTCCCAGTCTCCGCCTCCAGCTCCCCTGGCCAGCTGCTCCCCCACGGACTACGCCTGCCAGCAGTGCAGCCAATCGACCTATACAGCCCCTGACGCCTGCCGCTCGTGTGTGGGGGCGATGCGCAGCATTGGTCAGGACCCATATCGGTGCTTCTCGTGCAGCAACGGAGTAACAGACCCCACCATACAGGGCATCTGCTTTACGGAGTGCGTTCCACCCACGGCTCTTAAGGGTAAGACATCTCATCCATGAGCTCCTTAGGGTGCATGTGGGAGCTTCACAGGTTGCCAGGCGTTGGGGTCCTGAGAGCTGAAAGCTGGGGCCTAGCTGGGCCGCATTGCACGAGAGCCGGGAGCTGCTACACGTGCCGACTCACTGTGTCTGTTGCCGCCACCACTGCTGCTATCGTTGCGTTTATTTGCTGCGGTCGCTATGGCTACGGCTGCTCCTGCTCTCCAGTTGGCTACTGCACGCAGCGTACCATTCATTCCCATCACCGCTTCTGTTTTTGGACCGAACACAATCATGCCTTGTGGTTTTGCCGGTACATCTGTCCTCCCTGCTGCTCCCCGGGCGCCGCCCTCAAACTCAAAAGCATTAAAGCCCTGAGTTAATGTCGGGCATTTCCCCCGGGGTACGTGTGCTCTTTAGGCATTGACTGGAGCTGCAACTCCTACTGTGCGGACCCCAATTTCGTGGGAACCGACGCTGCCAAGTCCCGCGAGTGTGTTTCGTGCCTCACGGGCGTCTCTAATGCCTGGGACTGCTACAATTGCATGGCGGTAAGCTTGGTGTGGTGGCGGTATACAGGCTACCTAGGAACTACGAAGGCTTTGTGTCCGTGTTTCGGTCTCACCAGCAGCTTGGTGGTCAGCTTGACTTCATTTGTGAACGGGCTTATCATATGGATTACGAATTCTGGGCTTAGTTCGCGTAAGCCTGATGACATGCCGCGTACGCCAAACCTATTAAACGGTCCTGTGCACAGAAATCGCCCGAACCACGACCTCCACTCCTCTGCGTGCAGGTGACGGCATCACTGTCCGATTCTGCTGCGGCCCGCGCCACCTGCTTCAAGTGTGTGACCACCACAACACTGGGCGGCTGGTCCTGCGGGGACTGCGCCTCCAGGGCAACCCCAGCGGAACGGGACAGCTGCATCAAGTCCAGGGGCGGATGATGAGTCGATGCTGGTGCAGGCCAGGACTACGAGCATAGCGGCGGCGCTTCGTATGGGAAGACACGTCGGCATAATGCATAATGCTATGAGCGAGTTTAACACACAGATAATTGAATGCATGCATGCATGCATGGCGATCTGCTGGATCCCATCACACATCAGAAGGCAGAACACACTGCAAAGACATCTACACTGCAGTACGAATGCAGTGAAACCACGTGTTGTTAGTACATCCGTGCATCCTTCCTACCATTCTCATGTGTGCTGCATCATCATCGTGCATTTCCCCCTTTTTCGTGTACATACTGAACCATAGGTAGCCTGGCGTCTCGGTGCCTTTGCACAAAGCTAAGATATAATATTATAGATCGTGCTTCTGGAAGGTGTTTGTACCGGTAGCATAGGCAGCAGGTGATGCTGCCCTGAATGACAGGCAGGTATTACCATACGTGGCCGGGGCCAGCATCCAGCAGGTGATGTACGCTTGCAGGTACCTGGTGCGGTGCAGCATGCAGGTTGGCTGGCCTCCATCCATTGTGCTGGTAGTTGGGAATTCATTATTACCCGTGATCAGGTAGCAAGCGACCCTCGTTAAGGTAGCAAGCGACCCTCGTTAATTGAAGGACCAAAGCTGTGGCGCTCCTTTTGGGTCAAATGCATGGTCGAAGGGCCCTGGCTATCATGTGCACGCGCGATGTGGCGCTTTGCTTTCGGAGCTTATTGCCAACCGCTAACCATCCTAGATGGGGGTATCTGCTATCCCATCTAGTCGTGCATGTGGTCCTCCCGGAATTCGGACTGCAGCTTTCATCATCTCCATGCGTCTATTGCGGGCAATTGTCAATGTCCATTTATTGACAATGTTGATCACACTCGTTGTTTTTGTTAGCTGCCAATGCATATTGGTTCTAGGCGTGCCTGCACACTTGCGCCTGCTGCGTACACGGGTTGTGTGGATTAGGCTCAGTGGGCATGTGTACATAGGCCCATGAACAAATTCACGCAACTGCTTGGCCCCAGGTTCACAACCACAGATGTTCTCTGCCAACGTCAGCGGCAGCAGCAACAATTATACCGGCATCTGCAGCAGGCTGCAGGAAGGCGGCAGTGTTGTGTTTAAACGGTTTTGCCCCGGTAATCTGTCAGTGACGAAGTGGTTACTGTGAGAGTTTTCTTTCGTAACCACCTTACAAATTTGTTTTCCGGTGCCGTCACTCCGCACATACACGTGCCCCAGTGCCGCGGCATTGCCGTCTGTGTTTCGTAACACCCACATCGCGAGGGCTCTCTTAACAACATCCTGTGCTACGAGGCTTTGCAACCGTGGTTGTGTCATTTTCAGTATTAAGCCATTATTAGTCCATAGAATACTGAATTGCTTATCAAAGGCAAGCTTTCATCAACTTCGACTCTACGTACGGCAACCCGAGCCGAACTCAGCGAACTATCACAGATTTTTATCTAAGTGTAAAATCGTTTTCAGGCGATTGTCACTCCCTGGGGTCTGAGGCCCAACTCCCGGGCGACCACCCCTGGTTACGTGCAGGTAACTCCAAAATCTTCCTAGTGACGACTACCTTCCGGAAGTAACCGCTTTGTCATTAGTAACCACTTTTTAGAACACTGGAGGGCGGTCCTCCAACGTACTATTGTACCCGCTTCGGCCTGCGCAACGCATGAACAACAAAATGGTGGCCGCGGCCTGTCTTTTATAAAAGGATTGCAGGCGCATACATACGCACGTGCACATATACAATATTTCTTTATGTACGTATATACGTATATAAGCATTTATATATGCACAAAAAACTAAAACACGCTAGTATGTGCCCTCCTATAGATGGGATCTTATTTAGGCGATAATAACTCGTGTTCATCTACTTACTTCCAAATCTCCTCGCCTCTTCATCTTTATCCCTGGTTCCAGATCTTAGGCAAACGCACGGTATGCCATAGATGTTACAGAGCCATAACACGTTCTGCCACGGGGAGAGGGATCAAGCAAGGGTTGAGAGCTTTCTCACCACATTTGGGCGCTGGAGGGGAAACACGGATGAATGATAGATACATCGGCGTGTAGGATTCGCCGGCCAGTTCGCTCAGGGTGCGTCACTGTAGGTGAAGCGCCCAGTCACGCACTGCGAAGCGGAAGGCGCAGTTGGCAGGGATGACAGTTGATGGTTTGTACACTTTTTCCCACCTCTCGCGAATATTGTTGCATTCCTCATCTCAGACATCTTTCGGCAATATCGCCCTTTGCATTTACCGACCAAACTGCTATGTGGCGCTTTAACAATAATCACATCACCGCCAGCAGCGCCAGCGTTGTTAGCGGAAGCAGTGCAGCTCTAGAGTCTAGAGCTGGACTATTGCTGTAGATCTACAGCTGCTGCAAAGCATGCATGTGCACACCGGCTGGTTGCTTCAAGTCGTTCGGGGATCCGCACAGATTCGGTCCGTACATGTGAATAGTGTCACACGTAATGTGTAATAGACAACCCTACCACATGTTAGGCCAGTTTACATCCCATGCGCGAGAGCATGTCCCGGATCGCCAGCGACGTGCAAACGGCGTGCGGCAGATGGCTTTGAACTCCTGCCTGCCGTCAATCAGACCTACCATTTTGCACGCACTGGTGCTGGTGTTGCTGCATTCAGGCATGTGGACACATGGCCTCGCTAGGATGGCTGCTAGGAAATGCCGCAGTGTACGGGTATTGCTAAATCTGACGCCAAATAGGAAGGCATAACTACTGTCCTCGGTTTACAATCAGTGACCTACTGGGATTGTGTCTCGCCACGGACCTGCTCTTTTGCGGTTCAGAGCATAGCCCGCAGTGCTGTGAACCTCTGAGGTCCTGTAGATGTCCTCTTCTTAACAGAAACTTGCAGATCACGGCATGGAACTGAGCACACTCGATGTTACATTGTAAACGTTTGATGTCCTTTGGGAGCCAAATGAAAGTAACTGCACTTTTTCTGAGGTTTAATCAGAAATTACGGACAGGGAAGTTACAGAGTAAAACCGGCTTTAGACGAGTGCTAAGCAATAGTCATCGCACTGGACGTGAAACTGAGTATTTATGTGACTATAATATATAATTATTCAACTTCTTTCGAAAGGATGTGTCTATCATTTGTCATAAAGGCAGTTGTAGCTCAGAAGTCCGGCCGAAGACTCCCCGAAGCTCTCAGCACCGTAATCTACACAGCGTACGGGGACTTATTGAACTATATAAAGCCTTAAGTTAATCCGGATCTATTTATTTTGCTAGATTGAGCGAGGAAAAATAAACTACAGATCTTCCATAGTGGCGCTACCAGACTTCTCCAAAGGACGCATGAATGGCGCTGAAGGTTTTGCGCCCTTCTTTGTTAGTATGCCTAATTACAGCATTGTGCTTTCATGTTTCCAATGTTGTGGCACAGCAACATAATTTTTCGCAAATCCTCGGCCTGAGTTACAAGTAAGCGGGCATGGCCAGCAACTGAACAACATCGTGGATGGCCATTTGTGTTAATGCAATAATTCTTATCCATAAGATCATGTTATGGCTTTGCGGCTGCACCCAGGTTTTACGAAGCTCAGATGTCGGGCGACGTGCCCACCTGGTCGCGCGCCTCCCAAGCGGCTGGCGGTTGGCGCAACAAGAGCCACCTGCTTGACGGTACTGGTCCCAACGGCATCGGGGTGGATCTGTCCGGCGGCTGGTATGATGCCGGAGGTACGGATATGGCATCACTGTTTCTGGATTGCAGCTGAAGGCGGGTGCAGAGCATCGTGGAGCATGGGTACTGATAAGGAGACGCGGAGTCTTCATCACTCAGCACGGTTGTAGTCTTCCCCTGCTCATTATTAAGAAGCTAGGAACGGGCACATGCAGTCCGAGTAACGATTCTTCAAATGCAGCGATCTTGCAGCCAAACTCAAAAGCGGGTGTTGCCAAACTAAGGTCCAACCGTCGCACTATGCAAGCGCGGATGACAGGCCGCGCCGGTGTCAAAGAAGGGCGCCTATGATTGATACCTGCTTGATATCTGTACCTGTGTGAATGCGACCAAGCTGTGCGTCCAAGATGGTCCGTCCACTTCTTTGCACCCTTAGCCGCATCCCCAACCCCCAGCCCTATACTGCAGCCTATCCTCGCACGTTCCTTCCACCGATTTTCGCTGGATTGCTCCCCGGGCCCTTTTTGTTCCCCGCTGGCCCCCTCAGATCACCTGAAGCTGCACCTGCCCCTGGGTGTATCCGCCAGCCTCCTGTCGTACGGCGTGCTGACGTGGGAGGCCGCCTACCGCGCCGCTGGCCAGTGGGATATCGCCGTACGGAACCTGGACTGGGTTGCGTCGTACTACCTCAAGTGCCACTATCAGGCCAGTGACACCCCCTCCGCCAACGCCTTTGTGGCCCAGGTAAGCAGTACCCGGGAATCACGACGGGGCTGGGGAACTGCAAATGTCAGGTGATCGCTGGGAACCACCAAGAACGACTAACTGCTCCGCGCCAGATACATATAGGCCCCCTCATTGCCCCCGCCAGGTTGGAGATGTTGACACCGATCACAACACCTGGTGGGGTCGCCCCGAGCAGCAGGCGCAGGGCGGGTCGCAGGGCTCGCCTGGATGGAGGCCCGTGCATGTCATCACAGCCGCAGGGGGCCGAGGTGCAGACATTGTGGGGGAGGTGGGTGAAAAACAAGCCCTTGATGACCGTGGCCTTGCTGCACACCGACCGATGGCCGCGTTTGTGGCAGTGATTGCCTGGATGGCTAGTCTGGATACGAGCAGTCCCCAATCTCCTCTCCCAGTTTTCAGCTCTCCCGTACGCCCGTTTAGCTTTCCGACCTGGCCCCTGGCATATGCAGGCTGTTGCCACGCTGGCGGGTGTGTCTCTTCTTCTGAAGCGCCCGGGCGCCTACTCGAACCCCACACGGGCGGCCACGTTGCTCAGCCGGGCAAAACAACTGTTCGAGTTCGCAAAGACGATCAAAAACACGTGAGTGGGCTGCTTTTCGGTGGACCAAAAGCCCTCAAATTGTGCATGTCCATCTCCTTGACCTAACATTTCCAAGATTGAGCTGAACTCAATCCCCGTAACTACCGTTGTCGTACACCTCCAGGTGGGGTCCTACTTCCGGCTCCAACGCCTACCCCAGCTCCAGCTACAATGATGACCTGGCCTGGGCTGCAGCCTGGTTGTGCAGGTGGCTAGGGGGGAGATGCAAGGGGGACGAGGGGGAGGTGGGGGAGGTGGGGTTGAAGAGGATTACAGTCTACGGCATCCACTGCAGTCATCCACACGGGGTAGGCGGGGGCCTTACAAGATCACTGAGAGCATGGAGCCTACCACTCTTTGGCACCGTCGTCCCCATGTCCTCCCGCCTTCCCCCGTGCCTTCAGGGCGGATGTGGACGGTGGCGCCATGAGCTTGACTGCCAGTGCCGCTTGTAATGCCGCGCCCTCGCTCTGGGACGCCACCAAGTACGCGAACCTGGACTTGTCCTGGGACAACGTGGCAGCTGCTGCGGCGCTGCTGCTCCGGGACACCGGGGCGGGTGGGGCGACCTACGTGGCCAGCTACGACGACTTCGTCAACCGACTGCTGACAAGGTATGAACCAGAAGTCTCGGGGAGGGAAGTTGGGTTGGGGAGGGAAGTATGGGGAGTGACGTGAGCACTAGCAACCCCATGTATGTCAACGTAGTCTTCCACCATCCTAATCCCCTGCCCGCCCTGCCCGCCTTTCCCGCCTCCTGCCCCCCTCAGGTGGACTGGCAGTGGCGCCTGCAGCACTGGCGCCACACCCTGCATGACCCCCGGGGGCCTGGCCTGGTACAGCGACTGGGGCAGTGCAAGATATGCAGGTGGGCGGACGCGGCGGGGTAACCCGGGAAGATCAGTCCAGCTGATCTGTCCGGCACCTCATCAAACAAGGCTGCCAGGCTAGCTACCTCCCTCCCCTTCTTGCCCTCATTCTGGTCCCCTCCCCGCCCCGCAGCCAATGTGGCGCTGGTGGCGCTGGCAGCGGCGCGCAGTGACGGCGGCGGAGGCGCGGCGCTGACGTCAGCAGCTCGGGCCAGTCGCATCTGCTGGGCCAAGAACCAGGTTTCGTACATGCTGGGTACCAACCCGCAGAGCCAGTCCTTTGTGGTGGGGTACAAGTGAGTTGATTGTGGGTCCGAGCGGCCTTTTGAACCAATAGAATATGCGTGGTTGGGCGCTCTACTGCGTTCTGGTGGGCATTCTGCGAAAATTTCTTGATTGAAGGGAAAGTGGGAGTAGTGTGCATTCAGGAGGCGCCGTTCTCGGTTTGGGGCCAGGCGGCTGTCACTTGGCCAGAGGATTACTGTGAGCAGAAGACCCATGGCTGCCCAATTTGCGGCGCTATGTATGATGTGTGGGACAGGGGGGCATATCTTCACCCGTGGCCGCTATCCGGCATAACCCTGCCTTCCCCGGTATTACGGGGCATCTTCATCTAGTCACCCTTGTCAACTTCTCAGTGGTTCGCTCAGGTTCCGCACCCACCACTTGCATCCAACGGAACCAGCCGAATCGACGGCGGCCTAAGTCCCTTCCTGGTCGGCTCATCCCAGGTCACCACCGTCCATCGACTTGGAAATATACCTTTCACCGTTGGAAGGATCGCGACCCTCACAGGTCTCGATTGCGGGATCTCTCGGCTATGCATGTAACCCTAAGCCCCATGGCTGCCCAAATTGCAGCAAATTGCTGCGTTTCACCTATCTGACATTATGTATGTCTCGGTACCTTCGCCTATTGCACATATCTGCTTTTGAGGTCGCTTGCCTGGTTCTACCCCTCCTTGCTCAGGCCCACGACCTCGCACAAGGCGCCTGAGAAGCCCCACCACCGCAGCTCCAGCTGCAACCCCAGCTACGCCATCACCTGCGACTGGACAGCGCTGGACGCTGCCGGCCCCAACCCCAGCGTGCTGGCGGGGGCGCTGGTGGGGGGACCGGGTCGCGATGACAGCTACGTGGACAACCGCCGGGACTACATGAAGAACGAGGTGGCGCTGGACTTCAATGCAGGGTTCACAGCGGCGCTGGCGGTGGGTGGGTGGGAAGAGGCTGGCGGAGCTGGGGCGTGCTTTCCTCCGCCCGTGCATCCGATACGGCCGTGGCGGCGTATGTTGGATGGATCTAAGCAGTTGCGAAGCCACCTAGTTCGCCTAAGCTTCGAAACACCCCTTCATCCAGCCCTGTGCCCTTACCCCTGTTGCCATGTCCGCCCCCGACAACGCTAAATGCCACACTCCTTTTGCCGGTGCAGGGCCTTACGGATCTGGAGCAAGGCCTCCAACGGAGCGGGTGCGCGTGGAGCGGATTCTGCGCTGGTACATGCAGCCCCTCCAACTTACCAGCTCCGCCCTCACCACCGCCCTCTCCCTCGCCGCCTTCGCCCGCACCCTCGCCTCCCCCGTCGCCGTCACCCTCACCCTCGCCATCCCCTCCGCCGTCTCCTCCACCGTCTCCTCCGCCCTCCCCCAAGCCGCCCTCGCCATCTCCCAGCCCCTTCCCGCCGCCCTCACCGTCCCCCAGCCTCTCCCCGCCGCCCTCACCACCTCCTAGGCCGTCCTCTCCCCCCTCCCAGTCCCCGCCGCCACCTCCCCTGGCCAGCTGCTCCCCCACGGACTATGCCTGCCAGCAGTGCAGCCAATCGACCTATACAGCCCCTGACGCCTGCCGCTCGTGTGTGGGGGCGATGCGCAGCATTGGTCAGGACCCATATCGGTGCTTCTCGTGCAGCAACGGAGTAACAGACCCCACCATACAGGGCATCTGCTTTACGGAGTGCGTTCCACCCACGGCTCTTAAGGGTAAGACCGAGTTTAGACACCGCTGTCCCTTCATTCAGGGCAATCACGTTATGTGCTAAAGGGAACGTTGTGCTACTTGCTACGTGAGGAGTTTGTGTGGCCTTAAGGGTGAATTGAAATTCCCATGTGGGTCTAAGGACCTCGTGGACTGCAGCACACCGTGCCCCTCGAACCCTGTCTTACCTCGCCTCCTGCCCATCCAACGGCGGCCGCCAAACCCCGACCTTAGGCGCGGACTGGAGCTGCTCCCAGTACTGCTCAGCTCCCGCCCTGGTGGCTAACGACCCGACGCGCGCCCGGGACTGCATCTCCTGTGTCAAGGGCGTCTCCAACCCCTGGGACTGTTACAACTGCATGGCGGTAAGGAGGATTGAAGCTTGCGGCAGGCGCAGGGCTGGGTACGGGTCTGTGGACGGGACGTTAGAGACAGGGCACGGCAGCGGGGCCAAGAATCGATGCGGGCTGGTGTGGGGGGCTTTGCTCCTGTTTAGAGCCGACTGCGGATGCGAGCGCTAGGGCGGCCGCACAGAAAGCACTTATATGAACTGGCCTTTGAGTGGCTTTGCTGGCAATTCGGGTCTCGCTGATGGCAATGGTGACACAGGTCCTTGCCAGTCACGGCCACAGAACTGCTAATATATCGCTGTTCAGGTACTTTGTGAACGGAGAAAGGGCGTACACCAAGTCCCTGATGTTGTGGGTGTAGCAAGCGGCAGCAAGCCTGCGACCTCCCACATGTATACCCAACACCCACTCCTCTGCGTGCAGGTGACGGCATCACTGTCCGATTCTGCTGCGGCCCGCGCCACCTGCTTCAAGTGTGTGACCACCACAACACTGGGCGGCTGGTCCTGCGGCGACTGCGCCTCCAGGGCAACCCCAGCGGAACGGGACAGCTGCATCAAGTCCAGGGGCGGCCGTCGTCTGTTGGCTGGGGAGAATTTTTAGTTAGGTCTTTCCTAAATCTATCGCCGTCCGCTTGGAGGTAGGGGGCGTCGCACCGGTGGGAGGATGAAGTCCCTCGGGAATTCAATTCGTCATAGGTGAATGATGCATGCCTGTCAGCGCTTTCCGGCCTCCGGGCTGTATATAATTACATCAAAAGCGGTCGCCGGGAGGGCCTGCTTGTGAAGAAACAATGCGGATTGGTTGGCCGCCTGTGACGACTCAAGTTACGGATTGCATGTATGCGTCACCCCAACTAAGTGTATGTGATTGTATGTCGTACGGCATGTCGATTCAGGGTCCAAGAGTGCATTGCGCTGCGTCATGCACAAATAGTGATAAGAGTGATCTCCGACAGCCGAATACAATAAGTTAAAGTCAGTGAAGCTGTGTTGATGCTATGATGAGTTATAATGAGCAGCAGCAACATATGTTTGTCCGCTAAGCCACTTCATTTGAGAATCCAGATGTAGATGCTGACTACGACTTGACTTGTACAGGTGCTCATGATGCACCTGTATCCTGACGTGACTTGGGAGAGAGTGGAATGGATGCGGCACGCGAGGTTGTACAGTTGTACAGGTTGTTTTTCTCCGTACGGCCCAGCTGGTTAGGTGGCAGGTGTTTCTTCCCCGCGGATGTCTTATTTGGTTTGTGACGCTTCTTTTCCCTATGCGTGTTGGTACGTATATTATACCTCCCAAATGCTGCTTTCACGAGGTGTTGTTCCGTTGTTTGGGCAGCCAGGGACGGTTGATGGTTGGGAACCGAAAGATGTGGCGCTTACCTTGGGTGGGGCGTTTTAATCCTTAGAAGTCACTGATCAAGACCTTATCTATGAATGCGTTTCGAACGTGTGCGAGTCAGGGTTCGGACTTAGGGCTTAGTAGTACGGGGTTAGTTTGGAGTCGCTTCGGTGCGGCCAGCAGCCCCGCACCGGAGGTCTCCCCCTTGTGGACCGCGTCCATGGACCCCAGCATGGGGACCCCTGGAGCCATCATTTCGTCTACTCGCACACATGCAATTGCTTAGTTGCTTACATAAGGTGTACCACACACTCACACACACTTGGCTGTGCTACTGTGTGTGGCTCGCGACTGAGATACGAGCGAGTTCAGTGAGCGCCCGTCAACTTTGTTGATTGGATGGTGCTTTCGGGCTGAACGGATGGACAATGATTCGGGTGAACGCGTCATTAGCTTGTTTCGGTACCTAGCCATCAGCTGTAGGTCCGCACGTGCGTACACGAGTCTCGGTCCTCCGCATTCACTCACCCTGCTGTGTAAGAGGTTCGACTGGTCAAAATTGGTCAATCCCAATCATAAGGGGCTAACAGCGGCAGAGCAGTTGCACACGTCATGCACGACTGTTGAATAGGATATCAGTCGCAGGATAAGCATGCTAAGTTTTCACGTTTCACTCGCCTCGTTCCCCTAGAGCACGTACATGCCCCTGGCCAGGTGGATGGATCTCCTGCGAAGGGCCCAATCCTACCAGGCTTGCGGACTTCCTCACACACACCCGAGCAACAAGGATATGGGTTGCTGCCCTGGCCCCTGCAGCAAAAACACTGGGATCGCTGCTGCTTAAAAGGGAACACCGCAAGGGAAACGCAAGGCAAGCAAAAAAGCACCACTGCTACCGCCGCTGCGCCGCACCCTGCCAGCTGAATCCACTCTTAGCCGGTTTATTCAAAACAACGAAGGCGCCAGGACACGGTTCCTGGAGGCTCTTGGAGAGTTGTGAGCAATCCCCCTTACCGCTCTCCCCCCGGTCCCGAACCTCCTCCCCCACCACAAGTGTTCCAGCAACACCGCATGACGGATGCTCCAACGCCCCCAGAGGTAGCCCCCTGCCCAACCCCTCCTAAAATCCCAGTCAAACCCGCAGCCGGGCCCCCCGACCGCGGCGGGCCTCCGCGGGCTCCTCCCGGCCCTGGCCCTGTGTGAGGGTTTGGACCTGGGCCCAGCGCCGCCCAGCCCCGTGCCGCGGCTGTAGCGCAGTGCTGTGCGGCCAGCTGTTGTGCCACGAGCTCCTCGGGCATGAAGTGTGCGCTGTAGCAGTCGTTGTAGTTGAGGCGCATTAACAGGTCGCCCAGGTCGCTTGAGGGGCTCTGGAGCAGGGGACGGGGCGGGATGCATAACAAGAGGACCGGGATTTGCGGGGTTTCAGGGCCAAGAGGAGCGTTGGAAGCTGTAACGGGGAAAGAAATACCCTTGCTACACGCTTTGCTGTAGAAGGCACGCCGCCTTCACCGTAACCACATCAGGAGACAGAAACGATGCGAGCACGTGACCTGGGCAGCAGTACATCGTTGCTTTCGCTCTCCAAAAGGCGGATCCAAGATGCTGCTGCGACTGTTATTCGCTTGGGGCTTCGCTTCTGCTCGCGGCACTTGTCGGTGTGACCCTCCCACGCCCCACGCACATCCCAGGCCACTCCTGCCCAACCCACCAATAGCGCCCTCGTGGACACAAACCGGACCAGGTAGCCCAGCCAATAGGAGAACTGGCTGGCGGCGTGATGGGCCTCGTCCTGTAACCGGGCCGTCAGCGGGTTGGGCAGCACACCTCCGGGACCCGGACCCTGGGCAGCCCCGCCGGCTGCTGCCCCTCCTGGCATCACCTGGAGGCGGCCATCCATACATCCACCGAATGGGCGAGGGCATGGGGAGACGCGGGGTTAGGTCACTGTCGATGTTGGTCAAAAGAACATCCTAATCACTGCTGACAGAACGGGGTGATGTCGAAATCTAAGTCCGCCATAAATATTCGCTATTCTCTACGTCAACCTAGCTTCTCACTTTTGCTTTGGGCTGCACACGTCTTCCACCCCCCCAGAGTCCCAAGCCTTAGCTCGCAGTCCTCCGGCAAAATCCATCTCTCCAAGGCTTCCCCCTCCAGCCTTCCCCTCTTCACCTTGGCCGCTCCTCCTCCCGTCAGGCTGCTGACCGCGGCGGCGAAGCGCAGGCAGGCGTCCAGGCACTTCCGCAGCGCAGCGCCCATGTGGCGACTGCCCTCCTCCCCCGCGTACCTAGGCACACAATCCACGGGGGACCCGGAGGGGCCAACATGCGGCTCCGCACATGAGACATGGCGATAGGTTCAGAGATACAGAGCAACTGAAAGAAGTAACAGCGATCGGTACCAATCAGACAAAGCGCCCCGGTGGAGGTCCCGGAAACGAGCAGAAGGGGGACAAAGTGGGAAACGGAACCTGGTGGGTGTGCGATACCGCCATGGTCCGCGGCCAAAAGCCCAAGAACCGATCCACCAGCGCTTCCCCTCCCGGCCCACTCCCACACACCTTCCTCCCCTGCCTTGTTCCCACCTGAAACAGCGGCGCAGCAGTGTCACCGTGTAGGCTGTGTGCGCCTCGCATACATCATCCAGGTTGCGGGCGGCGTTCAGATCCTGGAGGAGGGATGATCCAAAGGAGGCGAGGACAGCACTGGAAGGGTGCCAAAAAAAGTGATATATAAAGCAAGCCGCAGGAATGAGAATGACCTGGAAGGGCCGGAGCAAGGGCCTGGACCAGCGGCATGATGACAGCGCCTACCGTCGCAACCCAAGCTCCCGGGGGCAGCCAGGTCCACCCTGGCCTTAACTGCCCGGGCCTAACCCGCAGCCCACCGCGCCGCGCCCCGTACCTACCGTCATCAGCTGCACCCAAGCATCATGCACCAGCTGAGTGGCCACCCACTGCTCCAGGGTCGCCATGAAGTGAACCATAGCCGCCAGGGAAGACTGAAGCCGAGCAGCGCTAGAGGCGGAGGATGAACTGCCGCCAGCGCCGCCCGCTGACGTTGACGCGGATCCCGGCGCATTCCTCGCCGCCGCTGCCGCGGGGCCCCCTAGAAGGCTGTTACTACTGGTACTGCCGCGCACGCCGGCGGCAGCTGCCGCTGAGACCCCCTGGCCAACAGCGGCGTCGACGATGCCCGCACTGACGGTGCGCTGCAACGGAGGCGGTGCACGGCCCGCGCCGCCGCCGCCGCTACGCAGCGGCTTCCAGCTGTTTGGGTGTGCGCGTGTCTCCCGCTCCTTCCACGCCAGGTATGAGCTCTTGTGGGCAGCATTCAGGGCGGTGCGCACCCAGCGCAGCTGCAGCAGGAATACCAGTGCCTGAGCAGCCGCCACCGGTTACCCAGAACCGGCCCAGATCCGGATCCGGATTCAGATCAGGGAAGGTGGTCCAGCGAACAGCGATTATGGACCAGTTTGACCAGGGCAGGGAGCGGGTAGGGGCAGTGTCAGGAGCTTTCGCGGTTAGACGTCTGCATTCCAAGTCGAAAACCCTGAGCCCCCGGGGAAATGAGAAGGACAAGGCAGGTGATGCAGTACGGAGTCCGCAGACGGAGGGCCTGTGTGTGTGTGTGCGAGCACGCCGCTGACCCTATATATCAATCCTGCTTCCACGCCCTGCCCCACCAAGGTAGTGCATTTGCCCGGTGTCCAGGTGCGCCCTACCCCATATCCTCTCCCCTTGTGCCGCTGTCGTCGTCCCTGTTCAGGCGTTGAGCTGCTTCCCTGCAACCCCGGAATCGCAAGGCCCCCGTCCTCCCTCCTCCCTCCATCTTAGGTGCACATCCACACCCCTTCACCTGACCACTCGTGTATAACTTGCATATGGTATACGGACGCGTTGCGTACGCCCGCACTATCCCTCCCAGTCCTCACGCACTGCGCCACTCAGACCGGCCAGCGCCCAGCCGCAAGGACCCATACGATCCTACGTGCACAGCTGCTTTCTCTCTCTCTAACCATCAGCCCCAATCAGCCACCAGCAGGCAATGAGGATGCAGCTGAGAGATTTGAACCGACCCGAGCCGGCCTTTCCCCCGCCTCCCCAGTAACCCCCTTCCCCTGCCCTACATGGCTATACGCCTTGAGCACCCGAGTGTCCGCGATGAGCGCCACCACCCAGGAGGGGGCCAGGCTCAGCTGCAGCCGGTCCAGCTCAGCAACACTGCGGTCTAGCTCCTGAACGACCTGGAACTGCGGGGGGCGTGGGGATGGGTGGAGGTCGGGGGCGGCACGGAGGTCCAGGGGGTCGGGGTCGGGGTCGGGGTCGGCGAGGGAGGCACTTGTGCTTGGGTGGGAAAGATAAGACGGGGCTCTTGGTTTATGCAGCCGTGCAAGGGCAAAATACATGTGCCATAAAACCATGAAAAACCAGGCAAAGGGCAGGGGATACTGGTGTTAGTAATGACGAGCACAGTACTCTGGCTTCCATTCCTTGGCCAGCCTGCCTTTCCGTCTGTCTGTCCGTCCACATCTACACATCTTACCCCCGTCCAACCTCGGACATGCACATACACCGCGTCTTGACCAAGGCGACCATGTCTCCTTTCAATACACATGAGCATGCACCATGCACCATGCACAACACACGCACGAAACGGTTTCTTCCTCCCAATACGCATCTCCCCATCCTTACCTTTGCGGGCTCCTGCTGCTGGCCTCCGGGCCCTCCGGCCTTGCCGCCGGCCGTCCGACCAGCTGCGCCAGCAGCAGCGGAGCCTGCCGCTCCCGCCGCCTCCTGACCCGCCACAGGGGTCAGAGTCAGCACCAGGCTGGAGGGGGTTGGGAGCACATCGTCCGGGTCGGCGGATGCTAGAGCCTCCTGCGGGAATGGGCGTGTGGGGCAGGATCAGGTGAGAGGGGTGGTGGGGAGAGCCGGGCAGGGGTTTCAGGAACGATAAGTGTCGTACTTCCCTCTCTGGATCCTCCTGTCCCCTCCAGGGAGGAGGGAGGAACCGCAGCAGTGCGGCAGCAGAGGGCCAGCCGCGTTCCCTCAGGCGGACAGCGACGCCCCTAAGCCATTACCCGCCCTACGCTACTTCCCTCCCCCGTCTTAGTCCCGCCTGCCTGCCTGACTGATTGCCTGACTGGCACTGTTGTACTGGCAGTCAGGTAACCAGCCCTCCTCGGCCCCTAATCTACCAATTTGAACTCCCTGCCCTGAACACCTCTGGCCCCTTCTGCCTCTACGACCCTCTAGTCCAACACTTCGTGCATCTTCGGCAGCGGTTTCCCTGTAGGGTCTCAACAACCTGGGTTGCTCTCATACTGCTAAGCGAAGAAACCTGACTACCCGGCCCTCACGACGCAACAAACGGGGCACGTACAGCGAACACATGGGCCGTTCACCAGTACGACAATCACCTGCAACATGGATTCAAGCTGTTGCTCCTCCAGGGGCCGCTCACCCAGCCGCATACCGCTGAGTAACGCCGAAACCAGCCGGTCCGCCCAGGAGCGCACGGCAGGTGAGGACAGCAGAAATACGGCGGGCAGTGCCATGAGCCGGGTCTGGGGCCGCGGGGGAGCATCGGTGGGAGGGATGAGAGGATAAGAGTGCAGCGGAGGTTGCAGGCGGGGAGCAGGGGGCTCCAACGGCAGGCATCTCGTACGGCATTTCATATCTGGCCAAAGCGGCACGGGCCTCCCTGCAGCGCGCTCCCACGCACACACACCGCCCCGCCGCTCACACATTGCGGCCTCGACAGGAAAAAACCGCAGGAAGAAGACCGCAAAGCGAGAGGACGGTGTGCGAGGGCGTCGTGCCTGCCTTTACCCCCCGGCCCTTGGGGGCGATAGCCAGCTAGCTCCCCTCATGTCACAACACGCCCTGCCTGCCTCTGGGCTGACCGGTTGCCTCACCTCCAGGCCCCAGCCACTCAGCAGCTTCAGTAGCAGCGCGTCATTGACGTGGTAGGCCTGCGGGAGCCCCGTCAGAGGTCACCGGTCACGTTAGGTCGGGTCAGCTCATATGAAGCGCGGTTAGGCAGGGTCAGGTGAGGCCAATGGAGAGGGGCAATAGTTCACATCGGATTCGAACATGGCCAGCTGCCGAACAGGAATGATAGAGGCCGGTAGGCGCCGTGCAAGGAGGGAATACATGCAAACGGGCGGGGGACTACTCAAGAGGCTCGAACGCGGATGAAACTTCCTTTTGCACTCCTCTCCACTCTCCCGACCTCGAGACGCATGTGCACAAGACGTTGCCTTCACCCTCTTTTACCCCCACCCCCAGGCCACCCCTCACCCTGTCCTGCAGCGGCTCTACCAGGCCCTGCCGGAGCAGCTCCTGAGGGTGAGGCAGACCCAGTGGAGCACCGCCACCAGCAAGGGAGGTTTTAGCTGGTGAGCCGGGCATCGCCGCACATCCAGCACCAGTCCATTCCCCGGCCCCGCCAACCGCCTTTGCAGCGGCCGTCGGCTCCACGGCGTCAGGCGTTGTGAACTGCGGAGGCCCTGGCGGCGGTGCTTGGCCGCATGCGTGCATGAGCAGCAGGTCCAGGGCGGGGTGCTGGTAGGCGTTTGCTGCGAAGGAGCGGCTCCAGCTCCAGACCCCGCCGTCGCCACCCCGGCCCAGGAGCCCGCGGAGGCGGCTGCTGCGGCCGGTCGCATCGTGTGCAGCCGCTGCGTCCTCCAGCGCAGCTCGTGGCCCCGCCCGCAGCTGCTGGTGTATTCGGTGCCTGGGGACGTTGACGGATAGTGCGTGGGTGTGTGGGATGATGGAAAGTTGCGGCCGGCAGAGCCAGCGTGTTGTGCTGGGTGGGAGATATGGTTTTCTCCACCTATGAATGTTGGGAGGAACGGCTAATACCGTGTACGAGTTTTAGACGAAAGCATCATGTGCACCCACAGCCAGACCCACATCAAAATGGGACACGGGTACATAATGCGATTGTGCAATATGCACAGCTACGGTAAATTGTCACCTTCATCTGTGCTACTGGGGAAGCATGTTAAGGTGACAACAATAAATGCCGACACCGCGGCTTATCAAAGCACAAGTCGAAAAGTTCTTGATACCACGCAAAGAACAGGTTCGGTGTCCTGGGCATCATCACCATCAGGGTCTCACCCAACCCGGCCGCCATAGGGGTCCATATTGGATATGGCGGTAAACTAGTCCACTTCAGGAACTCCACCACCGGCAAAACGTTGCTTCCTCCCTTCCTCCCAGTTTCGCCAAAATAACACTCCGAACAATGACACCCATACCTACCACGGCCCTGCCAAGGGTAGGCCTCGGCTGCCTCCGCTGCTGCACCCATGGCCGCCTCCGCAGCTGTTTACCCCCACCAAGAGCGACGCCGGCTCCGCCGTCGACCTCAGCAGCAGCTCGCAGCGCCTCGGCAACCACCCACCCGACCGTACTTCCTCCACCCAATGGTCAACCAGATGCTGCTGTTGATGCTGTTGGCGGGCAGCTGCCGCCTCATCTGGGCTACTAATGCCGCTGGCACCGCCACAGTCCAACGGCGAAACAGGGGACAAACTTCCGACCTCCGCTGTCCGTCCCACCCCCGCCGGGCGCGGCGCCCGCACACGTCGGATCGCCGTCGCTGGCATCCCCACAACGCCGGTCTCCCGACCGCCAGCCCCATTTAGGCGGCCACTGCCGCCACGGTCACTGGCGCTGCGCCCCGGGGAGTCATCACCCAGTTCAATGTCCTCAAGAAGGCACAGGGACCTGAGGCGTGCTGAGGCAGTCGCCATACGCGTCCACAGGCCCCCGGCAGCAGCCACCCCGCCTTCCGCCGTCGCTGCGGTCGTCGCCAACCCCCCTGGCCCAGCTGCCACACATGCTGAAGCAGTAGCGGCCCTGAAACTCGCCGTGGGTCGCATCTGGGTCTGCATCTGCGGCGGCCGCCATGCAGTGCTCACAGGTGCCACAGCAGGTGCCATGCCCCCTGCGCCCACAGGGGCCCACGTCTCATCATTACCCTGAAGCCCAGATGGCCCCAGACCTGCACCGGCCCCTAGCTCCTGTCCAGAAGAGGCGATGTACGACATTAGGCGCTCCATCAAGCCACGCTTTAAGTCTCGTCGGCCGCTGATCCAGCCGCCCCTCCTGCCGTACACCGTGTCGGCGTACTCAGGATCCAGGCCGTACAGCGCGTACGACTCCTCCAGAGCAACGGGATCCAGCACCGCAGAGCCGGCAGAGCCGTATCCGGGTCCCGCGGCGCCGGCGGTGGTGGTGGCGGCGGCCTCCATGCTGTCGGCTTCACGCTGCCGCAGCCGCAGGGATTTGCCTACAGGTCAACGTAGGTCATGCACATGTGCGTGTAAGTTAGTGTTGGAGTTGTGAGAACAGAAATGTAGGTTCATTCGGGGCATTAAGGATGGGGTGTCAACATTCCATCGATCAGGCGAAGAGCGAGACGGGGAGCGGTCCAAAGCCGGCCGCAAGCAGCACGTGCTGCTGCTCGCAGAGTCCCTACCTGCCGCCATAATGATGGGCACCAGGGGTTCCAGAAAGGAAGGACACAGGTACGATGGACCGTAATGCGCTGCCGCGGCCGCCGCCGCCGAGGCCCCGGCTGCGTGGGACCCGGCCCCGCCAGCACCCGCTGCACCTGCTGCTGGTCCTGATGGCTGCGGGCGGATGAGAGCCGCGTAGCCTTCCCGCCAGAAGGCCGGGTGGTCGGGAGGCACCTGTGGGGAGGGAAGGGGCCCGGAAGATAGACTCTGGGAAAGTAGAGCAGGGGGCTTACGGGGCTGGTGGAAGCACCGTTTGTGGCCCCGGCAGGGGGAATGGATGGGTAAATGACGAGGTGTAGTTAGGTTACCACCGCCTAGATGCATGGGAAGGCGGATACCACAGCGTCCTGTCCCGACTGCCTACACGTATAGTCCCAGATTCCCGCAGCACCTCGTTCCGGACCCCTACCCGCCCTTCTCCCTTACGTACCTCTCTGCCAGGTCCCCCGCCGCGCACGATGAAGAAATCAGCTGGCAGCTCCGAGGCCCCGGCCCCGGCCCCAGCCGCGGTGGGCCCAGTGCCCACTGCACCGCCCACGGCCCCTGCTGCCGCTGCTGCTGCCGCTGCCGGGCCCGTACCGCTGTTCCACAACCACTCCGAAAGGCCATCCAGCAGCGGCTCCAGGGCGCATAGATACAGGTAGAGCACCATACAGCGGTGGGCGTGAGACTCCAGGGGCTACGTGGAGGGGGTGGGAGTGGGGAGAGGCGATGGACAAAATGGTCAGGAAGAGGAGGAATGAGAAGTCATGGCTGGTGTACGTAAGAGTGAGAAGGGTCGGTGCGTTGCAGATGACCCAAGTGGCTGATATGGATGAGAACATGTGAGCGAGTGGGAGCGCAGGGCGGGAAACGCGAACAAACAAAACCCGACTTCCCACACCGCGGTGCCTTTCCGCAATATCTGTTTCCCTCTGGAATACACCGGCAGGAGACTCGGATTCGCAGCTACCTACGCGGTTCGGCCCCTGCTTTCCCCCATCGTTAACCCCGGGTATCTACTACAGGAGCGCGCCACTCACCCGAAACACACCGTCCAGCCAGCCTCTCTCGTTCATCGCGTGAAGCCGCTCCAGAACCAGCCCCGCCTGCAGCTGCAGAGCCACCGAGCGGCCACCAGCCCCTGCTGCAGGGGTTGCGGCAGCGGATGGCGCAGAAGCTGGACCTCCCGGTGCAGGCGACACGGAGCTTACACGCGGCGCCGGGCTGACGTCGGAGGAGATGGCTGCCGCCGAAGCCTGTAGTGGTGGTGCCGCCGCCAGCTGCGTCACCAGCGGCTTGGCGACTTCCAGGTACGCCGCCACCAGCCCTGCAGCTCGTCGCATGAAGGGCTGACAGCTCAGCAATAGCTCATACAGCGAGGGCAGCGGCGGCGCCGCCGTCGCGGGGTCGCGGGGGCCCAATCCTGAGCGCGAGCCGTCGACGCCTCCAGCTGCCGCCGCTGATGCCGCTGCTGTGGTGACCCTTTGCTCCAGCTCCACCAGCGGGATACGGAGGGCGTGGAGGCAGGACGACACCGCCTGCGCGCATGCGCGGAAAGGTGCGTGAAACGGAGGCTGGGAGGCGGCGCAGGTTCAGACGCCTGATCCGAACAACAGAGGGTGGAGCAGGTCGGGGTACACGCGCGTACGTCCGATGCTAGAGGTTCGATGGCGTGGCTCGTCTTCGGGCCCCTCCAACCCCAGACTCGACCCGTTGGGCCTACCTGATGCAGCGCCTGCAGTGTGGGTCCCTGCACCAGCCTCAGCCCAGTGCGCCCCTTGACATCCGCCGCCGTTAGCAACCAGGCAGGCACCTCCAGGGACCCCGCAGGCCAACTGCCTCCGCCAGCCACAACCGGGGCCCCACCGCCAGGCACGGCAGAAGCTGCCGGAGCTGACGCCGGTGGCTTCCGGCCGCCAGCTGCGGTCCCGCTGCCGCCGCCAGCGGTCTGGTTCCCCGGGGTGCTCCCGGCTCCACCTCCGCAGTGTCGTAGCAGGCAGGTCTGCACCCAGTCGTCCAGACGTCGGACGGCCGTGGAGGCGCGGATGACAGAGCGTACGGCGGAGCGTACAGCACCGAAGGAGACGTCGGCGGCCAGGTACAGGTCATCGGCAGCAACGAAGCTGGGCACGGGGCCGGGTGCGGGAAGGGGTAAGACAAAACACTGACGATTAAAGCAGATACCAGAGATTGGGAAGGGGTTGTCACAATCAATGTGGTGGTACTGAAACGGAGAAGGGGATTATGACGAGGTGATCTGAAGATCGGCAGTGGAAAGCGGTCGCACCGCGGTGATGATGGGCGCCCTAGGCAGGTTTGGAGATTCTGGCGGGTCTGCGCCTGACATCCATATGCGGCGGCGGCAGAAGCAGGGGCTTGGGATGCCCGGAGCCATCTGGCATTTGAAATGGAGAGGCCCTGCCACCAGCTCCCAAGTCCGCTCGACCTCACAGCACTCATGCACATACTCACCTGCAGTTGACTGGGTCCCAGGATATTTCCTCACTGCTGCGGCCCTGCGCGGACAGGTCGCCAGCCAGAGGGCCAAGGTCGCCAGCCGGAAAAAGGAGGATCGCAGGGACGTCAGATCAGTACTCCACAACAATACAAGGATAGCATGCTCGGATGCCGCACCGCCAAACACGAGTTGTACAGGACACAGCGATGCTGGAATGGGCCACGTTAACGTGTGATCCCCAAAGCCGGGAAGCATCGCTGCCCAAGAACCACCGGGACATGTATGGAAATGAGTAACAGAATAAGGAACGACGGCGACAAGCACCAATGTCACGATTTAATTTTATCCGGCGCCATCTTTTCCCACAGCCCTCTCCAGCTCCACAGCCCCTGTCCTGTCCTTCTGGCCCTGTCCGCATCCCATCCTAGATCCCACCCGCATGCCGTTCCTTTCTCGACCCTCCGCCCCACAAACCCTAGACCCCACCATTGACCCCACCGCAGCCCGTTTGTTCCCGCACCTGCAGGGCTGCCAACAGAGCCAGCAGCACCCGGGGCAGCGGAGTCACCTCACCCGCCACTCGCAGGGGCAGACCCGCAGCCGTCACCAGCCTGGCCCGCAGGCTGCTGCTGGGGACCAGCAGTCGCCGCGGAGGGAGACGCTGGCGGCCGGCAGAGGCAGGTGGGTCATGTGCCACCGCGCTGCGTGACTGCTGGGGCTGCAGCAGCGCCTGAAGTGTGAACTGCGTCTGGAGCTGGCTGCGGGGTGCAATGGTCGGCGGGGAGGGACAGGGGCCCCAGGGGAGTGGAGAAGGGGATCCGTTGGGTGTATGAAGGAGGTTGGTTGGGACTGGGTAGCCTAAACCCAGGAGCCACACGCGGACTCCTGGCAGCTATCAGGGGCGGCAGCTAGCGGCGAAGTGGAGGGAGAATGGAGGGACAGAGGACATACAGGGCGAAGAAGAGGTTCATGCGGTATGAAGAAGCAGGGCAAGAGGACGCCATCAGCGGCAACCTGCGTGTTCATGAGCGTATGGCCGAGTAAATACGGGCTTGCTAGTGGGCTTGCCGGCTCACATGCGACTGCGATTGCGCGGTACAGTCGCAGCTCAGTCACCTTTTCATAGCTTACACACATCGTATGTTGCTGGCTGCTCTGGCACCCAAAACACGTGCCATCACCCACTTACCCGCCCACCCTTTCACCTGCTCACCCGGAAGGCTCCCGCGGCGACGTCACTACCGGAGCCGGCTTGGGGCTGGCGGCCTGAATCAGGAGAGTGGAAGGAAGTGAGGGAAAGGGCGAGTGGAGCGCGAGCACCGCTCTCGCTACATGGCTTCACATCACAGGACGGGCGTCAAACACGGCAAGGGACGGGGAATGCATGGCGAGGGGTAGCGCAAGCGCAAATCCCTTCCCCCCTTCGCTCCGCCCCTCCTTTAAAGTCAGCCGAAGTGCTCACCTGCACCCCTGCAGACGCCACCCCGAGCGCGCCAGGCCGCAAGAACGATGGCGGCGTGGGCAGCACCACGCTCCCGCTGCTGCCGTAGTCTTGCAACATCGCACCACTGCGCCGGTGGGCGGCGGGTCCCCCAGTGCCGCTGCCTGCTTCGGCGCTTACAGCCCCGGCCCGCTCATCCTCACTCCAGTCGCTCAGCGACGATGGCGAGCCGTAATAACCCCCGCGGCCACCCCTTCGCGGGGCTCCGGCAAGCTCCTCGTCCGAATCGCTGCTAGCTTCCGCCCGAATCAGGGCCAGTAGCTCCGCTTCCTCACGAACCTTCTGTGCCTTTGCCGCCGCCTCATCTGCGAGCTGCTGCTCCCGTACCTGCCGTACCAGCGCGGCGGCGTGCTCCACGGAGGTGTCGAGTGGTCGCTCGGCGAGGAGCATGAGCAGGGTCAGGATGCGGTACTCGGGGTCATCATAGTCGCTCTGCGTGTGGTGGTGTCCAGATGCGCGTGTCAATAATGTTGCTAATGAACTATAGAGTCACCGGGTGCGACTGAGGGATGAGACGTTGCCAGGGGTTCAAATGAGCAGGGGGTCAGATAGATAAATTGAAGATCTCGCGGATCGACGTGCGGTTTGGCGAAGGGGTCCGGGAACCGTGTCAGGACTTGAGCCGTGTCTGTAGCTCAATAGATGGCACGCGTATCGATCTGTACTGAAGCGCGGTGGTACCAGAGTCTAATGTGGAACATGCGCCGTCAATCCTTTAGGGTACGGTGTCAGACGCGATCTTCCTCCTCCACGAACCCTGTCGTCACCTTCAGACTGGATCCCCAACACTTGATCTCTGCCACCAGTGCCCGAACACGTGCCGCCTTGCCGCACTGAGAGTCCACATCACACCGCCGCGCCAGGCTGGAGGGGTATAAAGCAGAAACAGCGGCATGAGACGGCTTCGACGCATGGGAGGGCAAGGATTCGCTTAGGTGGCCGATATAACTGAGGTGGACAGCGCGATTATGTAGCTGAACTTGTGCACAGGCGGACAGCGGGGCCAGAACGGGGTTTCAGATTGCCTAGCATAAAGCTAGGACAAAATCAAGCTAATACAACATACGTTGCCGACATCCATTCCCCAAAACACGTATGGCGCGGGGTATGCTAGGTCTGCAAAGCGCACGGTATGCCGTACACACCTGTCAAACCAGTCCTCAGCGGCACGGATATCAATGCTCCGCCCAAGCTCAGCGACATTTTGGGCCACAAAGTTGAACGCAAGGTCGAAGTTGGCCGGATCTGATGCCTAAAGGATGCCAGGTCCGTAAGCGAACAATTTTTTGAAAGTGCTACAAAGTTCTGTTTTACCTGCAAGCCTGGCAGGAAAGATGCTACAAGTTTCTGACAGAGCGCTTCACGCTTTGCCTCCTGCTTCGCTTTGAACTTCGATGCCATTTCCGACGCTCCGGTCAACTATGCACAAAGGAGTTACATCATAATCTTTTAATTTCGCGGGCTGTTAGGCTAATCTTAGCAGAAAGATTTCGCCGTCTAGATTAGCTTCTGTCGAAAACGCGGGAAATCACCGTACCATTCCGGTTGAAATAGTTACAAACCGTTACACCGTGAAACCTAATAACTCCATATTGCCGGTACATAAGAAATTGAGCTTGCCATCGTGAAAAACCAGCCCTTAAAACGCTTGGAGCACCCAGATCGAGTGCGTCTCAAGAAGGGATGAGCCTTGCCTCGGTATGGAAGTGCCTCACAAGTAATAGTTGCGAAAACTTCTACCCAGCGCCCCATGGTAACAAAAGCCACATAACCCAAATCTTTAGGGTAAATAAGTCCGCCGCCTCTGACCACAGTCCGTAAAGTCTAGGAATGTACAACGCAGTCGAGAACGATGAAACAGACCTACACACGCCTTCGGTCCGAAGCCAAAAGTCAACACAGCTATTACACATCCGACCATCCTATAGAACAGGAGACCATCCTTTAAGATTGCTACCAAACCGGAGCCAGCCACAAGATGTCCCGTCCTTCAAGCTGCGTCCCACAACGGGGTTCCCTTTGGGTTTCGTCTCTCATGCGCCTTCCCTACGACCCAGCACCTGCGTCAACACCTGTGCTAACTGCTGCACACGGATCAGCGCCGCCTCGCGCTGCGCCGGCCCCGCGGCCGCCAGTCGAGCGCCAAAGCGTGCCCCGAACTTGTCCGGGTGCCAGCGCAGCAGCTCGGCTCGCAACCGTCGCTTGACGTCTGAGGGCCCCGTCGCACCCAGCAGGAGGAAGTTACGCAGGGCCTCGGCTGACGGTGGCGACGGCGGTGGTGGTGGCGGCGGTGGCGCACCCCCTCTGACACCCTGGCTCTGACCAGCTGGGGTAGGCTGGGTTGGTTCCAGCGGCCAGGGGATATCAGAATAGCGCAAAGGTGCCGGAGGGGATGCTAGGACGGCGCCGGCGGCCGCTTCCTGATCCAATTGAGCCCAGCGCGCATCGTAAGCGACGCGAGCCGCCGTCAGGTCCAGGGGACCCGCCGCAGGTCCAGCCTGGGGTCAGGGTAACGCGGTTGGATGGGGCATACCAGGGATACAGCACATGGATGTGGGTCATGTGCCGGGAAGACAGGAGCAGCAGCAGCAGCAGTAGCAACAGCAGGATAGGCAAACGTGGCCAGGCCGATGCGAGATGCGGACTCCGTAGCTGCACTAGGCAGGCCGGAGCCAGGGGGCTTCTGGTGGTGTTGGGCACCCCAGCTGGGATGGCAACCTTCACTATCCGTCTACAGAACAGCGCCCCAAGGAAAACAAGGAGCGTGTCAGTACCACCAACAACATCGCTCTAGTTTCATGCGGATGGGTATCACCAAATGATCCCACAACACTATCGCGGTCGTGCTCAGAAAACAAAGGAGCACGACCCCCAAGACCTTCAGTGCCTTAGATCCCAACCTCTAGTTGTTGCCAACGGGCGTGTAGGCACTCTCGCTTTCCCCTCCTGCTGCCGTACCTCAATAGCAGCCAGGGTACGGCGACGCCAATTGGCATCCTTGGCTTTTTCTTCCTGCGGCCATTTCACATGGGAGGCACGCGCACCTGGTGAATAGCGATACACGATGATACCTTGCTGAAGATGAATTGTGAAGAACAAGGCGCGATGAATTGGGCACCTAGAGCCCGGGCCCAAGAGGCCTCCACGGTCAGCTACAGCCCGACAGGGCAGTGCGGACGGGGCCCCCCTGCAGCACCCCTTCCTGCCCTCCATCAGGGGCCCAAAACGCTCCACTAGCTGTGCACCCACGCCGCCCCCTGAGACTGCTGATACCCTGAATCTGTATGGTTTCGTACGTCCCCCATAACTAACACGTATTAGTACCGTTCCCAACGGTGCGGTGGAGTACTTGGGCGCCTGACACTATTCCGTGTAAGAGGCGCCATAACCCGCATACCCAACACCTTGCCCTTGCCCATCAGATGCAGTCTGCTGTACCTGCAATATTCGCCTGCTACGCTCCTCCGCCTCCGCCGCCCGCCGAGTGGTCTCCGCGCGGAGGTCCGCAGTAAACGCGGCAGCACTGGCGGCCGCGGCTGCACTGCGGCGGCTGCACATCTCCTGCCAGATCCGGTCCGCCCAGTCGTCGTCACTCTCCCCTGCAACATAAGCGGGAGTAGACATGCATACGATGCAGTCTATCTAGCGATGCTCGCTCCGGCCACGTACCACAAACAGGGAGGCCCGCTGCGCTCTTGTTCCAACCGTCCGATACGGTCTCCTCCCCGTCGCTGAGCTCCTCCCGTAGCCGCCGCCGCCACCGCACATCCTCGTCCTCGCTCTCACCCCCTTCCTCGGGGGACTCCTGCCCATTGCACCCAGCGGCATCGTCGCCGGGTCCCGCCACGGCAACCCCTAGCTCCGACCCCTGGCCACCGCTCTTCGCTGCCGGGCGTGGGAGCGGGGCCCCCGGGGAGACAAAGGGAAGGGAAGGGGGAGGAATGTTGATGCCGCCGCACTAGCGCACTTATCTACATGTATAGCAAAACGACAGCGCAGCTGGAGCACTCTAACCCTTTATTCCCTGACAAGAAAGCGTGTTTTAACCCCCTCATGCTTGGGAGCGCTCATCACATCGCGAGCCCCGCTGCAGACGTTGACCAGGGAAACTCAGAACCAATTTGGAAAAGGCGGCCCCAAGCGCATCCGCATGCGGTCCTGCTCGCCATCCTGCTCGGCAATAGGACAGCAGGTTAGTACACGGGGGCTTTAGCAGAGGTTCTAGCCCATTATCCCCCCTCCCTATCCTGGCGAAACACCTCTTCCTTACCCGGGTCCCCCGCCCCACCGTCGTGCAGCGCCCGGCCGATCAGGTCCCGCAGTGAGGTCCCGCAGCTGCCTGTCGACTCCAGGGGCGGGGCGTCCGGCGCCTACACAGTGCACCCAGGCGGGAAAGGGTGCAGCGAGGCACCTCGACCTTGCGACCCGCGCCATTTTCCCCTCTGACACACACGCACACGACGACACCGCAGCGCTACCATCCTCCCGCGTGGGCTGTCCAATTAAAGCAACCACCTGTTGGTTAATAACTGCGAAACAAGCCCGGCCCGGAGGTACCCGGTAAAGGGCACTGCCTCCGGTGCATTACATTTCCAAGCGCCTACTAAGTCTCATTGCGCATAGGCCACGGCCGTCGTGTTGGTCGCGGGTACGGTTATCCGCATCGGGGCAGCGGACCTTCTCACAGGCCAACAATCGCTGCGCACAGGCGCCATCACAAAGGCCTTGCAGTGCACAAGCGGTATATTCAAATCCACTACACCGAAATTCACTTAAGGTGCTGCGTCTGCGGTGCGACAGGCAACGCAGCAGCGTCTGAGGTGGAAAGATGGGGAACAACGCCTTGACTTGGTTCAGGGGTTGGGACTGCGACATCCTGCACACCCGGACAAACCACCAGCACGCAAAGTATGTTCGTCTGTAAGCCCAAACCTTTCGTACCTGCAGCACTTCGGCAAGAGCCTCCAGGTGGCCAGAGCGCGCCGCCAGGTGGGCGGGAGTATCTCCGAAAGTGTCCAATACCGTTGTGGGAGCGCCGTGCCGCAGAAGGATAGACACTGCACCCGCGTGGCCGCAAATGCAAGCCTGGGTATGGCACGCGTCGCCGCGTCAAATCGCGTCGCGGGGAAAGGAAATTGAGAGACTCCAAAATATGTAATTATATTTTGCAAAAGCGGTGAAACCAAAGCAGTGGTTTCCCATGGCATAGTGCCCTGCACACCTCACATGGTGGAGAAGTGTACGGCCTTCTCTGTCGCTGGATGTTAAGCACCGAGGGGCCGTGGCACGGCGCAGCAACTTTCGAAGACGGCGAACATTCCCTCTGGTTACGTATTTTAGAGCCTTGGCCCCGAACCGCAAGTTGTCCGGGCTCCGACTCCGACTCCTGCTGAAGCTCTTTCGACGCCTTCGGTGCGGTGAAGGGCTTTGGCTATAAGAGTCAGCTCTCTTGGTTCCCATACCAGTGCCAAGTAGTTCGTGATTGGAAAATTTCCATTAGGATTTTAAATCCTAAAGCCTTGGTGTGCAGTCATAGTGGAAATAAGTGCCACAATTAAGTTGCTACGCAGAAGATTATAATTATATACCTAGCATGCTCGTGTGAGACCGGTTTGGGTGTTTCCGATGGGACGAATTCCTTCGGACTATCATTATATATAGACTCGCTTGCTGTGCTTCAGGCAGGATTGCTCTGGTCCTCATGGATTTAGACTTTTTATTTAAAAACGCTGGCAGACAATACAGTAGAACATACTGGATTGACAGTCCTCCCGGCCATGCATGAATTCATCGCCCTAGGTGCCAAGCAACTTAGGCGTTGGCCTGGCCCGGCAGCCGCCAGCTACAGTATGAAACATACACCCACGCCGTCGCCTCTGCTGTTAACTCGTCAGGGCATGGCAACTCGAAAAGCAATGTTTGGCTGCTTGCTCCCCATTTAGGTGCAGCAGAGCATGGAACGGTTGTGCCCATCCAAAGTACTTCCTGCACGGGCTGCTACACCCAGATAACCTAACCAATGATTTCACCGCCATATGGCCAGCATTCCCTCGTTTCATGATTCCAGCTCCTTATCTTGCCGCTGGGCCATGCCCCAGCTGCGCTTATGTGCTGCCAACACAACAACACAATCGTCCTGTCATGGGGCTGCGCAGAACACTTAATGCGTTTCTGCCAAACTAAAGTACCAGTGCCGGTTTATGATTGTCAGTTTCTTGCTCCTGCTCCGCAACTGTCGCCGCCAGCATAGCGTCCCCAAAGTCCAGCACCCAGTGTCCCCTCTGCTGTCCTACCCTTGCCGCAAGTCACTGGCCGCGAGCCTGGTATACTTCAGGAAGAGTCTGAGCGGCTGCAGCTGCTCCAGGGCCACTACTTGTTCGTTGAGCTTGTCCTTGAAGACCTGGGGTGGGGATAGGGGTTGTGAGGATGGAGAGCGCTTGTAGCCGAGCATGGGTGCGAAGGATTGGAACGCAGGATGAAGTCATAATTGGTGATGCATTGCATTGAGAAGCATGGAATGCCGACGCATAGGTTGTCAATATGATGCTCTGGTACGATAGTCCTATGTCAAGAGCTCCCCTGCTGAACAAGTGCCCCTGGATAGCCCCACCTCTGCTGCAGACCTTTATGTTGCATAACTTCACATTGCGGCCAACCGAAATTGCGCTTACCTGCAAAGCGAACGACCTGCTGCTGATGTTGTTCTTTCGCCGCTCGACATGCACACCGGGAACGGCTTGCCCGCAGCCTGATACCATTGTAACAAAGCAAAGGCGTAACCCGGGATGCTCAGATGGGCCTTGCGTCGTTACATTTGAGACAGCCTGAAGCACGTATGGCGAGCAGTCGGTCGCTGCCCGTTGCCGTTGTGTAATGGACGAAGTGTAATTATCGTGTAAATTAGCGTGGCGGCCCTTATGTTCATACCGAGCTGTCCAGAAGCGGACCAATTTCACTGCTGTTGAATGTTGACAGCGCGAACCGTGGCCCTCCCACCATGCAAAGGAGAAGCTGCCATCCATGGCAATGACAGGCTGGCAGTGTATCCAAGAGCCTTCGTAACGGGTGGCAGGATGCAAGTTGTCAAGATGTGTCGAAACAATTCGAGGGAAATTCGAGGGCAATATCCCCAGGGCGCACGATCGCGCCATTCTCCGTCTACCTTACTACTCTACCTTTGTGCATTTCTGATCTGACGGTTAATAGGGTAATGACGGTTAATAGCGTGAGCGACAGGTCTAGGGAACGTCGCGTGTGTGCTGCGTGTGGTGACAATGGAGTCGTTGAAAATGAGAAGCATTTCATGCTTGAGTGTCCCCAGCTTACGTCTGCACGGCAAAAGCTTTGGGACCTAGGCGTCCCCATTAGCGCGAGTGTTTGTGATGTCATGCAAGTCAATGATGTCATGCAAGTCAATGACCAGCGTTGTTTTGCGGAAGTCATGTTCGAGATGCCTGTCTTAAGCCTTCTTTGCGTGCCTTCGGCATCTACTTGGATGCCGTGTTGGGTACTTACTGTTTTGGCCATAGCTGTACGCTCTCTATTCTTGTTTACTTAGTTTCCCGACGGACTTCGGGTTCGTCCGAGTCCGTCGGTTCGTCCGTACGAGCTCGCGGAAGCTTGTGACATCCATCTATCCATCCATGTCACCCAGCCCTTTCACTGTTTAATGCGGTGTTTTTTGTGCATTATAAAGTACCTTAGCCCATGAGCCAGCTACTCGGCCGTTCTGGCAAGGCCAAGCCAGTGGCGGTGCAACGAAAGGGCGGAACTTTCCATCGAACTTTCCCAATTAGTGCATATGAAATCCACACAGCGATTAAGGAGAAAACAACAAGCTACGCATACTGCGAGAAGTCAGATGGAAGTACGGGTAATCACCCTTACTAACGTGAGCATCACAGATATCTATATGCAACTGAGGAGAGCAGATAACCCTATCTATTTAATTCCGCATTGCTATATTCCTAAACCAGATGAAGAAGACCTCATTTAGCAAATGGTTAGCCCCGCCAGCCGTACAGAATACGACAGCCTTTGCGACCGGCCACCGGACCGGAACCGCAAATTTCGGACCGGAAAGGTGATGCCCGACGCCCTCCATCACGTCCTAGTGATAAATTATGACCACAGGCAGCGTTTGGAGCTGTCAGGCCGACGCGCGGCAAAGGCCTAAGTGAATGGTGCAAAGGTATATGTACAATTGATATCCTCGCCGTGCTATGTTGCAATGCTGGAGAAATCAAGGATATGGATTTGCAACGTGGTGATCCTCGCACGGATTTACAGCATACGCGCAACAAAGGTTTAACCTTAGCCAACGCAGCCCCATCATCAACAATGGGCAGCAATCGAACGAAATGCGAGTCGCGTGAGCAGACACTGTCGCCAATCTTCAGCAAAGAATGCCTATTTCGTCATCGAAGGCAGGGCACCGACGCTGATAATGAATATTTACGCAAAGGCTTCCGACTATCATTTCGCAAGCACAAGTGCGCAGGTGCTAGCCCGGACATACCAGCGCATAGCGGCAAATCGGCCGCGACGCTTGAGGGAATTATAAGAAGACACAGTGGACAAACTGCGGAAATGAAAAGGGATCTATAATTCAGGCGAGCAACTTATTGAGGTCGCATACCAAAACACCTTGAATCACAATACAACCGCGAGTACCGCTCACCATGTTATCCCTAGCAGGATTCAGACTGGCGCCAATTGCCAAATTCCGTGAACCAGTTATACCCGTGCGTTCATTCCACGATGCAGCAGCAGTGGACGATACACCTGGCGGCGCATCGCTCACTGCCGCAGCAACCCATCGACCTAACCGCTGAGTCGTCACCCACATACGCAGCAACACCCTAGCACCCAGCCATAGGCAGGCCCAACCTAAGCACCAAAGCCACACTGAAAGAATTATCGACGCCACGCACTCCTACAACAGGAACCCCTGCAACACTCCACAGGTATTGCCGCCCCTACAGTCCCGACAACGCACGAACTGTCACCCAGGATATGCCCGTAAGCATCAAACAATAGCAGCGACAACTTGAGCAGATGCACGAGATATGCAGGACAAATACCTACTCTACCGCCATTTCCCGCTCACCATCCCAAGCACATAGTAAAGCACCCTAGGATATTCCAAACATCAGACATTCCAAACCTCGACGCTCCTGGACTAAAGTTACAACAGAACGAGGACGATTTTCTACGGAGAGGGTTACGAGGACCCGATAGAAATCGGTTATGGGTTGTAATGGCCATGCCAAAAAGATGTCCGCCACTCAGCTAGCGCCAACAACCGACCGAGCCTCGCTAACGACCATTCTCAATATTAAAAGTCGTGCAAACACAAAACGATACACAGAATCTCCGCAATAGCCTGAAGACAATGTATGGAATGCTTGCGTCGTCTGTAATGCAGGAGTTACATAATGTACAGAGGCCGCATGCGGAGTCGGCTTGCCGTCGTTCAGGTATACAATGCGCACCCACTAAATGCGCACCCAACTAAAACAATGCCCTGCGTGCGACACGTTCCAAGATCAAGCCGCTCCTTCACCACGCCTCCGTCGACATGAACTGCTCCAACGAGGGCTGCCAAGGTAGCAACGGCCACGCGCGCAGGAGGTAACATGGGTGTTAAGGCGCAAGCAGCCGCTCCCCATTTACATATTAGCAACAGGTACAGATGACCCCGATTGCGGGCCCATCGCCCAGGTCGTCATGCCATTCCTACTGTACACCTCCAAGACGTCCTCTGGATAACCCTCATTCCTGGCTGACACAGCCGGGCTCGAGCTCATCTCCTCATCCCACTCCTCGGCAACTGCTGCCAGTGACCAGCCAGGAGATCCGGAACGGTCCTGAGGGCTCCGCGTCAGCACCGTGGCAAGGGGTAGCACCTGCACAAGGTCCCCGCTTTGGAGAGCGGCCTCGCCTGACGGCAGCCGGTTGTTTACAGTAAGCGCGTACCCTGGCTGTAATCCTAGTCCAAGCTCTTGCCAGAGGTGCTGTGCAGTTGTTCCCAGGGGGAACTCCTTCGTCTCAACACCATCCGACGTGGCTAGCAGCACGCTAACCTCCGTCTTTACAGGAACCTGCAAAGGAAAGGGCCGAAACTTTCGTATTCACAACCCAAACCAAGGCACTAAGGCAAGGTACCCTTACAAACTCGAGGAGAACAACAAACTGACCGAAGGGTGGATCCCAAGTAGAATTGTTGTACATACAGGCCGCTTTTAAACGACTGTTCTAGTGCACAAATAAAAGAAGCGCCGGTTCACACGAACTACAAAGTGACTGCCAAAACCAGCTGCGGCGCCCACCACACCTGCAGCTTGAACCGCTGGTGCCGCAGAAACGGGTCCAGCAAACTGCCTTGCTGATCCTCAGGGGCGTCGAGGTAGGCGACGCCGAGTGACTTCAGCGACCCATCAGTTGGCGGGCTGCCTTGCGGCCGTACCTTCTTATCGTGGACACCCAGCTTGTACTGTGTCAACCAGCGCTTATACTGCGTCTCCTGCGAGATACCGACCGCAAAACACCTTTAGGTGCAAGACCTAAACCGATTACGTCGCAGCTCCATACGACCCTGCCACCTGCGTTGCAGGGGCTCCTTACTCAGGACCCAATAGTTCTACCCTCACCTTTTCAAGCCATTCGTCCTCGCTGTCCAGCTTTTCCTTGTATTTCCAGTGCGCTGCGAACCCGTACTCGGCAATGTAGTGCATCTTGTGCGTGCGTATTTGGACCTGCGAATAACATATGCTCTTCTGGGTCACAACGCTTAGTCATATTGTCCAGAGCAAGATGAACTCAAAAGCTAGGGAAACCAACATATGCACTAAGGCAACACCCTCACCCACCTCCACTGGGACATCGCCCTCGCCGTATACAGTTTCATGCAGCGATTGGTAACCATTGGGCTTTTTGATATCCTTTATGAAGTCCTTGCTCCGGGCCGGCATGGTGCGGTAAACGCTCTGAGCCGCACGCAGCGCTGTGTAGCATTCGTGTTTAGAGGCTACGATTACGCGCAACGCCATCAAGTCGTACACGGCGCCAAGCGACTCGGAAGTCAGCGGCTTGCCATCCTTCTTCAGCTTTGAGTATATACCATACAAGTTCTTCGGACGCCCGCTGATGTCCTCGTACTTAACGCCGTGGCTGTGCAGTGCGCCTTTGATGGCGTTGATGGTAGCTTCAAGCGCCACTGGGTCTTGCCGCGACCGCACCGCGTTTTTGAGCCACGTGTACTCCTGTGGTCGTGGCCGCAAGATGGACTTACATGACATTCATCGCTGATTCGCAAGGGTAGATTCATTTTAGCTATACTTACGGCAAGTAGAATGCATCGCTCGCCATGTAACAATACTCAAATTGAAAACGCAAATGTACAGCTCGGCACTTAATTGCGCCCCACATTTCGACGGGCGCTCAGGACAAGGAAGCTATAGGCGAAGGAGCCTGTAAATGAGTGAATAGCCCGTCAGTTCGCACTCCATTCGCACCTCGGGGTGTAACACGCTGAAGGCCAGGTCCTCCAACTCAGCCTTCAAGCACCATACGCCCAGACGGTTCGCCACTACGGAATACACCTCCAGGGTCTCCCGGGCCAGCGCTTCCTGACGCTCAATGGGCAGTATCCGCACGGTGCGCATATTGTGGATGCGGTCAGCCAACTTGACCAGAACAGCTTTCACGTCCTCCATAGCCACAAGCATGCGCCGGAACGTCTCCTCCGTAAATGATCCTGAGGTGCTATGCTGGCGATACAACCGGCTCATTTCGCTGATAGTGTTAACGCGGTCCAGGACGCTAACCACTGACGGCGGCATAAACTCCTCAAGCTGGGAGCGATACACATCGCTGCTTAAGCACTCGTGTAACAAGCCTGCGGCAACAGCCTCCTCATCCAAGCCTAGTCCAGCCAGTAGCTTTGCAACCTGCAGGCAGAAGGTTGTGATCATTTCATCTCGCTTAACCACAGGTAGCGTACGCGTTGCAAAGTAATTCACTCACCTCCACGCAGTGACTCAGTAACGAATCGCCATTCTTGCGGAGCTGGTTCGCGTGAGCCCGTGCAGCTAACCCGTATGCCGTGACTACAAGCTCCTTATGAAACACCGGGTAAGACGCCTGCCGGAATCATTTCCGAAATACCAAGGTCACAAGCTTTGCTACCTTATCGAAATGACCGAGGCAAATAGACGGTATGATAGAGAGTAAGCAGCGAAAAGAAAGCGACATCAAAGCAAACAACAGGAACAAGGCTTGCAGGACCGCAGGACTCATTAAAGCGCCCTATCCAGCGCACAAAGCGACAAATGCAACACAAACGCCCGACTTCCCTGCCTACCTGAGCCTGGCGCAGGAGGTCAAGAGGGATGCCGGGAAAGAACATAAGCGGGTCTACAGACGGGTCCGCCGAGACTGCTGGGAGCATAGCCGGGCCCAGTTCATGCTCCTGTCAAACAATATGTAATAACACAGTTGGCGCTAAGATGCAAACAAGAATTAAAACTCTGCGGTGCAAGAAAAGCCCTGGTTCTGACCTTGATGGGCTCGTTGCTCAGAGCACGGCTGAGCAGCCCACGCGGCGCAGAAGAGCAATTTGCAGGGCGTGAAGGGAATGAAAATTTTCCTTCGTCTATAAAAGGACTGCTTGTTCCAACTGAGAAGCCGAAGGTCACGGGCGCGTTGGAGGAAGCTACCGGCTTGGCGTCCGCGGTCTTCGGTGAGGAAGCAACAGACCGCCGGCGCCCCGATGTGGAAAGGCTATAACGTTGGTAGTGGTCATCTGCACGAGCACCATCGCTGAAGCCATCCATAGCACCCGCACCTGACCAGCGCGTAGAGCCGGTCGGTGCGGGAGCTGTTGATCTTCCCCCATTAGGAAGGCGCTTCGCTCCAAAAGGTATAGGCGTCGACCGCGTGAGCGTCAGCGGTGAGGTGGCCAAGTAGCCCTGGCCGGCGGGCACACTATAGGCGGCAGCCATAATCACGGTCGGGGTGGGTCTGATGATTTCCGGGGCGCGGGCGACTGAGGAACGTTATCAGGTGTCCGGGTGCTGGAAGACCACGAGGAAGACATCTTAAAAGAGATATCAAGCTGCAGAGCAGCTATTAGAGCGCCATGGCTCTAAGCGTATGCAACCTAGAAGGGACAAGCAAAGACAAGAAAATAGACCTTAAGCTTTCCAGTGTTTTCTCGGTAGATTCTCAGATATCCTTATGGTACACAATTTGTATCGTGCAATATTATGTTGAAAGTGTCGGAGAAAAATGACGCGCTTTCCGTACACGGCGCCCTTTTCATGCATGAAGCCTCCAATTGTAAGGAACACATGGCTACAGTGTACATGCATATGCGTTGTTAACCTACTCATTGATGACTTCACGTGGGCGAAAATGTCCTAGTGTGCGTGGTGCATGCTAGTCCGCGAGTTTAAAAGACCTTGCATGTAAGATTTGCATTGCCGAGCGATGCAGTGAAGCGCATGCACCAGCTGACAGGTGTAGGGGCAGCAGGCAACCAACGTGTGGGCCCGGACATGGGCCCAAGGGACGTACACAAACGCTGCAAAAAATCGCTGCTGAAAGTGCTGCATGCTTTACCAGCAGGAACAGCATACGCCTACACAGCAGGCTACCAGGATCAACATTTAGATCTTCATCAGGGTTCAGGCTTGTAGCTGCATTATCACTGCCATGGAACAAAAGTGGTGTATCCCGGGTTCCTCACCAGCGCTTGGGGTCGCTCACGACTCCGAACAATTGAAACAAATGGTCCGCTGAAACCCCCTCACCCCATTGAACCTCTTCCTAGGACACTACACCCTCCAAAAATATTTCCCGTTTCTATTCGGGATTAAGCGCTTGGATTACACGCGTCTAGCCCGCCCCCACCACTGGATGAAATGCTGGAGACCAACGAGGATTAGGGCGGGAATCTCATTAATGTACGCCAATCGGCTTGTCTCACTATTTATCGTAAGTAAGTATATGCCTAGGGTTTACCTGGACTAATCTTACGAGGGAATAGCGCAAACCGTATATCCAAGTGAAAATCCCAGGACACACGACCCTAGCAGTAGACCCTAGAGAGTCCCGCATGCGCGAGGGGTAAACGTGGCTGTCGTTAAGCATAGGCCGTGGCGGGTTACCATCAACCCTATGCGCGCCTGTGTAGCGAGCTGGGCATGCAGCTCAGGATGCGTCAGTCATGTACAGACCTGCCTTACACAGAACATCCTAAGGGTCACACATGGCCTGCTGATTCAATATACGTCACGATGAAAGCCAAGGTGCGCGTGATGTACTACACATGCATGTGTGTGAGGTACTACACATGCATGTGTGTGAGGTACTACACATGCATAAATCCCTGGCTGGGCCACCTCAACAGCCACGACAGCGAGGAGAATGCGCACCTTCATCATGATGTCACTGTAAAGGCCCTTAACAGGAGCAACTGCAACTGATGCAGATAGCAGTAAAACTCCATCTAAAGTGCGAAATTGGCACGCCGTACGCCTTCGAGCCTCGTGAATCCCGGTCTTAAAACTTGCATAGGGAGTATACGGGGAACTGCCGGAATTATTTCCCGGTGCTCCATGCTCTGTGACAAGAGGGACTTAAAGTAGCCATTTGTAATTCTGTTATCGGGCATTAGCTAAATGGTGTTTAAATCTTCAGATGTATGTAGCGTTTGGGATTTTTCCTGGCTCCGTGGACGCTTGCCCATACTCTACCCCGACGCTGGCCAGATGCCTGTCAAATAGCGCCCAGTACCCAGATGGGGTATCTTCCTCCCGGTTTTGCGTTGTCCTGTACCGGCAGCCAGCCTCTTGCAGTTACGGCACTGGAGATAGCGCACTTGCTCAGTGGTTTGCAGGCGTCCTGTCCTGTCATGAAGTTTGCTACTGCTACTGCGTCTTCCAGCGCCACGTGCCCACGTGGTCCACGTCAACGCTAAGGACCGGTGCACAACCGGTGCAGAAACCTTGGCAAAGCGTGCGCGCCTGCCTGCATGCAATGCTTCCGAAGTGCCATATGGGCCAGCCTGGCGTCCTTCCAATCGCCGATCCACAACGGCAGGCACCATTGAGGCCTCCTCATGAGGTCTACCTACGTCTTTCCCATGACCAACAACGCGGTACTGCGCATGCTTAGCTTGGCACATCGCGAGCCTGGCATGCTACGGAACCAATTGTCTGCAGTGCACGACGTATGCGGAGAGTAACTGACCCATCTTAATACAGTTGGCGATTCAAGTTTAGGCACGGTTGCTGATTCCGCTGCCCTGGCAAGAGCACCAATCCCCGATCAAGAAAGGTGGGAAAGGGCTGGAAAGTCCGGAGCGCGGAGATCGACAACAACTGCCCGTCAGTGTCCGCAGAGGCTCTAGAAACAACGCAGGCAAGCAGCAAAAGGCATCTGTGGCTTTCGCTATCATGTCACTTGCCTAGGTTAGTCACCATGACGCCGAGACGCTAGGGTGCAAAACACCCACATACCAGCATGCTACCGTTCGCAGTGCCCATCCCGTGCTGAAAGACCGGCTACGGCCGGGCGACCCTCCCAAGTCCTGTACTTGCTGTAATGGCATGCGCAAACCCAAGTCCTGTTGGCCAGTAAGCGCTAGCCACCCACCAACGCCGTGGGGTTCAGGCTATCCTGGCAGAAGAAGTTGCGATAGAAGCGCAGCCCCTCAGGGCCGTCATCCCGACACACTACTCCGCGGGCCTCTGCCATGAGCAGGTGCTCAGATGCAATGGCCACCGAGATACCCCCCAGAGCCAGTGCGACGTCACTGGCGCTAACACCCGGACCCAGCGGCGGTGGCGGTGGCACCGCAGTCGCCCCGCAAGCTGGAGGCGCAATGGTGTCGGAGATCGCAGCAGCGGTAGAATCTTGGAGGAGAGGGGAAGACGGCGTCGTGAGCTGGGCTATCTTGGCGCACACCTATGGGAAGGGATGAGGAAGAGGGTGACTACACACATGGCGCAACGGCGATAGGAATAGGTGGCAGCGACATCATGTGACCATGTGTTGCACGAGTGGGTAGTGGAGGGTTCAACCAAGGCGGGACCCTCACCCTACCCAGTGCACAAATTGGTCGGGCGGAAGGGAAGAGGACCGCCAATATAGTCGGGAGAGAGATGTAGGTCATGGGGCAAAGCCAAATGGTCCACGGTGTGGCAAGGGGCTTGCTGGCTTTGGTGATTGCAATTGGCTTTCGCAATAGATTTGCACTCATAGTTGTTAGCATGGCCGCCTGCCCTGCATTACCCTCGTGGGGTCAGGCTGATATCGCGCCTGGTCGATTGGTTAAGACCGTGCGGGGCCAGTGCCGTTGTAGGCATTGACTGCGCTCCCCCAAAACCCTCAGTGCGTCCCACGTGGCAGCGAAGCTGAAAGCCGCCATCCGAAAGCCCCAATGCGAGACACTGAACCAAACCCTAGGCGTAACCCCCCACAGACACACCAACCTCTACCCCTACCCCATCTCCCCCTGTCCAGGGGGAAGCATCGCGGCTTCAGGACCTCCCCCAATCGGTAAGGACATCTTCCTGGGCGCTCAGGCCGGGGCTCGTCTCGTCAGCGTCTGGCTTTCTCTCCCAAGCCATCCCATCCATCACCCGCCCACCTGATCCTCCGAGTGCTGCGGGCCCTGAATCACCAATACCCCGCTGCTCAAGGGCCTCAGCCGGAGGCCCTGTACACCCGCCCGCAAAAACAGCTGGGCAGCCTGCGGAAGGACAGCGCAAAGGGAAGTTCTGGAAAGACGGATGGGAGGCCACCATCAGGAGTGTGTTGGGACTTGGTCGAGGTAACATGCAGGAACGTTAGTGGATGGTCGCGGGCGCCGTCACATTGCCAGTTTCCGACCGGGCACTTTCCGCCGACGAGGCTGAGTTTCTTCTCCTCACACCCTTCCTGGAGCGGCGCCCTAGACGGCACATGGTATGGGTGGCTCCTTGGTCGCCAAAGGCCATGTCCCCATCCTGGCCCAGGCCCCCTGCACCTGGAGGAGGTCATCCGGCGACACCAGTTCCGTGCCACGCGCCCTGTTGAAGAGGCAGTACACGTCCGGCAGGCTCATGAGGCCGCCTACTCGCTGCAAGGGGGTGGCCAGGAAGTCCGCCAGCTGCCGGGACAGCTCGATGTGGTAGCGAGCGCCTGGGGCCGCGCCAAAAGGGGTAAAAGGCTTTGCGAGGTCAGGGGGATAATGAAGCAAGACGTGCCAGCCAGTTTGGACTGCCCTCAGCGGACCCCGAGATGCGGAGGAGATTACGGGAAGATGGGAGACGAGGGTTGGGGCTGGACCATTTCCAGGGCAGATGCGTGGTGGGCTAGGCGGTGTTAATGACGTCTGCAGAGCTCGCGGCTCTCCGCCTGCCAAGACTATACATCCCACACCACATCTTTATTCGAGGACTTGGTGACCACAGTATCCAACTTTCAGACCTTTTTTTATGAAAAGCTATATTATCCATTATTACCCCCCAGCTCGTAGCCCAAACACACGCCTGGACCTGAACCTGAAGTTGCGTTCTCGCCCACCCACATCCTGACGTCCGTCTTCAAGCGGCCATGAACCCCCCCATCATTTCTCACCAGGAGCAAGCCTACAGGACCTGCCAGCCCTAATGACCGCACTTAGGCACGCAATATACACACGTCACACGCACACACACCAGCAGTCTGCCGGGTGACAGGGCTGCTGATGCCCAGGGCGATGAGCTGCTGCTGTGTATCCAGGTCCATCAGAAGGGGGTCCTCGCCGGCCGTTCCCGTCGAACCCGCCGCACCGCCTGTGCTCCCCTCCGCCCCCAGCACTCCACGGAACTTCTCCGCTAGCGCCACCATGGCAGCGGCGCTGGACATGAGCGCGGACAGGTCACGGAACGCCTGCTCCACAGCTCTGCAGGGTGGCAGACCCAACGATGGCGAAAAGCCATGTTGGGGCTATGTTGGGAGTTTTGGTCCCGTTTTCCGAGTCCTGTTCGTGTAAATGCGGATGCGCATTATAGAATGACGCAGTGTGGGGGCAAGTGGTGTGCAAAGACGATCCTCACGGTCTGCGTATGTACATGGACCATGTACATGTTACACGTACTACAAAATAAGGGTCGCATCCAAGTTACACAATGGCATAGGTTAAAGCCCAGCAGATGGTACGGCGACATACAGGGCCCACCTGCCCGATTCCTCGGTCTTCTGCTGCTCGCGCTTCACTATTCCTGCAACACCGATGGTCCGCGCAGGCAGCTGCCCCGCCAAGTCCAGCGATGCGCGTGTCCCAGTGGACGTCGGCAATGCAGCCGACACGGATGGCGACGCCCCGCCCGACCCTGCCAGATCCGGCGCGCTGCCGTATAGATGCGGGTACGGACGAAGCGCCGCGGCGGCCGCCGACTGCGGGCTGTACGGATAGAGGTAAGGACTAGCCTGGCCGCTCGTCGGCGGGCCGGAAGAAGGCAGAATGCCCGGGTAGCGGCTCGTGGTGGGGATGAAGGCGGGCGGCGAGGGCGATGCTGCGCTGCTGGCGCTGGCACCGACTGCTTGCGATGCGGGCGTGGCTGTGGCGGGTGACAAGTCCAGGGGCTCATCCATGCCGGCCTGGTCGCCGAAGGCGAGCAGGTAGTCAATGGCCTCCTGCGAAAGAAAGACAGTGAGCCCACAACCCCCCTAGTTCATGTGTCACCATGACAGTGGAGACTTTAGGGCCCGTGAAGGCGGCTGGACGGCTGCACCGCAGCGAGCCACACACAATGTGTTGCTGTTATTAAAACGCTCGTGTGTTCTCTCTCGCAGGCGCGATTAGCATCCATACCCACCGAAAAACCGCATTTGGGTGCTTCGTGTGTAGTCCACTGTCCTTCAGGTTCCCGGCGTGTCAACCTACCAATCCAGTTCAGACGGACATCCCTTGCGCCCCACCCACACCCTGCTACCCCACCTGCGTCCCCGTGTTCTGGGTGGCCAATAAGGACCTTGCAGCGCGGTTGCGGGGGAAGCCCTGCAGTGCAGCCAGGTGGCAGGCATATCATCAGGTGGAGAAACACCGCTTGTTCTGGGTGGCCAATAAGGACCTTGCAGCGCGGTTGCGGGGGAAGCCCTGCAGTGCAGCCAGGTGGCAGGCATATCATCAGGTGGAGAAACACCGCTTTTGTCCACTGATTTTTCCAAATAAAGTCACGACTTCGCAAAACCACGTAATCTGCGCAGTCCGCGTTTGGGCCATGTCCGAGGTCCGCGTATTTCCTCCGGTACCAAACTCCACCGCCCTCTTCCTCCTCCTAATCGACCCACCATCTCCACCATCTGCTGCAACATCAGGGGGTCCGGCCGAAGCTCCGCTGCGACGCCCTGTGCTGACGACGTCGTCGCCACCCCGACATCCTGCGCACTCGCTGGCCCCGGCCCCATCCCCGGCGGGGACGAAGCCAGGCCACTCTGTGCCCTGACGGGCCCTGCACCCGGACCTGCGGGCGTTCCTTCAGCCGTCAGTGGACCTAGACGGGATTGGAGAGCAGCCCGGAGAGGGGACCAATGGGGGTCCAGCTGCCCGCTGCCAACGCGGGCGGCAACAACGGCGGAGGCGGCGCTGGGGCCGCCAGTGACACTGCCGCTGGGAGTGCCGGCGCACGTTGTTTTGCCCGTGGATGACTCTGCGTCGGCGGCTACGGCCTGTCGGACTTGCTCCTCCAACTGCACTTTGAAGCCGTCGGGCGCCGGTCCGCGACACCGCAGGCCGAGCAGGTCGATACTGGTATGGAAGCCGGAGGCTGCAGCGGGGGTAAGGTGGGGGAAAGACGAATCACGTAAGGAAGGGGAGGGAACCAGTTGCGGAATAAGAACCGCCCTTATGGGAGAGGAGGGGGAAGGACCCGGAGGGGGAGGACCTGAAATACTGCACCATTACGGAGAGAAGGAAAAGGAGGATCAGCGGCAAAGGTGTTGTACTTCAAACCAGGCGGTTCCGAAGCGGAAGGGGATGCAAGGCGCGGGGGCTCAAGGGGGGCTGGTAAAGTCGCTCCGCCTCTCAGCTGCCGCAGCACTCCAAGGCACTGCTAGTCGGAGAGGCGGCGCACACGCTTCTTCCTCTCCGGGCCCGCAGACCTCCCCGCTGTCCGCACACTCACCAGGCACTGGCTGCCGCAGCCGGTCCGTGTAAACTTCCAGCATCAGCCGCACCTGGTGTCGCAGCAAGGGGTTTCCCCCAGGGTGATGTCGGCGCAGCATGTCGTCGACGGTGCGGGGTAATAAGATGCCCCGGTGGGAGAGTTGGACGACGGAGGAACAGGACAAGTCGAATGGCAGCGAGGGTGGGAGGCACGGGAAAGGCCAGTGAGGTTAGAAGGTACATCTGGTCCGGGCCGCGACAACTGTTTCGGCACTATCCGCGCTGCTAGTTGTATTTAAAGAGGGCGCTGGTTGAGCAGCCGTGCGCACACCTTGGCACCCTTGATGCTGTACTGCACTTTCTTGTGGCACGCCACAACGGCGGCCAGCAGCAGCGAGGCGGCACGCACTTTCCCTGGCGCGGCGCTGGAGGCAGCGGGCACTGCAGCGGGTGACGCACCATCGCCAGACCCCTCCAGTACCCAAATGATCCGCCGGTTGGTGAGGATGACGTAACCGTTCTGGCGGAGGGAGGGTACAGCAGCAGCGGCAGCGGGTTTCAAGCGGCGGACTAAGAGGCTAGAGAACCGCGACGCGGCTCTCCCGGGGAAGGCCCGTGGGAACCATCAGGGGACCATCTGGAGAGGGTGCCGCGAAGCCGGCAGCAGCAGCAGCAGCAGCAGCAGCAGCAGTAGCAGGTTGCTGCTTTGGAGGCCCATATAAAAGATGTATTAAGTTACCCCCCATGCTGATTGGTAGGTAGCTCCGGTGCCCACCCTCGTGGGGAGCGGTGTGGGTGAGTGCAGGCTAGATGCCAGCTGGGGCGGCAATCGCCCGACACATAAGCCACAAGCGCCATGCAGGCAGTGAGGGGCCCGACGAACACCAACACCCGTGGACCATGCACCGTCGCCATATGCCGTACACCATTACCCGATAGGCCTCCGCCTGATGCCCCGCCAGACCGCCAACTGGCTGGAATTCCAGATCAACCTATACGTGCGGGTTACCACGGCAGCAGCACGTCACTCACGCTAAAACGCAAGGTGTGTCGCGTTCTAGGCGGGGCTGTGCGTGCAGTATTCAACCCGGTTATGTATACATGTGTGTGTGGTGAGGGTGGGAGATTTGGCCGGCATGTGTCTGTTTTGGACGGGAAACACAGCAGCCGGGGAATTGCGGGCAGGCGCTGGAAAGGTGTACGGAGGCCGGTATGGATCATATACGACAACACAGAACGACACAGGACCCGAATTACATAAAGGAGGCGCCGAGACAAGGGTTGCACAGAACGCAGGCCTTGAAATCAAGGAGGGCGCAGAGGGTCTCAGCACGGGAAGATTGGGGTACCGCCCTGTGTGTGATAATCGGATGCCAGGCAAACAAAAGATCGCTATTCAGGCCATTCACAACAGCTTCGTCATGACGGGAAGTCAACGGCAATCCATGGACAAGCACATTAGCACCACACGTGGATGAAAAATGTGCTTAAAAAGCGGACGGGGTAGGGGCGGGGCGGGACTTGACGTGGCAAAAAGGTGAAGGTAGCACTTCTGTTGTACACAAGAGGCCCCTCACCTTATCCAGCAAGCTGACCTCCACCTCCCCCTGCTGCAGGACGGGTCTCCCACTGGGAGTCAGTTGCGCGGCAGTAAGAATCATGTTCGCTGGCTTCTCGTTCAGACGCGGGCAATGATGCCGGGCAGTCGGCCAGGCATGCTACGCATCTTACGATCCTGGCCAGACCAAGTCCATCTCCGTAACGTGTATACAATCCTGCCTCAGAAATACTAACAGCGATAAAGGTTGCTGTTGGAGCCTCGGTTGACGTTCTCATGTGTAAGCCATGGGGCTTGGACAACACACCTGAGCAGTCCTATAAACATGATAATGCATATAATGCGCTTCGCTCGTATGGAATCATTGGAAATATCTTCAAAAGTACGGCAAAGAGCGAAGAAAAACGGCAACCGCAAACCGGTGTTTTGTGATCGCTGATTAATGCTAAGGGCCGATTGGGGTCAGGTGATTGGCGCTGCTAATTGGTTAGCGTTGGAAATTATTATCAATCTGCGATTACAACTTTTTGCTGGTGGTAGACCGCCCTGGCGTTTACGTCACTCGCCGAAGTTACACTGCTAACGGGACCGTGTTGAGCGCTCAAAGCTGGAAACTCAGTACAATAATGGACTCGCTTTTGCAATCGCCTGCTCTCCAGGTTCGTGAGGAGGGTTTCGCTGCACGGCCCAACGGGTTGCGATTGCCTGCGTTTCCACAGACCGGGAAGCGCACCGACAGGCAACGCGATGGCTAAGGTAGCTTGCATTATTCCCTGATGTAACTGAACCCAGGCGCACACGGTCCTTGCGCTGGCGGGACTCACAAGCGCATACGTAGCTGTAGCGCGCCCCACGCTCTCCCGCCGTAAGGGCGAGGCTCGCTCTAGCCCTCCCGCCACACTGTACGAGGCCGGCACCAGCCCTGCGCTCTCCGCCACCGCCATGGCTGCCTTTCGTGCCGTACTGGCGGTCTACATATTTGGTATGGGTCTGGTACAAATGTTAAGGCTGGGTCCGTACGTCTTCAAATTCTACACGATTTGGAACTGGTGGCTGCTGGGGCTGTACTTTGCGTTGGCGGCGCTCGCATCGGCGTTGTGTGCCCGCAAGGAGGCGGCGGAAGAATCCGCAACACGAGCACCTGCAGGACCTGTCGAGGCAGATCCAGCCTCATCCGGGCGCGATACTGGCACACAGCCGCAGGCGGGTGGCCAGCTGCATTGCACCAGCGAGTGGGAAGTGGCCCGGGCGCCGCAGCCGCAGCCGCCGGCAGAGCTGCTGCGCGCGACGCCTCTTTCGCGCGCCTGTCATGCGCTGTTTCTGGTGAACTCGTCCACGGTCATCATCGTGGATGCGGTGTGCTGGGGTGTGCTATATCCCATGCTCTCCCGGGGCCCACAAACCCCGGAGATCGAGCGCATCATACGGTGAGGGCTCTGCAGCTCACCATGGGTTGCGACGCAATGCGGAGCACAATGCGGTGTCAGGGAGGGCAAGATGCCGGGCGTAGCGAGGTAGGGGTTGGGGTACCCCCGGGACCCCGCGCCGGGCTGCAGAAAATGGCACGTGGGAATGGCCGTGGGCCGGGCTCGGGGATGTAGCGTAAATCGCTGAGTGCAGGGCCGAAAAACTCTATGCCTGTACGGATGTACAGGAATTGGGGAAATGCTGGTTAAGAGGGCCGGTGGCTGGTACATGGCTTTGCGGAGGGAACGCTGCATGATGCTGAGGCGTGTCTCGAAGAGGAGGGGCAATGTGTGTGCGTGTGTGTGTGCGTGTGTGTGTGTGCGTGTGTGTGTGTGCGTGTGTGTGTGTGCGTGTGTGCGTGTGCGTGTGTGTGTGCGTGTGCATGTGTGCATGTGTGTGTGTGCGAAACGCACAATATTGGACCGGCTTAATTGAGTCGCTGAACTGAATCGCCTCCTCGACCACATCCGGGCTGGGCGTCCTCGCCTGGACTCTCCTCAACCCCACGCCGCAGGCGCCTGCTGCTGACATTCACTTCCTACAACCAGCATGGCCTGAACGCGGTGTACATCTTCTCCGACCTGTTTCTCAACCGGCACCGCCTGGCCTTCCACGCCGTGGGCCCACTGGGGCTGTGGTCGCTGCTGTTCTCCATCTGGGCGCATGCCTGGCACGCCAAGACCGGAAAGTGAGTGTGGCCCGCCGTACAACAGCTGGTTGAGAGGCGCCAGGCAGCGGATAGGGCCCCTGCACCTTGACTTGAAGGATTGCGCCTCTGAGCCGACCTGAGCACTGCGTACGCGGCAATTAGCGATATGCTGCCTAGTTGGGTTGGATCGCCTCCAGGAACGCAAAGAATGTAGTAGTAGGTACAGGTCAACTCACGTCCGACCGTCAGGAAATGGCACGGCATGGTCCTGACTTGGGCATGGCACGATGGGAGCGGGAGCTGTGGTGACGCACCGTTGCTCTCACCTTCTTGCCTGATGCCCCGATGCAAGCGGGAGCTCATGGGGGGGGCGGGGGAGGCAGGACCTACCTCGACTACAATACACGGGGCAGTCGGGGAGGGGGGTTAAGGCACTCGTGTTGGTATGTAGTTGACCGGTCTGTTGACTGCGCTGTTGACTGCTCTGTTGACCGTCCTGTTGACTGCTCTGTTGACCGGTCTGTTGACTGCTCTGTTGACCGTCCTGTTGACTGCTCTGTTGACCGGTCTGTTGACTGCTCTGTTGACCATCCTGTTGACTGCTCTGTTGACCGTTTTGTTGACTGCTCTGTTGACCGTTTTGTTGACTGCTCTGTTGACCGGTCTGTTGACTGCTCTGTTGGTTGCTCTGTTGACTGCTCCGTTGACTGCTCTGTTGCCGCGCAACCTTGCACGAAGCTTGGCCCATTCCTAGCGTGCGTTGCACCTGCGTTGCATGCGGCGTTCTTGCTCCATCCCGCCGACGGCGTATGTTTTGCAGGTGGCTATACCCGTTCCTAGATACGTCCAAGCCATGGGCGCCCATGGCGTACTTTGGGCTGTACGTCGTACATTGGCTGGCCTTCGGGACCGTGGCGTTGCTGTACCAACTTAAGGGGGCTTTGTATGGCAAGGCGCAGCGGAGGACTTCACCCAGATTGGGTGGGAAGGACAAGGAGGAGTGAGAGCAGGGGCCCACGGCGGCGGCCGGAGTCGGACGGATCTGGTTGCGGCAAGTATGAATGCTCGTTTGCGGGGGACCCCCCCACTGGACTAGGCCAACGTATTCGAATGTTAACAGACGCAATCAAGCCTTTTATGGAAGGCAAGCAAACTCGAACTCCAGATTCGTGTCAACTGCCAAGCAGTTTTGAGGATATGGGACTAGGGATGGGGAATTGATTGACGGTATAGCAGCTGGCCACAGAGGAGCTTTGGGCACAGGACAGATAGACGTAGGGGACGAATGTTCGTATGGAACTGTGTTATATTTTAACTCTGTGCGAGATGGTTATGCAGTTGCAGGCAGCCATGGTTGCTATCCCTATTCCGCTGCTAAGGGGTTGGCTCAATTATATGGGGTTGCGGCAATACGAACGTATAGGGCAATCTGTTGCGGTGGTGAGCGGTTGCGACAGTTGGTAAAGAGGACATGGGGAGCAAACTAAGTCTTAATCCATGGACGATTATTCCATGTTATTTCCCAAAAAATTTGCCATTTGACTCGACGCGGCGTTTCTTGGTGAGCAAAAATGTAAGCCACCTGAAGCACAGAGAAAACATTTCGACAGTTGCAGTGCCTTTGATCATTTGCATCATTATTTATATTAAAGAGGCCAAATGTCAGTTGCCTATAGGTTCTCCATGGCGGAGTTGGAGCGGTGGGCTGTCGTGGAGTTGGCCTGAGCGATACCAAAAGAAGACATCCACGATGATCGGATGAAGGCTATTAAGTAGCACTCACACATAAAAAGGCACTCATCGACACTCACATACAATTTTTTACATATCCTGGGAGCACAACGACTCGCTTCCACAAACCTGTCCCAAAGCAGATTGGCGCACTTCCGCTGGCAACATAATTTGCTTGTAAGTGCTATAGTGTTCTTTTACACCATCTGTGGTGATCTTTTAACTTTTACCCCTCGCACCAATCCATGGGCTCAGCCAATAACGGCATAACTCGGGCTTTTCAGCTCATATGCACATGGTAGATTCGTTATTTGGCCGACTGGAATTTCGCAGCTTGAGTCACATACTGGGGACCGGCCGTCTTGTGTCGTCCTGTAGCAAAGGGATCCTTGCGCATATTATGACCTGTCTCTTGCGATTTGGAAAATGAATACGAGTGGAGGCTGCGAAACATATGGGCCCTCGCTCTTGCATCGTGGCACCTCATCGCGGATTCGCGGAACCCCCGCTAGGGCTGACAGCACTCACTCGTTCATGTTGTAGGGGTGTTTTCTCTGACACTGAAATGGCCTTGATTTCTCTTCAGTCTTCACACTTCTGAAGTTTTTAGATGGTAACAAGGTGGGTATTGTTGTTCAGTCCTTACGAAGGGCAGGGGCATGCAACTACAACTTCACAGGTATTGGAAATTTGCAATAGTTATTGTAATGTAACTTTCTTTTATTGAGCTGCAGGTGCACAAAGTTTACAACCTCTGGTCCCTCTCGTTCGCGTATGGCAGCTCTTAGCGTTCAAGGTGCAAGACAAAGAACGCACACAAGGAGACAAAGAAATCAACGATTATTACAATAGCATCTATAATCTCTCTCTGTTAGCTTCTTCGGCATAAACACACGTTCCGGCAGTTCCACATCCCCCCCGAAAGGCGGCCATGTCGCACCACCACGGCAAGCATGGCAAGGGAATGCACCACACCTCGGGCCACAGCCACGATACCCATGGATGGGTGGAGGGTATCACTAGCCTCAAGGTACGCAGGGCGCGCTGTTAAGGGTCCCAAAGCGGCGCTGGACTACTGCGCTGTTAAGCACCTGCCCTTCCGCGGGCATGGATGATGGGAATCAGCTTCATGGCCGAAACCGCTAACAGCCACTGCCTCCGGGCAGGCTGTCTGCGCGTGCTGTAATCTCGCCTCGTCGTGTCGGCCTTCCTCCAAAGCCTGGCTGCCGCCAGGGCTCAACGTATCTTTCTTGTCCTTCCTAGCTGGCTTGCAGGCCGTCGGTCGTAAAGGTTGCTCTTGTTACCAGCGTACCGTACATCTCATACTGCCCAATGCGTGTGGCACGGCGTGTTCTGTGCATTACGGCGGCTGCAGTGGCGTGGTGAAGGCCCTTTTATGCCATTATGTGTTGCGATGTGTGTCTACAGGCCGATGACCGGGCTGTAGAGCTGCTGGCGGAGGAACCCGAGCGGTTGCCAGGCGCCATGACCGGCAAGGCCTCCGCAGCAGCCGCAGCTGCGGCCGCGGCGGCTGCCGGCCAGCGGACACCCGCATCGGATGGCGGCCCTGCAGACGCAGACGCAGGCGCGAGCAAGGCAAGCCCCGGGTTTTTTTCCTGGCTGCACCGAGGCACCTTTTTGAAGCCTTTTACAGGGGGCCACGTTTCTGGAAGTGTAGAGGACAGGGATGTCATTTTGGAGGTTATGAGTCAGGACGGGCGGTTAGATCTTCTGTACTGCGGAGTGAATCAGTGCGGATAATGGAGGAAGTTGGGGTGGGAGGTCGGGTCGTTCGGGGGCAGCGCACCTAGGCAAGTTACGGACAGGGGCTTGTGTATCGAAATCTATCCATCCTAAACGCGATGATTAGCGCGGTGAGCTCTCAATCGGTGAGCTCTCAATCTGCATGGCAACACCAGTCAGGGGGACCTATGCACGTGGCCTTCACATGCTCCGGAGGGCTACCACCTGGCGCGATGACTCGACTCATGTCATAGCTCATGGATGATGTAAGGGGTTTCAGAGCGGCTAGCCTTGGCTTTGAGAAGCTATGGTTGGGGGACGTATGCACTCACCTCGCCGCGTTTTCTCCCACCCACTCCTCCTCACCCCGGTTAGGCTGGTCCCGCGGACGGCGCCACGGCCGCTCCCGGCCCTGCTCCTGGCGTGGTGTCGGTGACCCGACCCGAGGACTTTGAGGCGGTACTGCAGCACGCGCTGGAGGTCATGGCTGCAGAGGTGAGGCGTCCCGGATGCGGTGGTCTAAAGACTCAGGAGTGACCTGAATGTGCGCAGGAATGGGACTCAGACTACAATCTTGTAGTGGACACAGCGGGTTGGAGATAGTAAGTAGGGAGGCTGAGGGGGCTATGGGGGCCATTATGCTTGGAAGAAGGTATGCGGTCTCGCGTGGGTAGGTTGGCATCCGAAGGCGCTGGTTCCAGGTAGGCATGGGCCGTAAGGGGTCCGTGGAGGGTTGCCGGTGAGGAGGGCGAGTCGACTTTGGAGTGCATCAGCACCGGGAAGGCTCACGGGAAGAGCAGACGAGGACGCGAGCTCTCACCTTCACGTCCGCGCCGGGCTAAGCTCGTTTGCCCGGTTGGCGAGCCCTAGTTGCGAAAGGCCGTGCTGTGATCCCGGCCTACACATATCGTTTTTGCAAAAGATATCCTCAGACGGCAGCCATGCCTGTCCACCCGCCGTGGGCCATCGATGCAACTTCGCAATTCGATATACCAGATAAACACGTATGTACACGACTATGGCGCGACCCTGGGAGGCCTGCCGCTTCCTTGCCAACCGTTGGTCAGCAGCAGCTGCAGCAGTCGTGGTTGGACCCCAGCGACGGCAGTGACGGCCGTGGTGCCTCGCCGCCGGTCGCTGTTCCCGGCAGGAGTGAGTGACCTGCGTTATCGCATACCATGAGTGACCGGAGGGCGCCCTGCCCCTGTGCTGTTGCCGCTTCTTCCTTTGCCCACTTGCGCAGATTGAGGCTGTGGGGGAGATGGTCCTGGACGTGGGCGCGCCGCTGGGTTGGGGCCCCGTGGGGCTTACGGTGGGGCAGATGGAGACATGCCTGGAGCGCATCCGAGCGGTAGTCAACCCGCTTCAGGTGGGAAAGGGCCCTCAGACGGTTGGAAAGGGCAGCCGGTAGGGGTCTGAAACGTTCCCAGGTTCACGGGGAATCTTCTGTGTGTGTTTTAATTAATCTAAGCCGCGATACGAGAGCAGGCCGCGGTCTGTGTGTGTGCGTGTGTTGGGGATGGGGTGTTATAATAAAGCCCCTCAGGGCTCAGGACGAGGACTTGTACCGAGGCCCAGGCCCAACACAGAGCTGACTATACCAGTTTTGAGCGGCAACATGGCATGCCAATGGCTGCTGCTGCTGTGTCCGCTGTTTAGCAGCTATTTGCTTTACATATTGCATGCCCTGGCGCCCTGGTACCCCGGTATTGGGGCCCCTCTTGTTGCCCCCGCTGCCAAGCACAGGTGGATGCGACGGTGGTGCAGCAGCGCACGGCGCAACTGCAGACAGCCGGCGGACCAGGTGCGAGTTGAAGGTTATACGGGGCCGTGAGGGCGTCAGAGGGAAGACGGGCGTCAGGGGAGAGGTTCCGGATCCGACAGCGGCATCCTTTGCAGGCTGCTGTGAAGCGGCGTTGCCGGAGCGCTGTCCACATGTTGCTGCGCTGTCGGGCGGCCAAACTAATGCATAAGCTTCAATGTAATATCCACAGTATCTAATGGCCTGCTCGCTCGAGGGAGGGCATGTGCTCCGATTGACAAACCGCAGGCCGCGTTCTCGATTTGCCGGCCGGTACCTGCCTCGCCTGCCTTTTCCCCTCTACCACTCTGCCTCTCCTCTGTCCCTTTTCCCTCTCGCGCTCCGCAGTTGACAGCATCACCGCGGACGTGCTGTTGCGACGGCGGCCCGGCTCGCGGGGCCCTCTGGAGGTCCGCGTGGCGGTCATCGGCAATGTGGACAGCGGCAAGTCCACCATGGTGGGAGTGCTCACTCGCTCCATACTGGACGATGGACGTGGGCTGGCCAGATCTAAGGTGGGTGCGGGGCTGAGGGGCTAGAGAGCAGTGGAGTGGGGACAGGATGGTGCACTGCTGGGGGGCTGTGCTGTGTGGGTTGATAGGCACGGTGCGTGTGGATGGCGGGGATAGCGCACTCGTGATGTGGGAGTGTGTAGGGATTGAAAGTATGTGTAGATGTGCCGTAATTGCACCATACAGATTTCAAAGGCTTTTTGCTCCATCAGCTGCCCGGCTCACAGGTCGCGCAGCTGGATGGCATCGTTATTCCTGCCTGGTTGGTGGTGTTGGTGTTGGTGTTGCCGCCTCAGTGGAATATGTAAGTCTTCAACTGCCACCCACCTCGTCCTCTTTGGCCATCCCCCCCACTCCCACCCCCCATCAGGTGTTTAAGCACCACCACGAGGAGACCACGGGCCGCACCTCTTCCATCGGGCAGCACACCCTCTGTCTGGACAGCAGGGGTGGCATCCTCAACGACAACATGTTCCGGTGCGTCGCGGGATGAACATGTAACCAGCGCGTACACACCCTTGGGTTGTCCCCGACATCCTTCTAGGCGACATTGCAGCTGCTGCTTCCATCTGCTCGTGTTCGGAGGGATACCAGGGCTGAGCAAGAATCCGCCACCATACCTTACGTAGATAGGCATGGTCCCTGGAAGGGCACCGTTGGCCTCTCCTTTTCCGCTTCTCAGATGCTCACACCAACATCTCGGTGCTGGGCACCCCCGCCGCCGGTACCTTGTTAACCAACCTTTCCAGGACCCAGACCTGCGCCGAGTACATCGCGCGGGCCAGCAAGGTGATCACGCTGGTGGACCTGGCAGGACACGAAAAATACTTCCGTACAACAGCGTACGGACTCACAGGTCACCTGCCGGACTACGCGTGCCTTATCGTTGGCGCGAACATGGGTGTCGTGGGGATGTGCAAGGTGAATGGGCTGCGGCTGTGGGAGGGAGAAATGCACAGGATTGCAGCAGCGATGGTGCGCTAACACAAGGCAATGAAGCCCTCGCTAGCACATGCACCGGCGGGTATGCATCCTGACGATGTCCGTTCTGAAAGTAGGAGGCCTTGCGGCTTGACATGGTCTGGCCTGCTGAGCCTTGTAACTCTTGCAATTTTAGTCACAATACACTCCTATATTGTCTTGCTGCCTTTTCTTCGAGCCCTCCTTGTACTCCCCCTCAGTGGTTCGTCTTTCCCCCCCTCAGTACTAAGTGGAGGTCTTGACTGCCCTGAACCCTTCTTCCTGGAGCACAGGAGCACCTGGGTGTAGCGCTGGCGCTGAAGGTTCCGGTGTTCTTTGTGGTAACTAAGGTGGACATTGCTCCGGAGCATATCCTCAAGCAGACTGTGCAGGTGCGCTCAGTCGCGTGAGGGTGGGGTGCGCCGGCGTCAGGCAAGAGCAGCGACGGTTGCATCACACGCCATTCGGAGTTGAGAGCGGAGGTGTTACAACAGCTAACAAAGCCATTGCATATGGCTTCGTTAGCTGTTGTTGTGAATAGCTTAGAAGTCCCCTAAAGGGGAAGAAGGGGTTCTTCAACACGCCCTGGCTGTCCTAGTGTCCATCCGGATGCGGAATCCCCGGGAACCTCTGGTCATTCTTTCCCGCCCCAGCCGCTCACTCGTGCACCCCATGCGCTGCTGTGGGGCTGACCTGCACCCTCAGAACCTGGCCTCCATCCTGAAGAAGCCCGGGGTCAAGAAGAAGCCTTTCCTGGTCCGCAATCAGGAGGATGTGCTGCTGTGTGCTCGCAACATGAACACAGACTCGCTGGCGCCCATCTTCTTGACCTCGGCTGTCACAGGTATGGTGAGGAGGGGATGTGCCAGTGCACATTGATGGGAAGTTGAAGCTTGGCGGGATTACTAAGACCTGCCGGAGGGCGCATGATAAGCTCCGCAGCTACAACTGCCGCCATGTGCGATCAGCAGTAGCAGCTTGTTGAGGCACGCGAGCCTGTTCCACGCATGTGAAGGTCTATAGCTGTATGGCCGGTGGCAGTGCCCCGGTTATCCCGGATTGGCCCCCGCCGATGTCTCCAAACTCCACTGACGTCCTCCTGGTCCGCAGGCAAGGGCCTGGACCTGGTCCGCATGTTCTACAACCTGCTGCCGCAGCGACATCGCTGGGTTGACAAGCAGCGCGAGCTGGCAGAGTTCGTTATTGACGAAACCTTCCTCGTGCCGGGCGTGGGTACCGTTGTTGCGGGTACCGTCAAGCGCGGGGTTATCACGGCCAATACCGTCCTGCTGCTGGGTGAGTGCAGCTGCTGGGAGGGTTGGAGGGGACGTGTTCGGGATGCGCACGGGAAAATATGGGGCCAGGGCGGCAGAGGCCTGGATTCTTACCTGCGAATAAGGAAGCCGGTAGTCCTTAAAAGCATGGTTGAAGCGGGACTGTCCATTCGGCTTTCCCATCAAACTACACGATTATCGTTCCGAACAAGCACTTTCGCGACCCCCTGGCAGGCCCCGATATTGGCGACGGCAGCTTCAAGTCGGCCGCCATCAAGTCCATCCACTTCAAGCGCTTGCCTGTGGCGACTGTGGTGGCGGGACAGACCGCGGCGCTTGCCCTGAAGAAGACAAAGCGCCACCAGGTACCCACTGAATAGTGGCCTCTGTATCAAACCAGTGCCGCCTGCTTGATATGCGATCAGTATTTGCTTACAGGTAACGGGGACAGGATGGTGGCCAAGTGACAGCGCGTTCCACGCTAATCCATTGAGCGGTCTGGCAATCCAGGCTTGGTTTGATGGCCAAGCTCTCCCTCCCTCCTCTGTACCACCTGACCTGATGGGTGTCTCCACACCGCTAACCCGCACCTGCCGTCGTCCCGGTGGCGTTGCGCTCTCGCCTGCAGGTCCGCAAAGGTATGGTCCTGGTGGATGAGCGGCTCAAGCCCGCCGCAAGCTGGGAGTTCGACGCGGATATCGCCATCCTCACCCACTCCACCACCATCCAGCCGCGCTACCAGGCCGTCATCCATTGCGAGATCATCCGCCAGGCGGCTCGCGTGGTGGCAATGGACCGGGAACGTAGGTTGGGCCAGGATAGGCGTTCCTGGGGGCCTCTACCAGTAAAGATCAACCTCGGTTACCCTCGTCCTCTGAGGGCATTGGGGGAGACTATCCGACTTTCAGTAAAAACTTGTGGTGTCCCAGGAGCTCTGGCGGAGGAACGGTGTGGACAAAACGTTGTGATGGCGAGCACTGCACCAGGATGCACAAGTTCGCCACAGATGCCACCGTCGTCCAAGGCACCAGCTTAATAATCTTGTTCTGCGCATGGCACCTCCCCACGTCTTTGCATTTGGAAATTCGTCTGTCGGCCTCACTTACCCCCCTCTCACTCCCTCCGGCCCCATGCAGGCCTGCGCTCCGGTGATCGTGCCTGCGTGCGCTTCCGCTTCATCCAGCGCCCCGAGTACGTTACCACGGGCACTCGCTTCGTGTTCCGCGAGGGCCGTACCAAGGGTATCGGCATCGTGGTGGGCACTGAGCACCAGCCCGCCGACCGCACCCAGGCAGCGGCTGCAGACGGAGTCGCCAACAGGCCAGACGGTCTGGAGGCAGACCGCGAGCGGGAGCGCGCCCTGGCCGAAACAGGCGGTCCTGCACCACCGGCGGCTGCACCTTCGGGCGGCAGCGGTGGTAATGAGGCAGCTGCAACCCCTGCTGCTCCAGCAGTCGCGGTTCACGGCTGATATAGCTCTAGAAATAACCGGGCAAGTCGCCTTGGTCGTGTCGCATGCTGGAACGGTGGGAATTTGGGGATGGAGGCTCCCACGCGTTGTTGGTAAAGCTTAGCTTTTTTTAAGAGAAGATAACTACTCGCACTATACCTGTTAGGCGCCGCGCACTAGACGTCCACGGTCCTGCGGGTCTTTAGATTTGGAGGAAACCTGTTTGCTTAGCGGCACATCAGTCTGACCTGACTTTTAAACGGTGCCTGCGATGTGTGCATACGAGCAGTTTGCCCGGGGACTCTTTGGACCTGCTTACTGGCATGTGGTGATTTTAGACGTGGTGGTGTGTTGGACATGACAATACCCGCTCGGGCCCTTCTCATAGTTGAGTACGTTTAGCTGGCGCAGCATATCTTGCTGCCAGCTGTTGCACTTTCTTTCTGATCGGATTACTGATGCCGCCTGCACGCCAACACTGATCAGGCCGAAATAGGCGTCATACCATGGCCTGGATGGCACACATCAACCAGCCTCACTTCCCTGTCCACCTGAGGGGGGACCCTGGGCACGCGTGTTCTCCTCTTCACGATCGGGGGCCACGTTGTGACCTATCATCAAGGCCCTCACCTTGCTTGTTAAGTCCCTTGCGGGATCACCTCGAGAAGGTTACCTCAACATTCGTATTGCGACTGTCGTGTCTTCCCTGTTCACATGCGCCATGCTAGCCCATGCTAGCCCGCGCCAGCCAACGCGTCTCCAAAGTTGTGCCACCCGCACCCTTCTGAACTTCCTCGCACAATCGCTAATCGTGGTCCTGAAATGGCCACTCCAACGTCCCCATGGGGCCCCGGAGTACGAAGTCCGCAATCTCGGCGACCCAAGCCCCGCGCTCTCAAGCACTCCAACTGGGGGAGCAGCTCCCCCTCCACATCCAGGTTCAACATGCCAGGCAGCTCAAACATCACCATGGATGTGAGGGTGTCATTGTCTGGAATACCAAGAAGGTGGGCCACGCTGTGAGGTTACATGCAAGTATACCGGGCACGCAGCCAGGATTCTTTCGCGTTTTCGACATGTCTTGTGGCAGCAGCTCTCTTAGACATTCCAATGTTTTGGTTCCCTCTGCGGTATGTTGTACCGTCCGAGCAAGGTTAAGTAGCCGTAAGGGTGCGTCCGCCGGAGGTGGGGCGGTTGGGTTAGGCAAGGAGTAGCATACGCGCATGGTGGTCCTGGTGCAATCCCAAAGTTAACCTTTTCGAAATGCATGATTGACCGTGTCAACATGAAGGCCGAGAGAGCGCCTCACGCAAGTGCTGATAGGATTCTCTGGATGCTGGAGGAGAAAGGGTCGGTACATCCACGAAAGCAGCCTGTGTTCGAAGAAGCAGATGACGCTCGTTGATCTGGAATTTACATCTGTTTTTGCATCTCATCGGGGAACATCATAGCCTCTCATCGGAGAACAACGTCCTTAGTGGGGTTTCATTCTTCGGGTGCTTTATAAACCTCAGAAAGGGCCTCAGAAAGGGCAAATTATATAACATGTGCCGACGCCATGTGAGCTACCCACTAGTAACCGCTTTTGTTTTTGGTTCCAGGTACTGCTTCCACGACAGCTGACCTTCGTTGAAGCTTTCTGACAGCACATGTACGCAGCTGGATTACCAATCATCGAACTCAGAGCTTACAAGATGCAACTGCTTGTAAATGGATATACTGGACTCCATGTCTGTTGGTCCAAACGACAGTCGACGGTCGTTACTAACCGAGACAGCTAACTTGCCAACGTTCTCTCCAGGTTAAAGGCACCAGACGTTTCGGAAGTAAAAAACAATAGCATGTATAGCGCTTGAGATTTAAGAAAATGGATATTAAAGCACGTTTGCGTTCTGCGCTGCTTTCCTTGGAGGATAGGGATCTCAGTAGCCAAGGACAATATTGCATCAAATTACTCATCGAAAAGCTGCAGACTGTCCAACAGGCGGGCATGGTTGTGCGAGAACTTACGTCAGGTGCGGCACCATCACCGTGTAACTTGCCACGCTGCAGTACCCTCTAACCCCGCAACCGCCAACTCCCCTTCCCGCAGGACTTGATAAATGCGGCAGGTCCGCAGCTTTGAATCGTATCCTTCTCTTATCATACCTGCTAGTGACTCAGGGCCACCTGAGTCCAGTGCGAGCATTGCCACAGGCCATGCCCGGCTTGGTGGCTTACCTCAGACGCCAGCAGCACTCCACCAATTTGGATGACCTCGTCACCCTGGGTAGCCGCCTGGGTATGGCCCTGGCCGCCGCAATGTCTGAGGGCTCTGCACTCGTGGACATGCAGAACACCCCAACAGAATGCGCCAGAGGCGGAGCGCAAAGTGCCTCCGTGAGTCGATGGAGGAACACCAACCAGGCGCCCAATCGCCGCAACAGCAGCCCAGCATCCGGGGGAAGCACAGCTGCTACGTCCGCAGCAGAGGCCTGGTTACCCTTCGTGGCCGATCCGCCATGGGCGCTTGACAATATCCTGCTGCCGCTACTGCGGTTGGCCTGCCGGTAAGCTATTGGGACCCACATGCCGACGGCTGCGGCGCGCTGAGGACGTAGCGGCGCTGATTTGACAGGCGTGAGGGCCAATCATTGAGTTGCAAGGCGGGATGCCGATGGTGCAAAGAGGCTGAGAGAAGTTTTTCCGTCCAGCGGGGTGGCAATTGGTGTTGGGTCGTGGGTCGCGGGAGGTTTCTGTAGAGCTGCTGTAGGGGGTTGCCCGTGCATATCATTCGCCACGTCCTGCAAGCCGCAGGGCTCCGGAGCGCGAGGCTATGGCGGCTGCCTGCGCGGTGCTGGTGCCGCTCGTGGAGTCGCTGGGACAAGGCGTTGGGGCGGGAGCTGGGCCAGGCGGTGGGCGCCTTGCTCGGGGCCCCGTCGCGGCTGCGCTGCAGCAGCTGCTGGGCTGCGCCTTCACGCTGCTGGGAGGTGGAAACGCTCCGCTACGGTCCGCGGGTGTGCTGCAGCTGTTTGCTAGCTGCGTGCAGGTAGGGTACGGGCTCGGGGGGGCCCCAGGTGGGGCCCTGGGCCTGGGACGCCATGGGGCGGTGCAGGCGGGGAGGGGGGAGGACGTTGGGCCACTTCGCAACGCAGTAACCGTACCGAGATGTATTCAGGAAATGTGACCAATAGTCAACGGGAGTTCCATGGAAAGGTATCCAAGCACGAGTGATGTCAAGCCCGTGTATGTGGGCTGTGCATAAGAGCTGGCCCTCGTACTGCAAGAAGGGTTTGGTAAAGGCAGCATGACTCGTGCTACCCCTCCCCCCCGCCGCTAGAAACACATGCAAGCGGCGCGTCAGCGGAAGCAACAGGTGCAGACTGTGGGTGTCCTTGCATCACTTAGATAGTGTAGCGGCCGTACGGAGTGCTTTAATTACCTTGCGCAATGTAACGGCGGCGTTCTGTCTCCCGCTCCGTTATGCCGTCCGCACATCGAACATGCTGAGCCCTGATACCCTGCCGCGGACCCTGCCAGGTGCTGGGACCCGCCTTGGATGAGGAGACGGCCAAGCGGATCTTGCTGGCTGCCACCTCGGGACTCGACTGCACGGAGGACTGGCAGGTGACCCTCGGCAGCGGACACGCGCAAACCCACCTCATAGCACATTGCGGTGCTATGAGCACGATTTCACTGTGAGGCTAGGTCAGTCAGCCCGCCTCACGTTTTCCTCCGATTGACTGTTGATACGTTCCGCGGTGCGGCAGGTGCGGCGGGAGTCGGCCAACCTGATCCGGGTGCTGGCGTGGCTGGCGCAGCTGGTGGAGGAGGAGGATTTGGAGCCCGACGGCGGCGCGGTGGCCTGGATGGCGGGTTCGCACCGCAAGGAGTTCCTGCTTCAGGTGCCTGAGGGCTATTCCGGCTGTGGGGCTAGGCGCGGGTCAGGGAAGCTCTTATGGGTGGGACAGAAGGGTGCACAGTGGGTTTGGAGGCCTGGTGGAAACTGAAGGATGCACAAGGTACAGGATACGAAGATCCCAACGGCTGTTAAAGACACGGCTTCATTTGCCTCACACAGTGCTGCTGCTGCTGCTGTCCCTGCTGCTATAAAAAGCCATTTTCTCTCGGTCACCGTAGTGGGTCACCCGTTGAATGGCTAGGCCGTCGTGTGGTTCTTGCCATGAGGACTGCTACCTCCTCCAACCCTTCCCACTGCTCAGGCCTTGGAGCCTATCCGCCATGACAAGTTCCCCGCGGTCCGCGCCGCCTTCCAAGGAGCCGCCGCGGCAGTCATGAAGCTGCCCGCGACGCCGGGAGATGACATGCTGCTCTCAGACGCGGAGGAAGGTCCGGGACAGAGGTCCCAGCCCACGCCTCCAGTCCGACCATACCGGGCACGGCGTGAAGCCTCGCCGCAACAGCCCTGGGCCTCATCATGCCTGAGGCCTGAGGAACAGTCCCCGCGCACATCGCGCCAGGGACGGCAGGGTCGCGGCCTGGGGCGCGCGAGTGTGTCCGCGGCAGGGACCCGCAGCAGCGACCTGTCGGTTCGTGGCGAGGCGGACGCACGACAGACCAGACTAAACCAGTGCGTGCCACACAGCGACGCTGGCGACTGGGGTCCGGAATACCCTAGGGAGCCCAGTCTGTCCGGGCTTACAAGTCCCTCCACCGAGGCCGAGTCCATGGCCAGGCGCACAGCTGCGGCCTGGGATGGCGCCGTCACATCACGCCCTGCTGCTGCTTCCAGGGCTAGCGTAAGAGGTGCAGCTACCTGGGAGCCGGAAGAGGAGGAGGAGGTGGGCACCGTGGAAACGCTGGCTGTCGTAGCAACGCGACCAGGTGCCGACGGGACTAGGACGGGGGTTGCGGTGCTGGTGCAGCATGACCGGGCCCCGTGCCCTCCGAGGAAGCGCACCACGAGTCCCGACGTCCCAGCCACGGCCGCTTACGGGAGTCGCCGGGGCAGTGCAGGCGACGATGATGAACACTTCCGCGCTGCTGCCGCCACGGGGGCCGAAGATCGTGGTCATGGATATGGCTTCAACGGTGTACCAAGCACGACTATCGCACATGATTGGGTATCCAAGGCCCGGCCGCCAGTGGCATTGCCGCCGCCCGCGGATCACCTGGCGGCGCACGGGGCTGCAGAGCAGGCGGCTGCCTCCGGGGTGTTGCCGGTTCCATCCATGGCTGCTAGCGGCGGTGGCGACGGCGGCGGCGACGCCTTCAGTTTTAGTGGTGCCTTCGACGATGGCCGCAAACAAGGGACCAATCGCCGGGGTTACCACCTGCAATTCCATGTGGGTCCTGGCGGCCGCAGTGGCGGGGAAGCCTGGCTTACGTCTGCAGGAGACGGTGATGGCGATGGCGGTGAAATGCGCTCCGCAGGGCAAGCTATAGAGCGAGAAGCCAGCTGGCGCGGACTTTCGTCGACCAATACCAGCCCTGTTGACGAAGGTGAGGACGACGCGCACTGTGCAAACACCTGGCTTGGCAAGGTTATAGGCGGCTTGTACGTGCGCTGGTGAGGTGCTCTCAACGGGCATGCGCTTGCTTGGCGGTTAGGCGCCTGGGCGGGCCTTGCCTTGATGATGGTTCAGGGCTGCTGGCCGGGGGGGGGGAAGCTAAGCATACATGGACATGCGACGTCCTCGGCGGCCGCAAGTCCAGCAGGTCTGGTACATGAAACGTGCAAGCGATCGCGGCTATCGGTATACAACTCGGGAAACGGGGATTCGGCGTCCTGGACCCAACTTCTCAATGGTCCCCGCCAGCGACAGGGCACGTGCATGCATGCACCGCCTGGGTCCAGGTAAACATGTCAGTGTGACTGCATATATCCCATCGCACTGACAGGTGCAGCCAATCCCCAGCACTTCTTAAGTGCCCCTGGTTCCCACGCTGGACTCCCTTTCCCCACAGACATGCCCGCATTGCTGCGAAGCAAGAGCCCACGCGTGCCATCCGACAGCCCCAGGACCTCTGATAGGCTCGCAGAACCCCCTCGCCATCGTCCACCGCCGCGTACGCGGCCATCCAATGCCCCCGCCGGCCCCGCCGCCCAGGCGGTCCGGGGCCCGCTGCGCCAGGCGTCACCTCCTTCGCGACGACAACAGCAGCAGCAGCAGCAGCCGCAGCAACAGCAACGACAACAGCAACAACGGCATCAGGTTCGGCCACCATGGCGGTGCCCATCCCGGGGCCCCTCCCCGCGGAGGACCCGCTCGGCCAGTCCGAACGGCGGTGAGGGACAGCCAGCTGCGCTCTCTGCGCCGCCGGTGGTGCCGTCGGGGGTCCCTTCCCGCGGCGCCAGTCCCCCCCAGCGTGGGCCCAGTCCTCCCCAAACCTGCCGCACCGGCGGAGGATGCTGGTGGACCGCCGATGACATCGGCATAGAAAATACTGGCAGCGGTGGCGACGGCGGCAATGGTGTGAACAGGCTTGGTGGAGGCGGCCGGAATGAAGGTGAAGGACGTGCACCGGGAGGGGCCCCCAATCGCGCACCGTCGCCCGCCCTCCCCAGGCGTGCTGGACCGAATGCAGCTCCTCGCGGTGGTGATCCGGTGACGGCGGTGTCGCCATCGCGGCGCTTCCAGCGGCGGGATACCTCCCGCGTCAGCCTGGGTTGGCCCTTCGGGTGAGAGTGCACGCTGCTGCCCTGCAAGCGCGTCGCTTCCAGTCGGGCGAAGTCGGTCAGGTGTGAGGTCAGCCGTGACACATCTCCCGCCTGTTAATGCTTCGGTGGATGACTCTGGTGTTAAGAGTCATCAGCCCGACGACACTTCTGGCCGGTATACCTATGAAGCCCTTTCATTTTATGGCTTGTGTAGGGCAAGGTAATTAACAACAATTTCGGTCGTCACCTCCGGGCTCCCACGGATGCTGCTTTTACCCCATCCTTATGGCAGGTACCGTCCCCCGCGCGGCAGCCCCCGCTTCAGGCGGCCAAACGTGCTTCCCGAACAATCTGACTTTGGGGTGCTCGTCTTTGCTAAGGATCCACCGCCTCCGCAGATGCACCCACCGCCAGCCCCACAGCCGCCGCAGCCCCGTACGACGGAGTCCTCAGGCTCCGCTGACCAGGCTGCTAGCGGCGGCACTGGGTCGCCAGTCTATCATGTGAACGTCCGCACCGCTGCGGAGGAGGTGACGGCCCTGGTGGCATTGACATCTCCCAGGAACCCGGGGCACGGAGGCGACGGCAGCAGGCCCCTTTTTCAACGCATGACAGTAGTCGGCGGCGGTGGCAACAACGAACTCCCTTACGAAAGTAGCCGGGATGGATGGGCCCACCGACAGAACCCGGGTGGGAACCGGTGCCGTGTTGTTTCCAGTGCGCCCGCAGCGGACTCCATAACAGCCGCGGCAACGGCTGCGCTAGCGGCAGGCGCCGCCGCGGCAGCGGCGGCAGCGGCCGCTGCCGCCGACCATCAGCACCTGGCTGCGGATGCGCACTTTTTGGACGGCGAGGAGGCGCGGGTGCGGGGCCCGGTTGGTGCGCAGTCGAGGCCTGCTCCCCGGGGCTATGACGGCACAGCGGATCAAGGGGAAGGAGGCGGCCAGGGGTTGGGTGCTGGAGAAAGGGGCGGGATGCCATGGAGCAGCGAGGGGGACGGAGAAGAGAGTGCCAGCGCCGCAGGTGGCAGCAGCGGTAGCGGCGGAGGCAGTGGCGCCTGGGGGTTGGGTCGGCGCGGCGCTGTGGCCATGGAGCACCAGTTGCAGGCTCTCATGGAGCAGGTGGGTAGCTGGGGAGGATCTGACGGGGGGGTGGTTGCCGGGGAAGACTCAGGTCTGCCGGGAAGAGCCCTGGGCGTTATGGCAGACTCACGGGTTGCAAACATTAAAGCCACCAACTATCGAGAGGCTGTTAGCCGTTTAATCCAGGATCAATGTCATCCAAACCTGGTTCAAGGTCCAGGGCCCGCTGCCTCCCATGCTGGCCCCGCTGCCCGCCATTGTTCTCCGGCCTTACACGCCTTCGCGACGGTTCCATGATGTGTGAGGCAGGGAGGTGTAGCCCCGCCCGTGTCTACTCTCATGGAACATCCCCGCCGTCCCCTTAGTTTCAACTGAAGAAGTCGCTCACCCTGGCCGGTTTCTCAGAGTTCAGTACCGGACTCGGGTCTTCAACGCCCACCACCAGCATCCATTACAACCTGTCGGATCAATGGCATCGTCAACTTCCAACTTCCCTTCCCCTAGCTAGAACTTGAACTGTGTCATATGCATCCATTGCACTTGTAATAAGATTGCGGCTCGTATACGTAATGTAATGTTGTTACAGAGCGGGAGCCTTCTGGGCCAATCAAACACAATGCTCGTGTGTGTACGCAATACATGTACAGCTGCGTGTGTGTTCGTCTCTTACACACCCGCCAACACTCCCCTTCCCGCAGGCTCAGTCGCTGCAGAGCACCCTGGCGCGCATGAGCCGCCAAGGCGCCGGCAATGGCAACGGCGGAACTCGCAGACCACGCCGTCGCTGGGACAGCCAGCATCCGGCAGCCGTCTTAGGGGACGAGATTCCGCCGAGCTGCCGGAGGGTCAGCGCCGGCGGGCAGGGGGCGCCGCCCTTGCCGCCGCCGCCACCGCCACCGCAGCTCGCGGCTTTGGGCACAGACGCAACGGCCGCGCAGGCGGCAGTGCAGCAGTTGCAGGTCCTGTTGCAACAGGCGGCAGGTGGGTCCCCGACGGACCGGGGTACACACGGGGCTGGCTCCTAAACGTAGCCAGCGGAGGGGCTGCAGCGCACCGGGCTTCAGAATTATTAACTCCTCGCGCACTCCAACATCTCGCAGCACCTTTCATACACTAATAACCTTATCTGAACACTACGACAGCGAGAGCCTCCTTTGGGTGGATAGATGGGCCACCATTGGATAGGAATAGGATAACCGTCCTAGGTTGGCCCCGCCCAGTTGCGAAGGCTTGTAAGGATATAGCGATTGAGGACGCGTTACCAGAGGGGAACTTAGGTCTGTTAAGGCGCCGTACTGAGCCCTCCTGATTCGCAATCGAACCCACCCGCTGGCTCTCTCCTCCCGCCGTGTAGGGGCCCAGGCGAGCCTGCAGCTGTTGCTTGCGGGTGCCGGCACGCCCGCAGCTCTGCAAGGCGCCGTGCAGCGACTGGAACAGGTTGTGAACGTGCTGCAGCAGGTGGGCAAAGAGGGCGACTCGACAGTGGGTATACCTGCCTAATGACCGGGGGTTAGCCCCGAGACCTCGCATGCAATCCTTTTATTTATCCTTGTTTGCTGTGCTCTGCCTGTGCGGTCCATGAAAAGCCGAAGTTCCTGTCGACCGGTTTGAGTGGGATTAACGAATTCACGGATTAACGCGTACCGTCCCCAGCTGACCGCCATTCGGGTGCCACGTCCTCACGATCTCCCCCAGAACGGCGGCGGTAACGGGGCCGGGAGCGCGGCAGCCGCCGCCGGGGCTGATGCCTCAGCTCGGCCAACGCTCCTCCGGGCGGCTGCGCCGCTTGCCTCCCCGGCAGATGCCCACCCTACGGAGTTACAGCCTAGCCCGGACGATGTGCAGGGGGGCCCGCAGGCCGGAGGGTCGGGATCCGTTTTCGGAACTGAAACAGCCATCGCGCTGCGGGAGCTGATCAGACAGGTACGTAGGGTGCGCAGCTATCGACCAATGGTGTTGTATGCATGCAGGGGAGCCCTGGTCGCAGCTCTGCTGCATTTCAGCGCACCTGGGATTGGATGGCTGTGGCGTGGTTGGGAGGGTGCGGGAGCACACAAATGGCGATGTTTATTGCGTCGGGGAGGCGCGAGGCCCCTCTAATGCTCAGAGATGAAACGCACAGTGTTCGTTCCCCCAAAAGGATAGGTGGTCGCCGGCGTTCCATGATGAGAATGAACCATCAACAAGTGCACACGTGCCTATCACTTCACAGCCAGCGATCACACTGAGCGCGACACCCAGCTTCGCGACACATGGAGTTCATATTGTCCCAGGACGCGCTGCCGTGCATGATTGAGCACGTGGTTTTTCCAAAGCCGTAAACATACACTGGAAAAGACCAAAAATCCATAACACACGTCTTTGAACACGCCGGACCTTTCGTCCAGAATTCTTGTCGTGTAGTTTGCTTCCAAAAGATTCGAAAGGTGGCATAGAGTTTAAATAGTCTAATTTCGGAATTACAGTTACTGTCGTTGACCATAACCACCGGCGTGTTAGGTCTCCGGTGTCAAGGCAAAGCCTGTAATTACGATATTATTGTGAGCGATATTCTCATCATTACATCAGGCCTGGATGTGGAGCTCAACCTGCCTTAGACACGAGCTGACCAAACTCCCAGGTGCTGGAAGTTTTGCTGTGCCTTAATTGCAAAATTGCAGGATGATGATCCAGCTTATATGTTGCTCTAAAAATTACATGTACCGCCTTTATAGCTGCAAAGGGCTAGAAGTACGGGAGTACTCCGTGGGTCTCCGACGGTTCACAGTTTGTGAGGCTACTGTGAATGTACGGTTTGACCATAAACTGCAGTACTCAAAACCAACATCCTGGAATTTGCAAATCTGCAACCTTTGACAGTGGGGGCCACGAAAGAAGCAGGGACCCAGCTTACTGCGCTCCTTGAATTACGGCAGGGCCTCCGGCTCTTCATCTAACTTTACCAGGGTTTTAGGGTTTGGAGGTTTTCCACCGTATGGGTGGCCTTGTAAGGCTAAGCGCCACCTTCCATCTAAACCCCTGTGCAGGTTCAAGCCACCCGGGAGAGCATCACTCACGCAGCTAACGAAGGGGCTCAGCTAGGTGCATCCGTAACCAAGGCCAGCCCGCAGGGATCTGGCCCCGTCATTCTGCAGCGAGAGGGTGGTACCCGCACGCAACCCCAAAGCGCCATACAGGCACGGGTCCCTCTAGCACCGCATCCTACTTCCCAGCATCTGAACACCGCCGTCAGCGGCGCTGGTCAGGCCGAAGCCGTCCTACAGCAGCTGGCCCAAGTACCCCTGCGCCCCGACATTCTAGACGCGCAGGAGCTTACAACCGCTCCACTCAAGCGCGCTGAACCTCTGAGCGGAACTGGAGTGAGTCACAGTCCGCAACAACTACCGGCAAAGCTACCCGGACAATCGGAAACGTTAAGCGGAGCTGGACTATACGACACATCGTTGCAGCCATCCGCCCCGATATCCCAACATCTGGGCCATCTGAGCGGAGCAGGGTTGCACGACAGGTCACCACAGCGCGCAGCTGAAGTTTCCAGAAGCTCGAGCTATTTCAGTGGTGCTGGGCGGGAGGAAACGTCACAGCCGCAGCAGCAATACGCCCGCCTATCCGACCACTCAGGGTCTTTGGACGGAATTCGGCTTAGGCACGGGTCACAGCCGCCCTCGGCCATCCGTTCGGAACACTCAGGCCTTCTGAGTAGCACTGTACTGCACGATAGGTCTCTACAGCCTTCGGCTCTTTTATCAGAACACTCAGATTATCCGCGCGGCACTGGACTGTACAACAGGTCAACACAGCCGTCGGTCGATCTTTCGCAAACTTCAAAACACTTGTACCAAAGTGGACTGAAAGAAGGGTCACAACCGCCGTCAGCGCAGCTATCTCAGCCCTCTGGCCCTCTAACCGGCATTGGCTTAAGCCAGGGGTCACAACCGCCGTCAGCGCAGCTATCTCAGCTCTCTGGCCCTCTAACCGGCATTGGCTTAAGCCAGGGGTCACAACCGCCGTCAGCGCAGCTATCTCAGCTCTCTGGCCCTCTAACCGGCATTGGCTTAAGCCAGGGGTCACAACCGCCGTCAGCGCAGCTATCTCAGCTCTCTGGCCCTCTAACCGGCATTGGCTTAAGCCAGGGGTCACAACCGCCGTCAGCGCAGCTATCTCAGCTCTCTGGCCGTCTAACCGGCATTGGCTTAAGTCAGGGGTCACAACCGCCGTCAGCGCAGCTATCTCAGCTCTCTGGCCCTCTAACCGCTGGGATGAGCACAGAATTACAACAGTATCCACACACACACAAGCAATTGGGTGTTGAGATCGCTAGTCCTGGTAGAAAGGTGATCCCAGCGCACCCAAGAATGTTTACACCGTGGGCAGGTGCAATGTCGGTGGCACTACATGCGACCGCCGGCCCACCGCAGGTCCCCGGCTTCGGCAGTGTAACGAAGACAGGCAATCTACAGCCGGAAACGTCTGAGGTCCCAGAAGTTATTGAGGCGGAAGCTCTTTACACGGAAAGCGTGGACACTGACATCGACGCAGATGCTGCTAACGTGCATGCGGCGAAACCAGAGCTAGAGCCAGCGACGGCGAGCATGGTCAACCCCCCCAGCGCACCTGACCCCGGCTCCTACCATCCGCAGAATCTCGGGGACGGTAGGATAACCGCCGAGATCCACAATCTTATTCAGCGTACTGGGGCTCTCCAGATTTTGGGTCGACAAGCATTGGCAGCGGTGCCAGTTGCACCGCCGCTCACTTGGCAGCCTGGAAGCCATGTGCGCGGGCAGGACTTTCAGGGCCCCAGCGGCGTACTGCCGGGGGATCGCGGCATACGGTCCACTGCGCCTTCAGGAGGTGGACAGGCGGGCGCGTCCGGCCATTCGGGCATCAGCAACTTGCTGGCGACATCGCTTCCGGGGTCCAGGTCCAACTCACCACCTGGGGCTACGGCTGCGAGGCTCCCAGCACCTGTTGGCCTCGGGGCCCATGATGTGCAGCACGTACCCAGGATCATCGACTTTAGGCCCCTGCTTCCCCTGGCTACCATGCGACCTCACGTGGTGGATCCGGCAAGCTTCACCGCTGCTCATTTAGCCACCAGCGCAATACCTACCACCACTGCCGCTGATGCAGGCTTCCCGCAATACTCCTCACCGTCCGCACACAACGTCATGCCGCGGTTGCACACTTTGCGAACAGGGCCGGCGCCCCCGGCATGGCGGACCGGCTCTTATCTATACAGGCCGCGATCTGCTGGCTCGTCCCCTACACGTCAGGCATCGGCGTTGTATCCACTGGCAGTAGTGGCGCGCCAGCCACGATATCCCGCAACTGTCGACGATGACCCCATGGATGGTGCAGTGCTGGAGCCGTCGCCACGGAGTGCTGCTGCTACCAACGCAATGCCTTCGCCCTCGGTGCACTCTGTGCTCGGTCACGAGCTGAGCCACCTGACTGTCACGCCCGAAAATGGTACCGCCGCCGTCACTAGTAGCCTCCACACCATAACGGCGGCGGCGGCCCGAGCGGCGGCTCGCCTGGCCGCTCTGGGTATCGCGGACACCGCGATCTCACAGACACCGCCGCGAGCAGAGGTGGGAGTCCAGACCGCACCCTTAATCCTAGCCATAGCCAAGGAGTGTAGCCAAAGTTCGCCGCCACGGCTGTACTTTGGGGCAGGACACGCACCTGATGGTGCTCGAGTAGAAACCGCTAGCAGCGTAAGCAACAACGGCGATAGCGGTAGTGCTGCACTCCTGCCGCTGACTGCACACAGCGACAACTCGCCGGTGTCACCGATAGGGTCTCCCGTGGGCCGGATACGGATGTGCTCCCCTGGAGGGGCGGACACGGTGCTGGCGCTATCAGCCATCCGCAACAGCAGCAGCCATGAGCCGGGCATCCTTAACTCCCTGCATCTGGTGGTGAGGGAGCCACTCCTGTTGGACATCTCGGCCTTGCCCGAGGGAGAGGCGTTCGGCGCCCTCGACCGCAGCGCCCCCGCTTCACCACCCACTTCCCGTTGGCTGCCACAGCTGGGACAGCTGTCGCCGGGGTGTGCCGACCTAGGCAGTGCTCAGCAACACGGTGCTGACGTTACTGGTGTGGCCAGAGCAGCTGAGCCACAAACGATTTCGCAGAGTAGAACAGAAGGCGGTGATAGGACCACGTGGGTCAGGCCGCAGAATTCGGGCCTGCTCCGCGGTCCTGGACAAGGTGCACCAAGCTGCGAGGAGCAGAGGGTGAGGTTGGGGTATTCAACGTTGCGAGCGGTAGACCGACGGCAGGGTTGACTGTTATGCCTGCCCGTATATGCAGGCCTATGACCTTTGCCTGCTGAAAATCATGAGCTGCTTTGTGCGCAGCAACTCCATGCCTTCAGCAGGGTCGAAAGGCTGCACTTTCATGGGCTAAGGTTCACGTTTCAGTCGTCACACTGAGAATCTTAGCATGTGCGCAGACTAAGCCGCCCTGTAAGAATCCGCTAGCACGACGACGCGCAGTCCGGTTTCCTGCTACAAGAAGAATGGAATCCATGTGATGAGCTCGTCCCAACACCGCCAAGCAATCATAGCAGTATGTGTGTACACCGCTTGACGTAATCCCACAGGTTTCCGTCTCTTCCAGCGGGTTTCCTGGTCGAGGGAATCCTACCCGAGGCTCCACGTGTGACCTTGTTACCATGGAGTCCACGGAGGATACCGGTGGCGCGGCGGGGGAAGCTTGCGCTACATCCATTGTTCTAACGTACCCACGGACGCAGACCGCGCAGGCACAAGGTGCGACCCACGCGCTGCATATCGCAAGTGTGGCATGCACTGTTGCATTTATCTTGAGGGCCCTGCACACAGATCAGCCCATTCGTGTCCTGAGCTTTTGTTTAACAACCTGGCCCCCATTCCTTGCTGCACACAGTTAGTACTGCCGGGGAGGCATGGAACCACGGAGATGAGCAGCGGACGTCGGGAAGGGTTGGACCCGACTGGGATAATGCCGACGAACTGCACGCCTACCTGCTGCCTACATTGGACACCCACTGTGAGCCTCCTAGTGCACGGGCAGGTGATGACCTGGCGGCCTTGTTTCCGGCGACGGCCGCTGCTTTAGCCTATCAAAGCATCCAGAAGTCCGACACGTTAGATAGTACTCAGCGAATGCCAGTTGGCGGCGACGAAAACCAGAGAACATCGTATGGCGGCTTCGGCGTTATGCCCTCACCCAGAGCAAGTGCCATTAATGTGGATGAAGCCGTTCAGGCAAACGGGTTGCCGCCTCTGATGCCGTCACCAGATCCCACGCTCAATGGGCCCCGACAGAGCATGCAGTACCGGCCGGGAAGGGAAGGCTTGCATGCGCTGCGCGAGTCCGCCAGTGGCCTAGCAAAGTCTAGCGTTGAAGCCGTTCGCGAGGTGGAGGATCTCGTTGCGCGGCTAACGCTCTTGCAGCAGCATCTGGTCCGACGTCGGACGCACAGCGTCACCGTTCTAACCTCGCGCCTGTCCGTCGCAGCTCCGCAGCTGGAAGATGATGCGATCGCGGACACGACTGAGTTGAATTCCGATGATGACGCTATGCTATTCGAACTCCCAGTGTTGCCAGACCATACTTGATTGTAAATTAAATCGTGTACTGTTGGAATTATTCTGAATTGAAAACGATAATGCCCATACATGTGACTGTCAGTTTCTGGGGGTAAACCTTTCTATTAGTTACAATTAGATACCTCAGATAGATTGGTGCCCTTCCGGTAGGAATTTCCTAGCCGACACATATGAATGTTTTCATTTGACGATAGTTAGCGGAAACACAGCATTGCATCCTGCCGAGTCCTACAATTATCGAAACGCGTAGGAATTGTTGAATTCCAATCGTAAGTTGGTGACATAAAAGGTCACAATCGGAAAAAAAGACAATGTTATATAGAAACGTCATTGACACAGTTTCACTACCCATTAAAATCAGACCGTAGCCTCGACAAAAAAAACGGTCAAACCACAGTTATGCTTCACATCCCAGAACATGAAAAAGAAGCTGTACATAAATTTAGCCCATCACGCTTCCATGACATTCTCCTCTGCCAGCTCGACGTCCACAGCACTATCCGACCAGACGTAGAGCTTGCCGGGAGTAGTGAACTCGATGCCATTGAAGTCGCACGCACCAGCGACGGTGTAAGCGCCGGCGTTATTCCACATCAGCCAATCTCCGTTGCGAAGTACGGGCAACTGCACGTCCTTGTACACGCAGTCAGCGCTATCACAGGTGGGGCCCCACAACGTGGACGTGAAGGTGCGGATATCAGCCGGCTCCGGAAGCAGGGGAGAGCGAACGACCTTGTACGCGGGACTCTGCCCATCGTAGAGAATGCTGCAAATAGTTGGAAGTTCGATCAATACGTGCAAGTCCACAACCAACATTCCAAATGATTATTGAACAACTCACCAGTTAAAGCTGCCGTAGAGACCATCCGTCAGCCAGTAGTCCTTCTTAACAGCTCCATCATGCGCAACGCGGTCCCGCTGGCCGTACACCGGGGTCAGCAATGTGCTACTCGTCTCGGCGAAGTAGCGGCCAGGCTCCGCGATGACACGGACTCCCATCTCAGGCGGGAAGTGGGCAGCCAAAGCTGTGTTGATGGTGTTGGCAATCTCACCGAACATTACGTTCCCCATCTCATCGAAGTGGCCAGTAAAGCCGCCACCAATGTCGAGGAGCTCCATGTGAAATCCCAACGTGTGGGCCTCGTCGAACACCTATGAAACATAACAGGTCCATGCTTGCTTAAGCACTTGTTTGCAGCTGCAACCATAATCTTGCCAATCAGCGATGAATGTGGCATGGTAACATCATAATCAGATATTTTGTGTCTGGGTACAACATACCTTGCGGGCATTCTCAATAGCTCCACTGAAAGTCGAGAGGTTTTGGCATGCACTGCCGACGTGGAAACTAACGCCGACGACATGGAGCCCAAGGTCCTTGGCGGTCTGCAGGAGAACTGGCGCCTCCGAAACCTCAGCGCCATACTTCAAGCCCAGCGGGACGCGGGCATCGGGGTCGTCCGCGCGAATACGGAGTACGCACTTGAAGTCAGGGTTCATTTGAGAAATCTTGTAAAGCTCCGACACAGTGTCGAACTGCGCGAGCGATCCGATATGGGAATATGTTGCACCATACAAAGCTATGCAGGGCAACATAAAACCAGCAGATACTCACTGTAGTGTACTGAATGCCGTGGTCTCGGGCGTAGCGGATGTCTGACGCTCGTTTACACGGGTGAGCGAAAATGATACGGCTAGGCGAAACCCCCATGCGCAGCATCATGTCGAGCTCGCCCTTGGAAGCGCAGTCAAAGCCAGCACCCATCGCCACCAGCAACTTCAGGATCCCTGGCTCCGGGTTGCACTTGACAGCGTAGTAAGGCATTACGCGGGGCATCGCAGCGCGCCAGGCCTGAGGGGACGAACGTTCGTGCACGAAACGTCAGCAACCACCTGGAGTTGGCAAGTCCTTCTCTCCCAATTGACCATTGGGAGGTAAGAAGGCGCCGAGGTAGCCACTGGCCCTCCTGGCCGGATGGCGCGATCTCTGGTCTCGTATGGTAGGCCAGGAGGACGCCACGTGGCTTTATGCTTGTGCTCCACACCAACTGAGACATTTGACAAAGACTGGCTTCCGAATCCATACAACGTTGCAACAACTGCACAACGGCCTTAAGCTTGTGTGCAGCTGCGCACGGGCTGGGTTTCGAAGCTTGGGCAGCACACCAAGCCCAACTACGCGCAGACGAAGACCAAACCAAGGACGGCACAAATTCACACCGAACACGCAGATGCATGCACACGCGGCACACAGAAACGGCACAAAGACAGTCACAAAAGTGCAGTGCAGGGCGCCCAGTGAAGACCACCTAGCTGCTAGACAAGAGAAAAGAACAACGGCCCAGTTAGTGGTAAAGGCGGCTAAGTAGTGGCGCGTGAGCATGCAAGAGGGTTACCAGGAGCAACAACAGGTTGGGTTGTGCTGTTTGCAACGGTGCAGGGTCTTCCGGCTCCTGCCGCTCATCTCCAAGCTCCACGCCATGTCTCCAAGATGCCAGCCGCAACCACCACCACCGCTCAGACCTTGCCCTCGGGAGGAAAGGCTCGCGCTTGGTGAGGCGTGGGGCGATGAAGTGCAGATGTGGTCGCTGATGGCAGGGCCCGGAAGACTCCAGGCCAAGCAGAGCAGCTTGATGCAGGCGTGGCGCCATGCCGCGGTGGATGGTGTAGTTGAGGACGGCGTTCGAGCGCGTGGTGGTGGTGCACGGTTCGGGTTGTGTGCGGGCACGTGTCAAATGAAAAAAAAGGTCAGGCAGGGCTAGCCTGCAGGGCCGAACATAGGAGCACAGCAGAAGAGCGTTAATCCGGGTCACACGCATAAGTCCGATGCGCTACCAAGATCATGATACGCCGCCACAGCATGCAAGGCGCAGCCCTGTCATGCTTGGCAAGCCGAACCCGTCTTCCCTGCCCAGTTTACTTGACGTCCGTCGGTAAAAAAATGTTGCATTACCTTAAACATGCGCTGTACGTTAGCAAGGTCGACCACATAGAAGGTGTCGTCTGGCTTGTGCTTTACGATGTGCTTGATTGCCTCCTGCTTCATACCCATGGGTCCACCTGATTGTGCACAGAATAAATTAAGACTGTTAGCAAACCCGTGCACAAGGCTTGATTGTTCGGCGAACACAATCCAATAAACAATTCGCTTACCCGACTTGATGTGCTCAGCCTTCAAGTCCACCAAGACTTGGGCTGTAGCAAGCTTTCCCGTCGCCTGGTACTGCCAGGAACGGAGCAGCTTCGGATCAGGGGCCGCAGTTGCCGGGCCGCGGTCCACAGGCTGAACGCTCCAGTTGTCCAACTGCACCATCTCCAATGCCTCTGCCTTCATATCAAGCATAGTTGGAAGCCCATACTGCATAAAAGAACAATTTGCAGATGTTAAAATTCTTGGCCTAGGAATTCTGACTGCGACTGTTGTCATCCAGTCATACGGGGATGCAGGTGCCATCGCAACAGTAACATTAATAAAAAGAATTGCATGCGCAGAGATCTGCAACCTAAGGATTGTGACCACCGGGCAGTATGATCTTCAACATTTGTCAACAACAGGAACTTACGGTGCCCGTCTTGCCCGTGTCGTTGCGCCAAGCACTCCTGGTAAAGGCGGAGACATCGCCAGTTTCAACGCTGACAACGTCGGGAACCAGAGGCAGCTGCAGAGACTGCAGGTCCACGCTGTGCAGTTGCGGCGCAGCAAGGCTTGCCACCGCAGCCGGCGGAGGGGGACTCAGGACCTCAGAACTTGTCATGATGACGCGATTTAGCCTGGGAGAGCGCACCGGAGGCAATGAAGTAACAATGGGATACCGTCGCATGAGGCCACAGGCCTTCCGACAGGTGGCCCACAGGTAAGAGCCCAAAAATTAGCGGACAACATTTTCCAAATGGTCCTCAAGTTTAACGGCACTGGTTTTAGTAAGTCAACCATGCAAAAATGCGAATGGCCGCCATCATTCCCTTTGCCACTTTCTCTACCTGTTGGAAAAGGAACCTGGTGCCGAAGGAGAGAATGAAGGCTGAGAACTTAGAAGTCTCAGAAGGGTCGAGCTTTGAGCCAATAAAGAAGTGGCAAAATTACGGGGCGCCAGCTTGGGCCGATACAGGCCAAGCGGTCCTTGCTCGGGGGGAAGTTGTGGATGCCGAAAGCGGGGCAGCGTCAAAATGCGTAAATATGATAACAATTTATAGTCGATTGCACACATACAAGAAATCAGCGGCACAATATAAGATGTCGATGCCAGTACGGCACATTTCCTGGGCCCTACAAGACGAGCAGCGCCATAGTAAGCATCAAGATTCTCCTTACTGCAACATCACTGGATGTACTTTGTTCAAGTTACTAAAGCAGTGCTATAACATATGGAACTGTGCTGTGTGATATATTTTGTCGAGTCTCCTGGCGGATTTTTATTATCCGCGTGCCCGCACCCCATAAGAATTGCGTTTGATTTCATATTCTATGGGCTCATCTAACTTGCGTCGTGATGTGAACTTTCTTCCTTTGTTCTCAGTTGTGTCCCCGGAATAGTCGAAAGAGATCTTTGGTACACGTGCACCTGCTCCCCTGGACACCATAATTGTATTCCTTTGCTGTTTATGAAATGCCTTAAAACTCTTTGTTACTGTGTGAGCACCCTATTGCTGTCTTTGCGCGTATTAATGGAACTCGACAAACCCGCGGTACCTCTGCTGTGTTGCGTCGATGCACTGTAGATAGCGCATTACGACTTCCTGTGCAGGTGATGTGCAAATGTGCCCTGCAGGTGCGAGGTCTGCATCCCAGGAAGCATTATAGCTACTGTGTAAAACTAGAAACTGTTCAGTGGTTTATGCAAGTTTCCCCCTTCACGCTTTCCGACCAAACCGTTTAGGTACAACACAGCAGCGCTGGGCCCTCCGTGGGCACGATGCATAATTTGTTTAACGTTTATGATGGCGGAGAACAAGGAAAGCTGCGGCCAAGGACAAGGGAAAGGAAGACTGTTGCTTGGCGTATCAACGCAAATCCGCAAATCCGTCAGGCACCCTGCCCTCAGTTCCGTTACCACAACACTGCGTGCGGCCCCACAACAAGGCCGCACAGTGACTGTAAGCCTGCACGCTGTGAGCTCGCGGGACGTCAGCGTTTGCGCCTGGATTCAATCAGTGGCAAGAACACGCAGCAGAAACGGAAACTCTCCGTACGTCTTACACGAATGTCCTGCGATGCCGTTCACCCACGTATGTGTTTGTCGGGCATATGCATTTCCGCCCTGTCTGGGTCTGCCGTTTCCAAAACTCCTAAGCGGGGAAGCCCGCCCGCAAGAAGCCTGCCCGCGGTGCACACGGCCACCCCCGGGCAACACAGCCACAGGTGTGCACCTTGCGTGCAGTAGCAATCACAGTTGCAGTCCTGGCCAGCTATGCCATCGGAAGTCACGCGGGGAGCACCTGCGCTCTTAGAAGAATAGCTCCCTCTTCACCCGGTCAAGGATTGCTTCTACCCTCGCCACTAGCTCCGGCTCCGAGGACCGCAGCACGTCTAATGACGGTAGCGCATCGTGAGAGTCCGCCTCAGGCCCCGCCAGAAGCACCAGGTTGTCCGCGGTACAGGGCTTGTTTGGATCCCACCTGATGCCCGCGGGTGGGGAGATGTGAGCCCGGCACGTGCGGGTTGGGAGGAGGTTGGGGAATTATATGTTGTAGTCTCAGGGCGGGAAAACCACTGCCGACGTCCAGAGTTGCAACTGCTGTAATCCAAAGTTTCTACGCAACTGCCTTTCTGTGAACTTTACTACCGACATTTTTGGCCGTCATCACGTCATGTACCCTAGTCGTCCTCAGCGCGTTGATGTCCAGCGTTACGTCGAAGGGTGTTGTTGCCGAAAACCCTAAAACCCTGTCGTACTCGTAGTAGCCTCACACAAAGGAATTGTGTTAACCGATTGTCTCTGGCGAAAATCTGCCGCTACTGCCATACGTGAGTGCAAGATGTGCAAAGCGCTCCCGAAGCAATGGAATGCAAGGTATGCAGCTCTACCGGGGACTCACCTATTTAAAATACAGGCGGTAGCACGGCAACATCCCACCAAGGCCAATGCACGCGGGAAAGAAAGGACGGAGGTTAGCAATTACGGAAGCAGATAGAAGCGAAGGGAAGTTAGATGCGTGTATGTGATGGCATGGCGTGACTGTATGCGCCTAAGATTAAAAGAATCCAGAGGATTATTATCTTAGGGCAAGGGCGCGCCGAGGTTTAAGAACGGGGAATCTAGAACGGGGAATCGCCGAAATGCCGTATGCTGTACTTTCGGATGCCGTACTATTGGAAGGAGTTAAGGGAAGGTAAGGACGAGATGGAACTAAAGAGTAAAGGGCAAAGGCAAATAAAAGAAAATATGACAACTCAAGAAAAAGAAGGTAGAGGCAATGCAAGGACCTGAGAATGCCTGAGGGCAGCTCATGGGGAAAGGCAAAGGAAAGAAATGACTGTAACGCGGGTGGGGTAAAGAGGTACACATAAGCTATAGCTAAATTCCTAATATATAAAAGTTGGGGAGTTGGTTGTGGGGTATGCCTTGGGGTTGCTGGCGGGCATCATGGCATCTCGCAAGTCATCAGCGTAGGTCTGCGGGACCTCCCGCGCCGGGAGAGATGTGGGTGTGGGCGACATGGGGCAGGCAGGCAGGCAGGCAGGCAGGTGGGCAGGTTCCAGGATTGATCCCGACAAAGAACGGATAAAACGTGGCAGTTTCCTCAAACGTGGAAAGGGTTGATGTCCTCATGGCCATGGAGGATGATGGACACCAGTTATAGTTCATTCGGCAGAATCCACTGGATGCCTTACGCTGATGCATAACGCGAGGGATGAAAGACGGGACAGGCCGCGGCTGGCCGCCTGAAATCTTCGGTCTCCGCTACCGTTACACATGTTGCAGCTACAGCATCAGCACCAGCAGCATCAGCACCAGCAGCCATGACCCAGTTCCGCCGCTGGCGTATCCCCGCGCCACGGCACACGCACCTTGTGAAGGTGAGGTGGGCCGTGCTTCGCATAAGGCCCTTATCGCCCCCGGGCGCCACTACCCGCTGCGGCTCCCGCGCACTGAACCCCCTCCAAGCCTCCCGCAGCAGAAACACAATGTCGTCCAGGTCCACTGCAACGCCCTCGTCGCTGCCGAACCTGAAACAAACAATGGCACATATGGACTGATGTGTGCCCACATGACGTCTGATGGACACGAGGCGCATGGCCACGCAGGGGATAGGAGTCAACATGCCGTGGTGGTGATGAGGGGAGGAGGAGGTAAGCAGGAGTGGCGATAGGGGAGAGGGCACGACGATGAGCTGTTGCATGGCCGAAAGAGACGGCAGCCAGAGTCTTAGCGTGTTGTGATGTGACGTGGCGGATATGCCGCACCGCCGACTTATTACACAGCATATCGTCCATCTAAGTTTTTCCTTAAGGCCTTTTTCTATTTTAACGGAGTGAGCGCCGCTCATCGCAACGGCGAACGCAATTTGCAACGGCCCACCAGGTCTCACTCTTTCACCGCAACAAAACAATCGAAAACAAGCAGGGGCTGTCCAGTCTCATGTGCGTACATGGCTGCATCCGCTACTCTACAAAAAGCTGGCATTCCGAAAACCCCCTGGATTGCGTCGCGCCAGTCGCAACCACCATTATGCGCCCTCCAATCCTGGGTCCAAGTGGGCCTCCTACCTTTCACTGGCACCACCACCACCGCCACCCCGCCCGCGGCGCGGCCATGGTGAGTTGGCCACGCACCTGAAAGAGCAATGACCTTAAGGCCAAGTTCACACCTTCCCCCGTCAAGGTCAACCCCACTCCGCTGAGGATGCCTGACCGCCAGCCGGCAGACCACGGGGCCGCTGCGACACAAGGGAGCTAAAACCTCCTTGTGCTGTAACCCCACCCCCAAGACCGCACGGACCTTGCTCGCTCCCTGTCTCGCAACCGCTCCAAGGCTCGCTCGTACTGTACGGCAGTAAGCTTGATGATGGGCTCCCCCTCTATGGCATGGCTGGGTCCCGCCAGGCTGCACAGCACGTAGCCCGCTGCCGCCATGCCGAATATGGCAGGAGTGGTGCCCAGCACGGGGATGGTGCGGACTCGGAAGTTGGGTACGATCTGAACGGACATACATGCAGGAACACACGGGGGTGATTTATATGTGTATGTGTGTGTGCATGGAGGGGAAAGCGGATGCTCCCCCCGCTCCCTTCCCCCCCACCTGGTAGTCCAGGGGGTTGCCGGTCTCCATGTCCGCCAGACTGACCAGCTTGCAGCGGGGCTTCTCGGTGCTCAGCAACACCGGGATGCCGCCAAACACCCCGTGCTGCTTGCGGAGACTTTGTAAAAGGGGGGAGGCAGGGAGGGGGAGGGGGCCCGACGTCATGTGGGCTAAGGACTGTGTTCCCATCTGTACGGAGGGACGGAGCTGGGCGGCGGGGGGGAAGGTGAAACATAACTCCCCCTCTTTTCCCCCACCAGCCCTCACGAAGCCACTGCCCCGCAAACCCATCGACATCCCCCCAAAACACATACGCAGACACGCACGTGTGCAAAACCCCACATCACCTCCCCCCAGCACTTCCCCCGAGGTGCAGTACAGTAAATACACAGGCAGACACACATATGCGCACACACACGCGCACGCGCACCGCGTCCTGAGTGCTCTCGCCAAGGGGTCCACGGAGGACTCCGAGATGTCCACGAACTTGAGGCGGGTGGGGTCCGCCTTGGCGCCCGCCCCCGCCACACTGAGGACCCGCAGGCCCCGTCGCTGGCAGGCAGCGACCAGCGCTACCTTGGGGGCGGGGGGGAGAGGGCGCGGGAAAACACGGCTTTGTGCGCACGTAACGAACGTGGGGTAGGGATGGGGCGGTGTGGGCGGAGCGCTGGTGATGGCGGCGCCGGCCGATGGGATCGTACAGGGGTTTGTCAGTGCACCCCACCCACCCCGCTCACTGCCGGTCATAGCCGAGCCCCCCTTCCCCTAAGACCGGCTGCACCGCCACTCAATCCGAGGGACGAGCCCCCCCTCGTATTGGCCCCGCATTCCCCCTAGAATCCCGCGACGTGCCCTCGACACATGGTCGTACAAAACACATAAGGGGCCCTGCGTTTTTCCCCCTTGGCTGACGAGTTACCCCTACCCCTACCTCTACCCCTACCCCTACCTTGGTGTCGATGTTGTCAATGGCGTCAATCACGAAGTCCGGTTGGCCCCCCAGCAGCTCGTCCTCCGCCTCTGCCGTGTACATCTGAACGACTGCCTCAATGTGCGACTGAGGGAAGGCACCATCACCACCACCACACATTCAACAGACCCAGCGGCCATTACCCGCCGGCATTTACTGTTTGAGTTAGTTACAAAGGCAGCCGGGCTTGACCTTTACGACGTAGATAATCCTTTCAGCACCGCCAGCACCTAAACAGCACATACAGCCCGTCTGCACTGCTACAGCTGGATATCAATGACCTCAATCCTACGAGACCAGACACGACGACTACACCACAAAGAATGTCGGTAACGTGTTGGAGCTTCACTACCTCCGGAACCACGGGTACATGACTTCACCATCGATTAGGACTCACTAGGTGGTTTCGGAGTTTGGACGCCTTCCAGCAGGCAGACAGTTCATGTTTTCTGAGTTTCTTCGCATCACATGATATACCCCTCCCTTCCCCTCGTTCGTGGTTCGTCTTCCCTTCCCTCTCCTCCTCACACCTCGGGCAGAATCCTCCGGAAGTGCTTCTCCAGACACGTGGCCTTAGGGGTTCCCACGTCCTCGCGGGTGGCCACCGCGTGGCGGTTCAGGGAGGAGAGGGTCACCTGCGCGTGCGGGAGGGGGGTTGGAGGGGTGGTAGAGAGTTGGAGGGGTGGGGGGAGTTGGAGGGGTGGGGGGAGCGCGTTTGAGAGCTGGGAAGGGGTAATGCGCGGTGGTTGGCGCACACCACCACCACCACCACCATCATCAACAACAACAGCAGTAATCCTCAACCATGAATAGCAACTCCAACGAAGCCGCTGTCACCCGACCCGTCGCCCACTACGCCGCTTCATTCGACCCTCCCTCGCCGGCCCACCCTACCTGGTCAAAGTCAATCAGCCGCATGCGACCCACCCCGGAGCGCAGCAGCAGATGGGCCGCATGGCTGCCAACACCCTGGGAGGAACAAGAAGGGGGAGGGGTCGTCGGTCGGGGTGAGGGGTTGGGGGGGATGCCGGGGAAGGGTGTGTGTGAAACGGATGAAGCGGAAGGCAGGGCAGGAGCCTGACCAGGAGGGAGCAGGGAGGAAGTCTAACTGTAAGGGGGGGGTTTCTTGCTTCTTGCTACCATACGTAATGTTGACGACAGGCTGACAGCCGCTGCTCTGAAGGGTAAAAAGTGTCGGAGGACCAGGAGAAGGACGCAGCGCGGTCGCTCTGCACATGGTGACCAAGGGTATGGATACGGGGACCAGCTTATAGGCAAAGCACATTGCTCTACTGTGAGCCGTTGCTGGAGTTGTCACTGTGGAGGTACTTGGAATTTCCGGTGACTGTCGTACGCTGTTTCGGTTTTGTGGCGAGGTTTCCAAAAGACCAACTGCACCAGCGCATCTGGCATTATGTGTTTAAGTTCTTTCTTGAGAAACGCGATCTGCACTTACTCCAAGGCCCACAATAATGACGAACGATTTTGCAATTTCGAGTTGGCCTTCTTCACCAAAAAACTGGACGTTTCGTGTAAGCTGCTCGGTTAGAACCTCATCTTGTAGAAACTTTTCAAGTGAAGCTCCACCCGGCACGTTGCACTTCGCTGGGATATTGGAGGCTGCTTGCGCGGCGGCGGCCCTCCTGACGCCGATATAGCTGTAAGCTACGTAAGCTGCTCCCGCTCCAATTAGCGCTCCTGCTGTGAGATAGAGCGATTTGGACCGCCAGTCGTCGCTCATAGGGACGGTTGTTACTAACGACGGAAGATAACGGACTGCTAGATACAGAGCGTGGGCGCAACGTTCTTTATCTTGACAAGAACAAGTTCATTTTCCGATAGTGCTGAAACGAGTTCGTTGAACAGGAAACGCCTTGATCTGGTGCAGCATGCGCAAACTATAGCTTGCGTGGCAGAATCGTTGCCTATGGGTAACAAATTGCCATACTTCAGTGTTTCCGCCTAAGAGCTTAGTTTTGGACTATGGCGTATGGCTTATGCACCCGTACAGGCCGTGCAATTAGCAATGTAATTCACTACAACTTGAGCTCAAAGATATATACAAGTATATAGCGTTACGGGGCCTGGCTTGATATTTCATCATCACGGCTGTATGAACTATGAAGACCATCGGATTGGCTATAGCCGTTGGTTGCGTTTTAAAATTCGTTGTTGTGGATCGAGGAGAGAGGTGGCAGGAGGGTTCATTTCCCCAGGTTCCAGTGTTTCGAACGTCCTGCTGGATATAATGCATAGGGGAAAGGGAATGTGCATGGTGCTGGTTCTTCCCGTGGGCTAAAAAAAACTCTGTCGAGCCCACGGGGCGAACAAGCAGGCGAACAAGCAGGCCGCTAGACCACGGACTAAAATGCTCCTCGCATGTTGTTACCAGCGATTCCTCTTAATAATCATACAGCTACATCACCACTGGTAAAGCGTTGCTGCCAATTGTGCCTTGCCTTAGATGCATGGGATGCTAGGATTTTGTGACACCTTTACGCCACTTATCCGTACCGTTGTTCGCGGCGTAAACGTGTAACTGAGGTAATGTAGTGTATAGCAGGTATACATAAACAGTCCTCCATGCAATGAAAGTAATATGCTTGGCACCACCTCCCTATACAGGCATATGGCTCAATTCCTCGTAGAGAAATTCCTTCAAACTTATGTTATATAGCTACAAACATGCATAAACACCAGCTTATCAGCATCCCAGCATCTCATTACTGCGAGCGTGCTCGGTGGGCTCTGGATTACGCGGACATCAGCTTTACAGAACATAAGTGGCCCCCGATGCTGCACTACTTCGGGGCATTTCCAGCAAGCGGAACCCGGACAGTTCCTGTCCTGAAGTGTCCTGCCAGCTCAACCCGGAAGGCATGCGTTTTGACCGACTCCAAGGACATCGTCAGCTACGCAAACGAACGAATACTGGAAGCCGCTTCTCCTTTCAAATGCCCCCAAGCGCTGCCTAACGATAACTCGCAGCAGACTGGCAACCCACCCACGCCGCCCTTGTCGCCGCTCTACCCTTCAGATCCTGACCAACTTTGCGAGGTGCGCCTCCGCGACATCCATCCGGCTGCGAGCTCGCACAGGCCGTGGAAAGCTGCATTGCGGGAGTTGTTTAAATGGCCGGAATGCGGGCGCCCATCCCCCTCTGCTGCTGTTGCTGCTGCCCGCACGCGATCCTCCTTCCCTTCCCCCCTCCTTCCCTTCCCTCCCGACCCCCCCCCCTCCCCCTCCCTTCTCCTTTGGCCTTCCGGCCACACGACAAAATACACACACACGCACCAAACACATACGCAGGTTCAGCGGCTGGAGGAGCTTTTCGCCAGTAAGTTGGGTGTGTGGACCCGAGTGGTGGCCTACCATCACCTCTTCGCGGACCGGGACCTCGCACTGGACGTGTTGGCGCTGGGGCAGCAGCAGCCCCCTGCCCTGGCGGGCTGGAAGGCGGCACTGCTGCAGCGCTGCTTCCCCCTGGTGCGGGGGGCCATTTGCAAGGGACTGCGGGTGGACGAGCGGGGGGCGGCCACCTGCCTGGAGCGCATCAAGACATTGTTCGGGGAGGTGAGGCGTGCCTGCCCTTATGCACGATTTTGGCTTGGGTTGCAAGCCTTGCCGCTGGGATGTTGTGTTTGCGTGTGTGCGTGCGATGTTGTGTTTGCGTGTGTGCGTGCGTACGTATGATGTGTGGGACAAGGGGGTATATCTTCACCCGTGGCCGCTACCCGGCGAAACCCTGCCTTTCCCGGTATTTCGGGGCACCCTCATTTAGTCACCCTAGTCAACTTCTCAGTGGATCGCTTAGGTTCCGCACCCACCACCAGCATCCAACGGAATCTGCCGGATCGACGGCGGCCCAACTCCATACCTGGTCAGCTCGCAAGTTAACTTTATCCCAGGTCACCACCGTCCATCGACTAGGGGCACTATCACCTTCCACCCAATCGGAAGGATTTTCGACCCTGACCGGTCTCGATCCCGGGGGCGTATGTATGCATGTCCATATGTGTGTCTCACATGACCAGCTTGTCTTATGTGACACCAGGACGAGCGAGGGAAGGGCAGTAGAAGGTCCGTCCGTTATGCAGTCGTGCGCTCCTCCCCGCCCTACCAACCCATCATCAGCCACCAGGGCGTGCAGACAGACCCTCTGGACAGACCCACGCATACAAGAACAACTCGGCCAATCTCTTTGTGCTGTCCGTGAGCCCCTAACCCCGTCCTCGGGTGGCCTCCCTCCTCCCCTTCCTGGCAGGTTGGCGGAATGCTTGAGCGGGGCGGGGGCCGCTACCTGGTGGGGGACCAATTCACCGCCGCGGACCTTACCTTCGCAGCCATGGTCGCCATCGTGCTCATGCCCGAACAGTACGGCGCGTACCTGGGCCCTCTAGACGCCTGGCCTCAGGAACTGCCTTTCCGGGAGCTTCGTGACACGGCCGCGGGTCGCCATGCCCTGAGGATGTATGCCGTCCACCGCAGGGTGAACTGCTGGGGGCAGTGTGTTGGTTGGGCGGTGAATGGGGAATGACTGGGAGAGGGGGCCCGCCCGCATGGGAGACATAAAAGGAGGGGGGCGGGGATTAGGAAAACTTATGCGAGGCGATGTGATGTCTCAATTTGAACGCAAACTTGGAATCGAAATCTCCGAAAAGATGGAGCCCTACCGTGAGGAGGAGGGGTGAGGAGGGGTGGGAAGCAGCAGCAGCAGCAGACGCAGCCAGAGGGGGGTGCCCCGGAGGTGAGAAGGGAGCTCCAGCTCCTTTTCCAGTTTTGCGCGATTGTAGGGTTGCCCTTGTCCTCGCGGTGATGTGTGAGTTTATGTTGACTCCGGGGGGAAGACGAGCAGGTGGCCGTGTGACGGGAAGAGGAGACATGTCTATATCGGCCTACACGAGTTACCTTGCACGGACATGGACATGGACACCCGCCTGGGCAGGGTGGCTGGGGGGAAGCTGCTTACCTGGGCACGGCGGGGCTAGTGCTGTGGAGCGGGCAGTCTGGTGTGCGCGCACATGGGGGGGTGGAGAGAGAGAGACAGACAGACAGAAGAACCCTCGAGCTGACAGGGAGGTTGGTTATTGTGGAAGACTGGTCTTGGCCTTCTTGTTGGGTGTTTTAGTTGCATGGCTATTCCATTGCGGCAGATGTGCTACTTAATAAATGCATATGGTGACTGTACTGTATCTGTGGAAAAGGTCGAAGCAAGGTGAGCTCGTATGTGACATGAATGTTATGTAGTAATGGCGCTGCCTTCGCAGCAATTTTTTTATTTCGGTGTTGCGGCGAAGTGTTCCACGGGTCGGCGCACATGGATCGACCGGGCGGTGCTCTGGATGAGAACACTTTTAGATCAATTAAAGGCAGTGGAGGCAGAGAGGGGTGCGGTCTTTGCGGTTCGGGAATTGCACCTGTGTACGTGCAACTCGCGCCTTTACCGGCAGCTCGCTCACAGCAGTCTGGTTTCATGTGTAATATCGACATTCCTGCTCCTTAAACCAGGAGCCCTCATTCTTTTAGAAGAAATGTGCGGGGGTTGCAGCCCTTGCGCAGGATGTATTGATGCAAGGCATTTGAGAAGGGGTGCAAAGCCGGCGAGGAGGTAAAACCCAGTGCTCACGTGCTGCTGCTCCGAGGACTCAAATTACGAGGAGTGTACGGCATTCAACCGTGTACAAATATACATACGGCTGCAGGCGGTCCGTTGTCCAAGGCTGCAGGCGCAAATTTGGGTTTTTCGTCTTCACCTGATCATCACCAGCATCCGGATATCACTGACTAGGAGATGAGCCCAGTAGGCGGGCAGATGGAGCCCCGGGGTAAGCCACTTCACCGCCAGGGAAACTCTGTATATCGCAACTGCTGTGGTGCAGCAAGTACGACCTATGCGATCACATTTGGAAATAATCATGGTGCGCACGAGATAACTTTCCAATCATTGACCCCCTCGCTTTGCTTCAGTGCTTGAATTAGGTCGCCGTCAATGCAGCCCCCGCAAGCCCCATGTCCTCCGCTTTACCTGATGTCCCACCGCCCCGTGTAGTCGAGTCCCGGTAGGCCCGCCACCCTGCCTCCCTCTCTTGCCTGGCTGCCATCACCCACCCTGGCTGCCATCACCCACCCTGGCTGCCATCACCCACCCTGGCTGCCATCACCCACCACCGCTTCGATGTAATCAAACAAACCCTCCATCTTCAATCCCCCCTTAGCCAACCCCCCGAGGACCATCGCCTGCAAACACCCACACTCCGCCTCTCCCCCCTTTTCTCCTCCGCCGCTCCCTCCTACGGTGGGAGGATCCGGGTGGCAACACATCGCAGCCACCCGGGCACCGCACTTAGCCACCCGGGCGCCACTGTGGTTACTCCCGATCCTCACCGTCCACCGCTCCCGTCGTCGACGAGAACACGAGATGCAGCACATCCCTTGTGGACCAGGCCAAGCAGCGGTTGTCCGCGCCGCCCGACAGCAGCACCGCACCGTCAGGGCTGAACGCCACACAAGTCGCCGCGGCACCATGCGCACTGAGCCAACCCAACTCCCGCCAGCGCCCCGTGTCCCACACACGCACAGAGCCGTCACCCAGGCTAGCAGCCAGCATCGCGCCGTCGGCGCTGAAGGCCAGCCCCGTCACCTCCGCCAGCGCCGGCAGCAACGTCACGCGTGTCGGGAACGGCGCCGCCGGACCGCCGTCGCCGCCGTCAGTGGGGTTGGGGCGGAAGGAAACGCCGCTGGTGCGGCCGCCGCCGGCAGCGGCGACGCCGCCGCCACCTCCGGCCCTGAGAGCGGCCTCCGGGCGACCCCAAATGGTCACCGTGCTGCCGGCTCCGACCGCCGCCACCTTGCCACAGGGGCTCGCCGCCACCGCCACCACAGGCGCGCCGTGAGGCCCCAGCCGATTAGAAGACTCCCTCTTCGACTTGACGTTCCAAAGCATCACCTCGCGTCCGCAGCCCATCAGAACCCACCGCCCGTCGGGGCTGAACGCCGCGCCTGCGAAGCGACCCACGAGCGTGCCGGAGCCGAACACTCCGCCGCCGCCGGCAGCAGCGCCCTCGGTGTCGCCGCCGCTGGCGACGCCGCGGCTGATCGCTGCGCGGCTGGGCCGTACGGAGGGTACGGCGGTACCGACCTGCTGCCAGTCGCGTACCGTCCAAACGGTAACACGACCCTCGCCGTCAGCGGCGAGGAAGAGCTTGCCGTCTGCGCTGAAGCTCACAGCGTCCATTGTCGTACTGACATCATCGGCGCCGTCGGGGGCACCGCTGCCGCAACGCAGACGGGCGGCTTCGCGCGTGGTGAAGTCCCCTATTGCCGCCGCTGCGGCGCCGGCGGCATTGGCGAAGGCGCCGTCGGCGGCGGCTGCTACGGCGCCAAAGTACCAAACGTGGGCTGTGCCGTTGGACAGTCCGGCCGCTACGAGGGTGCCGTCGGGGCTCCAGGCCAGACCCAGCACGGCTGCGGTGAGGGCGTTCAATTACATTGGGTTACATACACACCTCCACACACACACTTATCCACGCCAATCTAATCATCCTCCATCCGTGCATGCATGCATGCATCCCTTTTCAGCCAGACAGGACTCAAGTATATATATAAACATGTTGCAGATAGGCTGGGGGCACTTGGGAGGTGAGCAGCGGAAAGTGCACAGCCGGAATAAATAAAGCGGTTCCTGAACATGGTAGCATGGAGTCAGCTGAGATTCGGGGGCAAGTTAGGGACGTGAACGGCAGGCAGAGTGGCGGAAGGCGGGACGGGGGGGGAGAGAGGAGCAACGGGCTCACCTCCTGGCTGTTCAACCGCCACCAACTCCGAGTGCCGAACAACGTCCCATAGCCGTATCGTACTGTCGTCGCCTCCCGTCAGCGCCAGCGCACCACTGGGGCTGAAGCACACAGAAGCCACGCGGTCGCTGTGGCCGTTGACGGCGGCCAGTGCGGCCAGCGCCCGTCGGCCGCTACTGCCACCGAGCGGGGTTCGCCCACGGGACAGGGCCGTCCCCACGCCGGCAACGCCGCCGATGGCGGAGTCCGCCGCGGCCGCTGCCACTGCGAGCTGCACGTCCCAGGTGTACACCGCCGAGCCGCCCGCCGCCATCAGTACGGCACCACGGCGAGCGAAAGTCACCGCCGGCACGTCCAGCACATCTTCCGCCAGCGGTAGCACTGCCAGACAGGTGCCGGTGGCAGCGGACCACAGCACCACCGCCCCCTCCGCCACCGCAGTCGCCAGCAATGCTCCGTCGGGGCTGAACGCCAGTGCACGTACGGCATTGCGCAGTCCCCGAAGCTGCGTCACCTGCGCGCCGCTGCGTGCGTCCCACAGCGTGGCGGCGCACATGTCATTGACGAGACGTGGCGGTGCCGTTGACACCGACGCCGCCGCCGTCGCCGTCGCCGCGGCAGCCGGCGTGCCGCCTCGGCTGGCGACGCTGCTTCCCGCTGTGGACGGCGGCGCGGCGTAGATGGCCCCGGCGGTGGCCAGCAAGCTGCCCGCGGGGCTGAAGGCCACGCAGGCCTCCGCCCAGGCGCGGCCGCCCCCTTCCCCACCCGCACCGAAAGGCAACGATGCAAGCTGCTGCGGGCGACCACTCAGCGACCAGAGCTCCGTGCTGGAGGTGCACACGGCCGCCAGGACGGTGTCAGCGACGGCGCTGGCGGTGGCGGCGAGCGGCGGTGCGATGTGTACGGCGAAGACTTCCCCGCAGGCGGCGGGAAGCCGCAGTGTGGCGGTTACGTTGTGGGACTGCGGGGCCCGGGGGGAAGACCGGGGGGGCCCGGCGATCAGCGGGGCCCGGGGAACACTGCGTCCGAGCGCCACCTGTTTGCCAGGTTACCAGTTAGAGCTCTAGAGAAGTGAGCTACGCCCTCATCGTTTGTAAGCGATGTCTGATGTCACGACAGGGAGGACTATTCACGGCAGTTGCAGCTGGCAGCGGGGGAAGGTAGGTCACGCATTCCGAGTGCTGATGGAAACGAACCTCCAGTGAAAGGAGGGGGGGAGGGAGGGAGGGAAAGACGAACCACGAACGAGGAAGGGGAGGGAGGAAAGAGAGGGAGAGAGCGCTGCGGGGAGGTCTTTTCAACTCACCCCCACCCTCTCATACGCACCCCCGCGGCCCACCTGCACGTTCCACACCCTCATAATAGTGCTGCAGCTCTGCACCACCAGCAGCGACTTGCCGCCCGGCAGGAACCCCAGCCAGGCCACTCCACTGGCCGCGGCAGCAGCAGCACCAGCAGCTTGCGGGGGCTCCAGCTCCGCAGTGCGAGTCGCTCCCCAGCCATCAGGTGCCACAGCCCACAACACAACTCGCCCGTTGGACGAGTCACCCGCAGCCACCAGCGCGCTGCCGCGTACAATGGCCACGCCGCCAGGCCCGGCCGCCGCCGCCGCCTCGGCAGCGGCCGCGGAGGACGGTACGACACGCGTACCTGGCGGAGCGCCGTACGCTGTTGCGCTGGCGGCGGGTCCGGGCTCGTAGATCGCGATGCAAGAGACGTAAGGGTCGTTGGTATTTAAAGACGGTGATGATGGTCGCGACCCGTGGGTCAGTCCGGAGGGGTCGTTGCCCGCGTGCACTTCACCCGTGGCTAGGTCGTACGGTAATGGTTCAGTTCGGGGCGACAAGGCCGGGTAGACGGAGGATATGGCTGTGGAGGCCGCAGTCAGCAGCGGGGGCAGTGCGAAGGAGAGGGTGGGCAGCACCGACGGCGAGGCGGTCACCAGAGGGGATGTGGACCCCACGGCTGGGCTAGCTCCCGGAGCTGTTGCATCTGCCGTTGCTGTAGCTGCTGTAGCTGCTGGTGTGGCGACGGACGGTAAGGGCTCCCCGACAGCTGCGGACGTCACGCCAGCCCTGATGATGTTGCCACCGCTGTAGCAACTTTTGCTTGTGACGTCCCTTTTCTTGTCTTGACCGTCACCACCGTCGACCGGCTCCTCCCCCGGGGCCCGCTGCCGCAAGTGCAGTGTGGCCCTGGGTGCCCCCGTGGTTAGGTCCCACAGTGTGACGGCTCCAGGGTGGGTGCCGGCGGTGGCGAGTAGGGCCCTGCAGGGTGCGAAGGCGGCTGCGGACAGCGCCGAGTGGTGCGCGCCCTGACCCGCGTGCAGCAGCAGTGCACGTCGGCCGCTGAGGGAGTCTATCACGGACGCCTGCGCGTGGAAGGGCGAAAAGAGGATGCGGCGCGGTGCGGCGCGGCGCGGTGGAAAGGATGTGATACCGGGACACATCACAAGCAGCGGCTGCGGCTGCGGCGGCCCCATCACCAGCGCGTCACTCTACAAAACCTCACCCTCTATCACTACCCCACGTGCCCTGCCCCGGGCCCGTGTCCCCTCCCTCCCTGGCGCCTCACCTTCAAGGAGAACTCCCCACGCGCCAGCACCACCTCCCCATCCCGACTGGCTAGCAACCCCGTCACGCGATGGGGACAATCCGCCGTACGCATCACCGGGCTCCGGAACCGGGGGTGCGGCATAGCCGTCACAAAGGAAGGCGGGAACACGGGATCCGCGGGGGCTCCCGATCCTGTCGCTGAAGACGGTGTCAGCGGCCCGGGGTGTGGGGCCGGCGGCAGCGGGTTGAGGGGCCCCAGGCCACTGAGCGGCGACGGCAGCTTTTGCGGCGGAGGAAACAGAGCATCCGCCGCGGCGGCGGCCGCGGCCGCCACTGCCGCCGCCGTAACTTGCTCCGTCAGGCGGCGGAAGGGCGACTGTAGCGGCGTGCAACTGGCGCTACACGCCAGCATGAGCGGATCGGGGCGCCGCATCAGACTGCGACCGTCCTGAAGCAACCAGAGCAGCGTGTCGCGTAACAAGGAGGCGGTGGCAGCGGGCAGCGGCTGCAGCGCCGAAGGGCGCCCGGGAACAGCTACTGCCGCTGCCGCGGCGGTAGCAGCAACAGCAGCGGCCGCAGCAGGGGAAGCGGCGGCAGCACCAGCACCAGCACCAGTGGGGAGGTTGCTAGCACTGGCGCGCGGGGATGTGGCGGCGGTGGGTGCCCCGCGCACGAGCGCCGCGGCAGCACCAGCCGCCGGCGGCGTGCGGGGCAGCATCCCTTGCAACAACAGCTGCTGCTGCTGCTGCTGCTGGTGGGGTGTGGCCGGTCTGCGGGCGTGTGGTCCCCTAGTCCTCAGTTGGTGCTCCAGGGAGGCCGCCACCATCTCCAAATGTGACCCCTCCAGCACCTGGCGCCAGTAGTCCAGGTCCATGATCGTTGTCTAGCGGGGGGACCGCGGATTCAGGGGGGCAGGGGGGCAAGGGGGCAGGGGGGACTGAAGGGGAGTAGGGAGCAGTAAGGCCTGACGACGATGACGTGCAGCAGCTCACCACCTCGACAGTGCCAGCTCCGCCCACGACCCTCCCCGTCGCCTCTGCCCACCACCCTAACCGTCTCCTTGCTCATCTACCCCTTATTACAAGCCAACACTAGCACCACGGCCACTAGCACTGCCACTACAACTACCACCAGCGCCACTGCTCGTGGCTGATTTTCGGAAATTCGGCAGTTGCCGCACTTCCCTTCCCTCTCTATCCCCGATCCCCCTTCCCCCGCTTTGTGCCCCGCCCCTCTGCTCAATATCTGGGGGTATGGGAACCTGAGGGTGTGGGAACTTGGGCTGGGTGAGCCCAGCACCCCCTTCCCAGGCGAGATCTTATTGGCCCCCCCCCGCCCATCTACCCCAGCAGCCGGCATCCCAGCCACACACACCTCCAGCTCCGAGACCGGCAACCGCCCCTCCGCGCAGTGGGTCACCACGTGACGGAGGCAGTACATGGAGGCCGGGGGACACAACGGCCGCACGCTGCCACCGCCGCCACCCGGTCCAAGGTAAGGAGGTGGAGCAGCCTGCGGCGGCCGTACAAGGCCCAGCGCCACTGCGGCCGCCAGCCCGGCGGTCTCCAGGGAGGACCGTAACAGGTTGCTGCCGGAGCCAGGCCGGCGGAGCCCCGCTGTCGCAGCAGCTGCCAGCGGCGTGCCGTGCGTCGCCGCCGCTGCCGCTGCCGCGAGCCGCCCGGACAGTAGCTGCTGCCGGAGCAGCTGCGCGAGCGCCGTGTGGCCCCGCTGCGCGCACGGTACGCTCAGCGGCGGCTCGACCGTCGCTGCCCGCGCCGCTGCCGCAGCCCCATCGCTACCGCCACCGCCGGTCCCGGTTACCGCGGCGTCTGCGGTAGACAGCACTGGCGCAACGGGCGTTGCCGTCGCACCGGTGCCCGCCCGGCGTAACCAGTCCAGGAATGAAGAGTGTCGTACGGTGATTCGACCACATCCGCTGATCCACACCAGGCCCACCAGGGGCCCCTCCTGGAGTCATAGAAACAGGTAGGGAAACAGCCGACTCAGATGCCAACGATGTTGCGCAAGGCAAAACACACACGTATGCACACAACCACACGCTATGCACGTGATATACACGCACACACGCACACGCGGAGGAGAGAGGCGCCCCCGCAACCACACCCGCACCCACACACCCCAGCACTCCCCCCTCGCGGGCCAGTTCATCATCACCACACCGCACACGAGGGGGGAAGCACCGGACGCTCATCAACACGACCCGTTGTGTCGCAATAGCTAAACGGATACTTAGCACTTGGTTCGGTGACGTACCGGGCCGCTACACTGCACTGCACTTCACTGCAGCTACCCACCCCGGGTCCGCCGGGGGCTGTGAGGAATGACGTACCGGGCGGGGTGGTGGTGCCCCTGGGGGCAATCTTAACCTAGGGCTTCATCCAGCAGCTCCCTCAGTCTTCCCCCTCCGCCCCTACTACCATTCCGTACTGCGATATCCCAGCTTTCCATGACACATGATACGTGACGGTCACGTGACACGTCACGTGTCATGTGTCGGTCCGGACGCGTCGGCCTCTCTCTTTCTCTCTCTTTCTCTCTCTCACACATACATACATACACACACATACATACACACATACATACATACACACATACATACACACATACATACACACACATACATACACACACCAGCGAAAGCACCCACCAGCAGCGCCCACTCGAGGTCCCGAAGCGCTGAGGCCGCCGCCGCCGCCGCCTTCTCCTTGCTCACGGCTGGCTGCTTGGCCACACCGGCTACCGGCGACGTTACCTTACCGCCGTGATCGGTGGTGCCGCCGTTGCTGCGCCGCTCACCCCGCTCGCTGCTGTCCGCTGTGCCGATGCCGCTGCGCAAGCTGAGCGGAGTGCTCACCCGCCGCGGCACCGGGCCCTGGGAGCCGCCCGGAGACCCGGGAGGCGCCGTCGACGTCGCTGTATCCCCCACTGCTGGCGACGGTGTCCTCAGATCGGAACGAGTAGTTCTCACTGGCGTCGCTGC